TCATGAGCACTGAATCAGCACTGCTTCTCCAGTGCTGATCTCTACACAATACCCAACGGGATTGTACGTAAAGAAGTGGAAGATAAACACAAACATGAGAATACTGGAAAGAATAATCTCACTAGAAGAGCAGACAAGCAAATGAGGATTAGGATAGCATCAAACATCATTACACAAACAACAAAATGACAGGAATTAGTATATACCTTTTAATGATAACTCTAAATATTAATGGTCTCAATTCTTGAATTAAGACACTGGCTTACAGATTGAATTTAAACAAAAAAAATGACCTAACTACAAGAAACACACCTCACTGGCAAAGACAAACACAGTCTTAAAGTAAAAACATGAAAAAATATGTTATGAGTAAATGAACACAAAAAGAAAGCAGGAGAAGGGGGGAGAGGAGGGAGGGAAGAAGCAAAGAAAGTAGGAAAAAAAGAAAGGGAAGGAAAAGGAAGGAAGAAAGGAAGGGGGAGTGAAGGAAGGAAGGAGGGAAGGAAGGAAGGAGAAGAAAGGAAAGGAGAGAGGGAGGAAGGGAGACGAAGGAAGGAAGAAAGGAAGGAAGGAAAGACAGAAGATGCTAGAAAGATCTCTCATTCATGATTCAGCAAAATGTTGTTAAGATGGCACGCTGCCCAAACCCCTTGAGGATTCAATGTACTCCTCAGGAAAATTCCATCCACATTCTTCACAGAAATAGAAAAAACAATCCTGAAATTCACATGGAAGCACAAAAGACCCAAATAACCGAAGCAATCCTGAGCAAAGAAAAGAAGAGCAACACTGGAGGTATCACAGTGACTAAGTTACTACAGAGCCATGGTAACAAAAACAGCATGGCATCGGCACACAAACAGACACCAAGACCAGTGGAATAGAAGACCCAGAGAGAAGTGCAAGTAGGAATTGATACCTGATTCTTGACAAAGCCACCAAAAACACGCATTGCAAAAAAGCCAGCCTCTGTAACAAGTGGTGCTGGGAAAACTGGATATCCACATGTAGAAGACTGAAACTCCATCCCTATCTCTCACCCCATACAAAAATCAACTGCAAAAGGATCAAAGACTAAGATGAGTCCTAAAGCTTTGAAACTACTAGAGAAAAACATAGAAACATCCTCAACATACAGGCCTGCCTAGCAAGCCCAAGGCCCTGAGTTCAAATCCCACTACACCAAGAAGAAAAAGTTTTGACAGTCCCTGTATAACTCAGCAAGCTTTAGTGTATGCCAAATTACATGTTAATTCCCAAGAGAACTGAAAACCTAATGCCCAGCCAAAAGGTAGAAACAATCCAAATGTCCATCAGCTGATGAATAGGTAAACAAAATATAGTCTAGCCATGCAGTGAAATATTACACTGCCACAAAAAAGGAATGAAGTGGTGACATGAGCTGCAGTGTGGCTGAACTTTGAAAATGTTATGTAAGTGAAAAGGCCACTGTATGTGGCCACTGTAGAAGCCACATGTCATGTGATTCATTTATGTGAAAGGTTCAGAAGTCCATAGAGGGCTGGCAGAGTGATTCAGACTGTAAGAGCACCTGCCCAGCAAGTGTGAGGCCCCGAGTTCAAACCCCAGTGCCACCAAAAAAAAAGAAGAAAGAAAAAGTTCCATAGAAACAGGAAGTGATTAATAGTTTCCAAGGTCTGGAGAAAGCAGACAGTAGGGAAGTCACTGGTAATGGGCCACGGTTTCTTTGGGGTGGTGATTAAGATGTTTTAGAAGTAGTGATGGTTATTGTACAACCCTGTGAATATACCCCAAACCAACAAATTGTACACTTCAAGAGGGCAAATTTTATGGTATAAGGATAATAAATAAATGAATAAGCCAGTCATAGCGGCACACAATTGAAGGTGAAGAAGATCACAAGTTTGAGATTACACTTTAAAAGCCAAGTGCTGGTGGCTCACTGCTGTAATCCTAACCACTTGGGAGGCTGCGATCCGGAGGATCTCGGTTTGAGTCCAGCTCACACAGGAAGTTCACAGGACCCCATCTCAACCATTAGCTAGAAATGGTGGTGCACCCGTCATTGTAGCTATTTGATTGGGACCAGGAGGATCACAGTTCTAGGCCAGCCTGTGCCAAAAAGGTCACAAGACCCCATCTCAACAGTAAAAATCTGGGCATGGTGGCACACGCCTGTCATCATCAATTCAGCAGGAAGCATAAAATAGGAGGATCGAAGTCCAGGCCAGCCTGGGCAAACTGTAAGATCCTATCTCCAAAATCACCAGAGCAAAAAGGGCTGGAGGCACGGCCCAAGTGGTAGAGTGCCTGCCTAGCAAACGTGAAGCCCTGAGTTCAAATTCCAGTACTGCCAAAAAGAAGAGATTTATTTAAGCAGTAAGAGAGAAACCTATTCCATATAAAATTAATCTGTGTCTATAATCTGCATAAATGCAGAAGACAATAAAAAATAAATAAATTGTAAGAAAACAATTAGTTTTCAGTTTTAACTTGTGACTTGAGCAGTCCATCCAACACCCACTCAGTCCATGTGAGCTTACTGTGGGGTCCAGATGGAGAATATTTCTGCTGTTCTTGTCCTTTCAGTAAATTGACCGCAATCATCTGCTACTCATTTACTTTTTTTCTCCTTATTCTAATTTTTATATTAGAATTAAGATTTTATGAAATCTTATTAACTTTTCATTATATTTTATTGTTACAGAATGTACACACCATAACGTTTACAGTAGCCACCTTTCAATGCACAGTGCAGTGACTTTAGAGGACATTCGTGCTATGCAGCTGTCACCACCTCGCTTCCCCAACCCTTTTCATCTTCCAAACTGAAACTGTGCCCCCACTAAACACTCACTCCCCATCCCTCCTTCTCCCGCCCCAGGCAGCCACCTTCTACTCTCTGCCTCTGTGAGGGTTTTTTGTTGTTTTTGGTTTGTTTGATGGAGCTGGGATTTGCACTCAGGGCCTCACACTTGCAAGGCAAGTGCTCTTACCACTTGAGGTACACCCCCAGCCCACTTCTGGTTCTTTATTTCTTGCTTAGCAATAAAGCTAAAGAGCTGAGAGAGGTGTAGCCTATCTATAATCCCAGCTACTGGGGAGGTAGGAGGATTGAAGTCTCAGTCTGACCTCAGCAAAAGCAAAAGACCCTATCTAAAAAACAAACAAAAAACTAAATTGGGAGACAGAGATCAGGAGGATCATGGTTCGAGGCCAGAAGACCCCCATCTCCAAAATAACCAGAGCAAAATGGACTGAGGAGCGGCTCAAGCTGTACAGCGCCTGCTTTGCAAGCGAAGCCCTGAGTTTAAACCCCAGTCCCACCAAAATAAAAAGAACCTAAAAGCAAAAGGGCCAAGGGTGTGCCTCAAGTACGCAGCAGTTGCTTAGGAAGTCGGGCAGGGAGGGGACCCAACCCAAGGCCTCTCACGGGATGCGTGCGCTCCGCCACCGAGCCGCACCCCAACCCCAACGCGCAAGTTTTGTCGCGATCCTAGTGTGAAAGAACGATCAGATCGTCAAACGACTAGAAATGGGGAGACGCAAGAGTTGGACAACTTCTTTTTGTTCCATTACGATAAAACGGTGGATCGAGCAGGCATCATCAACAGATGCTAAATTTAAAAGAGTACTCACGTGGTCTTAACGTTTCTCCTGTTAAAAACTGAGCCGCAATGTACTGGAAGAAAAAGGCTCAAACGGCCACGCGGCACTCCACACAGGGCTGACTTCCACTCGCCCCTCCCCGCGTGCGGGTCTCCTTATAGCAGAGGAAAGGAAGTGACGTCAGACTCAAGCTGATTGGCTGCAGTAGGCATTTACCTAATATGGGCATGGTCTGATCACCTGGAAGTTTCTGATTGGCTGAAGTGTGGCTGCTGTGATTGGCTGATCTTCTTTTGCTTGGTTATAAGGACATGCTCTTGTGTTAGGCTTTGATTTCCACGAGGTATGGAGGCTGCGTTGGGCCAAACTGTATCGCTCAGGTGTGGCAGCCAGTTAGGATCAAATTCCCCTCGGGTTAACATTCCCACGGGAGGCTTATTGATTGCAAGAAGGAAGAGAAACAGTGGGGAAATGAGACCACACCTAACCAGGTGATCAAATACACCTGGAGCTAATGGTGAGATGCTGTCAGGCAAACTTAAAATGGGGAACATGGTAGTGGGGAGGGCGCCCTGTTCTGCACGATGCCAGGGCCATGCACTGTGCAATGAAGACGTAGAATAGCCAGTTTTTACTGACAGTAAGAAACAATGGAGAAAACAGATAAACTTTAAAACCAAGGTAAGAGACCTAAGCAGGCACCACCACCAAGAAAGAAGCCTCACTTTATTCCCTAGCTGGCCTGTACCACAATCCTCCTGTTTGTGCTCCCAGCATAGCTGGGTGACAGGCATGCACCCCTGTGCCCAGCCACTGTTTGAGATGGGGACTCGTGAACTTTTTGCCTGGACTGGCGTCAAACAGTGAACCTCCCTACCTTAGCCTCCCTCATAGCTAGGATCATAGATACGAGCCACCATGCCAGCCAAGAAAGAGTCCCTATTTTTTACTTACCCACAGTCTTACTTGTAGAATTGTTTGTACATGGAATCCTACCACTGCTGGGACTTATTTACTGTAAACCCCCATGGGCACAGGTGGGGTCCACACAGATAAACAGGATTATACACGCCTGTGATCCCAGCACTAAGACAGAAGGACAGTGAGTTCCAGGCCAGCCTGGGATACACAGCAAGACCCTGTCCCAACAACAAAATGGGATTGCACAGGAAACTGGGTAGGTGGGTTTCATTATACCATCTCCACTTTGGGTACCTGAAAATTTCCACAGTGAACATAAAATAGCGAAAAGAAGTAGAGAAAGGATGACCTGCTTAAATTTTGTGCAAGGAGTGGAAGTATTTCGTGGATCTTCCACTGTGGCCTTGTGGCCTTGGTGCTGTATTAATGACTTCTTTTTTCAAACTTGTGCTTCTGTCATTCTCATCTGTTGCTTATTTTCCTTTCAGAAAACCGCTGCTCTTCTGCAAGCCGTGAAGTAATAGGAGCAGAGTTACCAATGGAAGGTTAGAAAAGTGAAGCTTTCTTTTTCTCTCCCTCCCTCCCTCTCTCAATTTCTCTCCTTCCCTCTTCTCTCTCTCTCCCTCTCCCCTGTCCCTCCCTCTATTTTGGAGTTTGCAGTATTTTGTAGAGAACACAGTCTTAAACATGTATGTTTGAAAATAAACAGTGACTTCCTGACTTGCCTGTCTCAGAAGAGGTTGAGCCTTTGTCCTAAAAATAGTATTAAGGACTCTAGTTCCTTATGTGACCATCATGACCTGAATGAAAGTTGACTTCACACTGGTGCTTAATTACACGTTGCCTTTTTTTTTTTTTTTTTTTTTTTTGCTATGGGGTCTTTGCTATGTTGCCCAGGCTGGTCTTGAACTGCTGGGCTCAGGGGATTCTCCCACCTCAGCCTCCTCAGTAGCTGGAACTACAGGTGTGCATCACCACAACAGACTCATTTTGTCTTTTCTCCATAAGTGTTAAGTGTGGGACCCAGGGTCTCATGCAGCCTACGTAAGTGTTCTACTGCTGAGCTACATCCCCAGCTCCATTTTGATTTTTAATATACTATGCTAAAATTCTTTTGAATAATGTGGAATATTTTTCTTCAGTTAAAAGAAAAGTTTTCTAGGACTGGGATCTGATGCAGTGGATACTTGCTAAGTATGCACGAAGCCCTTGGTTCCTCCCTAGTAAAATGTTGTAATTATTTCCTACATTCATTTATAGATCTTAAGAATAAGCTGGGAGATTGCACCTGTAATCTCAGCTACTGAAGAGGCAGAGATTGGGAGGATCACAATTCAAGGTCAGCCCAGACAGAATGTTCATGAGAACCTCATTTTAACCAATAAAAAACTGGGCATGGTGGTGCAGACCTGTTATCCCAGCTTTGCAGGAAGCATAAATAGAATCATGGTTAAGCCTACCCAGACATTGAGAGCCTATTCAAAAAATAAAACTAGAGCAAAAAGGGCTGGAATGTGGCTCAAGTGGTAGAGCGCCTGTCTAGCAAATGTGAGGACTGAATTCAAACCCCAGTACTGCCAAAAAAATTCCTGAAGTCTTAAAGGGGTTTCTGTATGTCCAAGTTGAAGTTAATAAAGCTAGAGGCATGGAAAATTTGTCAGTTTAGTGACAAGGCTGTCTTGAATTTAGGAGCTGAATATCTGTCTTAGACAGTAACAAGTGTAGTCCCACAGGAGGTTTGTTGCTAAGTCAAGAAAACTCTCCAAAGTGCTAATGGTGCCCAGCTGTATGTTGTCATTCTTGCCTGCCAGAAAAATTGGTTGGACTTCCATGGAATAATAAGCTGTCAATCATCCTGGGGTCACTGGCAGGATAAGAGGGGACACACAGTTTGTGTTTTTGTTTTTTTTTTTTTTCAATACAGGGTATCCATATAGCTGAGGCTGCCCTAGAACTCATGATCCTCCTGCCTCAGACTCCCGGGTGCTGGGATTACAGGTGTGTATCACCACACCTGGCTCAAACATTTTTTTTAAAAGCTAGTAATTCCTGAGGACAAGAATATATTATGAATACAGGAATTGCAAACAGAAGGGTTCCTGTATCCATGAATGTGGGTAACTCTGTGTTATTTGATAACATCTGGAAGTTTCTGTCTCTGCATATCCTTTATTAGAAAATTCCTTGTGAGGGCTGACAGAATGGCTCAATGTAGAGTGCCTGCTTAGCATGCATGAGGCCCTGAGTTCAAAACCCCAATTCCATAGAAAAAAATCCCTATGAATTCTTTTATGGCCCTATTACCATCCCTTATGACATCAAAACCCCCTGAATATTTATTACGTATGTATTTAAAATGCCAGGATAAGGTATGAAAGTGGTAAACTGAGTTTTTTGGGTTTTTTTTTTTTAATCTTTGTGGTTCCGGAGTTTGAACTCAGGGCCTTGTGCTTGCTAACGCAGGCACTCTACCTCTTGAGCCACTCTGCCAGCCCTATTTCGTGTTGAATATTTTCAAGATAGGGTCTTGCTTTTTGCCCAGGCTGACCTGGAACTGCGATCCTCCCCACCTCTGCTCCCTTGTAGTCAGGATTACAGGCATGGGCTACCTTGCCCAGCCCACTGAGAGTTCTTAACAATGAATGTCAATTTAGAACTTTTTTTCCAAGAGTCCCTGCAGCTTCTCTCTTCACAAACAAGCAAGGACCCTGAAGCCAATGTCCAGATGGAAGGTTAGTTGTAAAATCCTTGTCACAGTCATTGCTAAGTGTGGCTTTCAGCCTTTCTGGAAGGCTTGCTGTGGGGAAGAGATTGAAGTCCATGTGTAGGTGTGTGTGTAAGAGAGAAAGACAAGGACCCTAACGCATGGACATTTGATGTGACACAATTAAGCCATTCAGATTAGCGCTGGGCCACAATGAGACCAGACTGTGCTCTATAAAAGTAGGGACAGAATTCCAGATGGCGAGCAGGTGAGAGGAGAAATGAGAACAAGCCAGATCAACTGAACAATTCGTCCCTGTCTGTCAGATACCTCAGTTGGGATGGACCAACCCTTGCTGGTCAAATTCAAACTTTTTTAGTGTGCTGGGTGCCAGTGGCTCATGCCTGTAATTCTGGCTACCGAGGAGGCAGAGATCAGCAGGACCACGGTTTGAAAGCCAACACGAGTAAATAGTTTGCGAGACCCTATCTCAAAAAAAAAAAAATGCAAACAAGGACTGGCAGAGTGGCTCAGGCAGCAAGAATGCCTGCCTAGCAAGTGTGAGGCCCTGAGTTCAAATCCCAGTGCCCTAAAAAAAAAAACTGAATTCAAATATCACATTTATCATTTAACCAGAAAATGTGTGCTGTCTGATGAAGCCTTTCCCTAATTATGTTAACTCATGTTTCATATGGTGTCTGGTTTTCAAATGATCTCTGAGGTGTGTTTACATAACTTTGTTCCTTCCTTCCCCTTTCAGCTATGAAATACAAAATTTTTTGAGGTAGGGTTTCATTATGTAGCCCAGACTGACTTTGAACTTCAGTCCTCCTACCCCAGCCTCCTGAGTCTGGGATTATAGGTTTGAACCTATAATCACCCATAGGTGTGAACCCAGCTGCAGGAAATGTAATTTTAACAGCCTTCATTGTAAATAAAATTAGACAGATGGAAGCATCAGGTGAAGAATGAAAGCAAAGTCCCCGTGCCTTTCTCCTTGATGTTGACAGTGATATATCAACTTCTGCCAAGCCACCATGTTACCCTGCAGCTCAGTGTTCTTCACAATCCAAAAAAAAAAAAAAAACCAAAAACTTGTATTTATTTATTTATTTTGGTGATACTGGGATTTGAACTCAGGGTCTCCAGCTTGCTAAGCAAATGTTCTACCACTTGAGCCATTCCACCAGCCCTTCAATTCAAGAAATCCAGTCTAGGCTTCTGACCAAAGTAACATTTTGATATTTCTAGAAGCAAACTGGCCATATTTCCCAGAAGTTCTAAACTTCAGGTAAGAGGCACAGCTGTAGTGGTAGAGCGCCTGCCTAGCAAGTGTGAAACTCTGAGTTCAAACCTCAGTTCCATGAAAAGAGTAACCTAAACTTCTCTGTCTGTTTCAAGAACACACCAACTTGTCCAGTGTGACAACTTCTGCCACGGGTGTAGAAGATCTCAAGATTGTGCAAGTGACAGTTCCAGGTAGGGACGTTTATTTGGTTTATCATAAGTTGTATTACGTTTTTCCTTTGGCCTTAACTATTTAATGACATGGGTAAGTCTCTTGTTGTTTTGTTGTTATTGTTGTTTGTTTCTTTGGCTGGTTTGTTTTTGTTTGGTTTTTTGTTTGGCAGGACTAGGGCTTTAACTCAGGCTTTCACACTTGGTAGGCAGGTGCTCTACAAATCGAGCCACTCCGCCAGCCCTGTTTTATGTTTTAGGTCTCTCGAACTATTTCCCCGCACTGACTTCGAACCACGATCCTCCTGATCGCTGCCTCCTGAGTAGCTGGGATTATAGACATGAGCCACTGGCACCCATCTGTTTGTTTTTCGCTTCGTTCACTTTGACAACTAAAGAATAATAATTCAGGAATATAAAATATGTTGCAGGTTACACCAGGTATCTTGCTGATACCACACATCGTTAATGAGATGTATAGCTTCTCCAGGGCCTGCCTGGATTACTCACTTCAGGACAGGCAGCTTCAAGCCCCAGCTGCCTTTGCATTAGAATTGGCCACAGAGGTGACATTTTATTTGCTGCACTCATTGAATAACCTCCTATTCTAAACATGTCTACTTAGATCTATCTGCAGAGATGCACAAGAATCTAATAGCATAGTTCCTTCAGGGCAGGAAACAGAGCTGAGAGAGTGGGGGAGAGATGCTTCTGTTTGCTGTTTTGTGTCTCTTGAATTTTGACCCATGATTATTTTTGTTACTCAAAATCAAATAGAACAGGATCAAGTAGAATAGAATTTTAAAGTATTTAAAAAGATCCCCTGTAGTCCTAGTACCTTATATTCCTTTTTCTTGTCATATTGCATTGGCAAAGATTTGTATTACAGTGTTGAAGAGTAGTGGTGTTGTACCATGTTGTATCTTCTTTTTTTTCAGTACTAGGGTTTGAACTCAGGGCTTCATGCTTGCTAGGCAGGTGCTCTACCACTTGAGCCATTCCTTTTTTGTGATGGGTTTTTTTCTAGATAGGGTCTCAAACTCTTTGCCCAGGTTTCAAACCGTGATCCTCCTGACCTCTCCCTCTTGAGTAGCTGGGATTACAGGCATGAGCCACTGCCCCCCAGCCCATGTTGCGTCTCACACAACGTCAAAAGCGTTCCTTAAGCGTAGCATGGAACATGGTTATGTACTGTTACCATTCGGAAAATATTCTCTCATCTGTAATGGCTTCCACTCAGAAGTTTCCAGAATGCTTCATTACTGCTGAGAGTAAAGTGAACGATGAGCCAGGTAAATGCCTCTAACATCTTTCTTGGGGAAAAAAATGCTTTCAGAACCTGGTTGTGTTTGTTTTTAGAGACTGAAAAGGAAAGATTATCAAGCATTGAAAAGATTAAACAGCTACGAGAGCAAGTCAATGACCTCTTTAGTAGAAAATTTGGTAAGTTTTTTTTTTATACTTTTTACATATCCAGAATACGTAAATGCTTCTTTTTTGGGGGAGTGGTACTGAGGTTTGAACTCAGGGCTTCACACTTGCTAAGCAGGCACTCTATCACTTGAGCCACTCTTCTAGCCCCTGATTTTAAAATCTTGGCAATAAAGATAAAGCACAAAGGCCTGGTATGGTAGTGCACACTCATAATCTCAGCACTGGGAGGCAGACCAGGAGGATCGTGACTTCGAGGTCTTCCTGAGCTACATAATAAGATCCTATCTTTGGCCAGACACCAGTGGCTCATGCCTGTAATCCTAGCTACTCAGGAGGAAGAGATCCGGAGTATCACGGTTCAAAGCCAGCCATGGCAAATAGTTCTGTGAGACCCTATCTTGAAAAAACCCTTCACAAAATAGGGCTGGAGGAGTAGCTCAAGGTGAAGGCTCTGAGTTCAAACCCCAGTACTGCAAAAAAAAAAAAAAAATACAAATTACAATCTGGGAAAAGTAAGCTGCATACTCAACCAGTTTTATGTCATGTGTCTCGTCCCAGGGGAGGCAATCGGTGTGGACTTCCCCGTGAAAGTTCCCTACAGGAAAATCACCTTCAACCCTGGCTGCGTGGTGATTGATGGCATGCCCCCGGGGGTGGTGTTCAAAGCCCCCGGGTACCTGGAAATCAGCTCCATGAGAAGGATCTTGGATGCTGCAGAGTTCATCAAGTTCACGGTCATTAGGTCAGTAGGGTCCTGGGTTCGGTCACAGTGGACAAGTGGCACCCAAGGAGTTTGTCCCAGGGGCTCCTTGCAGATGACTCCTGGCCACACCACACCTCACCTGTGTTTTGTCACCACTTCTGCAAGGTGCGTTTGTGGTCCCACCCAGTTCCAGCTCCCATAGCACCTAGCACTGCACTGACACTCAGCAAAAGTGCGCCAGTCAAAACTCAAGGGACACAGGGGACAGATGAGCTAAATCACCTTGACCAGTGTCTCTTTCTCTGCAGACCCCTTCCAGGACTGGAGCTCAGCAATGGTAAGTAGTCTGCGTGATGACAACGCCCCAGCACCCATTATGCTGGGGACACATCTGGGGTCCTGGCTTCTGCAGCCTAGAGCCTTGAGACTTTGAGCAAAACTTGTCATCTTTCATATGAACTTTTTTTTTTTGGCATTCGCACATGGGAGGCAAGTTCTCTACCCCTGAGCGCCACCCCTGCCCAGTTGTATGTACTTTATTTTTCCTTGCATGTTATACACTTCTTTAATTCTGTCACCTGTATTTTTTTTTTTCACAGTGCTCAGGATCAAACCCAGGGTCCCACACTTGCTAGGCAAGCCCTCTATCACTCGAGCCACACCCCCACTCCTTTCACTTTCATTTGTTTTTCAGACAGGGTCTCATGCTTTTGCCTGGGCCAGCCTTGCACTGTGACACTCCTACCTCTGCCTCCAAGTAGCTGGGATTACAGGCGTGCACCACCACACCTGGCTTACATTTTTTTAATGAAATTTTTCAGCCAGGCATGGGTGGCTTATGCCTGTAATCCCAGCTACTCAGGAGGAAGAGATCAGGAAGATCAAGGTTTGAAGCCATCCTGGGCAAATAGTTCAGGAGACCCTATCTTGAAAAAAACCCATCACAAAAAAGGGCTGATGGAGTGGCTCAAGATGTACGCCCTGAGTTCAAGCCCCGGTACTGCAAAAAAATTAAATTCTTCTTTTATGATATTGGGATTAAACCCAAGGTCTGGCACTTGCTGGGCAGGTGTTCTACCACTTGAATCATGCCTCCACCCCTTTTGCTCTTTAGGGGTTTTTTTGGTTTTGTTTTTGTTTTCAGATAGACTCTTGTACTTTTGCCTGGACTGGACTCACTGTGATCCTCCTACCTCCACTTCCCAAATAGCTGAGATTACAGGCATGCACAACCACATCCAGCTTGTTTTTGAGATAGAGGCTCACTAAGTTTTTGCCTGGGCTGACCTCAAACTGCAATCCTCCTATCTCTGCCTACCAAGTACCTAGGATTACAGGTGTGATGCCCGGCCCAATCTCTAAATTTTCCTTAGAGATTTGAAGTGCTGGCCCCAGTGCATCGCAGCAGTGTGCTCGAGAGACCAGGAATGGCTTCCTCTTCAGTTAACCCCACCCTGACCCCACTCATTGGTTTTCTTCCTCATGTTTATTTGTGTTGTGTGTGTGTGTGTGTGTGTGTGTGTGTGTGTGGTACTGGGGTTTGCGCTCTGGGCCTTCACCTTGAGCCACTCTACCAGCCCTATTTTTGTGATGGGTTTTTTCGAGATAGGGTCTTAAGAACTATTTGCCTGGGCTGGCCTTGAACCGCGATCCTCCTGATCTCTGCCTCCTGAGTAGTTAGGATTATAGGCGTGAGCCACAGGTGCCTGGCTCTGTGATCCTTCTGATCTCTACCCCATGAGTAGCTGGGATTACAGGTGTGAACCACTGGTGTCCAGTGTTCCTCATGTTTGTGATCACAATTCTGCTGTTGCTTTTCTAAGAGTACCATTAAGAGAAAAATGAAATGGTTCGTGGGCGAGGGAGTGGTTAGCGTGGTAGAGCACCCACCTAGCACGTGTGAGGCCCTGAGTTCAAATCCCAAAAACAAGAGCGGAAATGAAATGGTTCTTGTTTCTGTGTCTCATCCGCAGTGGGAAAACGCAAGATAGATCAGGAGGGCCGTGTGTTTCAAGAGAAGTGGGAGCGAGCCTACTTCTTTGTGGAGGTGCAGAACATTCCCACGTGTTTAATCTGCAAGCAGAGCATGTCTGTGTCCAAAGAGTACAACCTGCGGCGTCACTACCAGACCAACCATAGCAAGCACTACGACCAGTACACCGAGCAGACGAGGGACATCAAGCTTCAGGAGCTGAAGAAGGGGCTCAGGAAGTATCTTTTGGGGTCCTCAGAGATCCTGTGCCCTGAGCCAAAACAAGCGCTCCCCAACGTGAGCCCACCCGAAAACGTCGCGCAGCCCATAGAAGATGTGGCTGGCAGCTTATGGGAGAAATTGCGTGAAAAAATCAAATCCTCTGTGGCGTATTCCCTTGCAATCGATGAGATCACAGATATTAACAATATCACCCAACTGGCCATCTTCATCCGCGGGGTGGATGACAACTTCGACGTGTCAGAAGAACTTTTGGACACAGTACCCATGACGGGCACGAAGTCCGCAAACGAGGTATTTTCACGAGTAGAGAAAAGTCTTAAGAAATTCCATATCGATTGGTCCAAATTGGTCAGCGTGGCCTCCACGGGCACCCCGGCCATGGTCGACGCCAATAATGGCGTGGTGACGAAGCTGAAATCGAAAGTGGCAACATTTTGCAAAGGCTCCGATCTCAAATCCATTTGCTGCATTATCCACCCCGAGGCCCTGTGCGCCCAGAAGCTGAAGCTGGATCACGTGATGGACGTGGTCGTGAACTCAGTGAACTGGATATGCTCCCGCGGCCTGAACCACGGCGAGTTCACAACCCTCCTCTACGAGCTGGACAGCCAGTACGGCAGCCTTCTGTACCACACGGGGATCAAGTGGCTGAGTCGGGGGCTGGTGCTCCAGAGGTTCTTTGAATCCTTGGAAGAAATTGACACGTTCATGTCATCCCGAGGAAAACCCGTGCCTCAACTGAGCTCTAAGGACTGGGTCATGGACTTGGCCTTCCTGGTTGACATGACGACACATCTGAACACTCTGACCATCTCCCTGCAAAGACACTCCCAAATCGTGACCCAGATGTACGACCTGATCCGAGCCTTCCTGGCCAAACTGTGTCTTTGGGAAGCGCACTTGGCCAGGAATAACCTGGCCCACTTTCCCACGCTGAAATCTGTGTCCCAAAACGAAAGCGATGGCCTGAATTACATCCCCAAGATCGTGGAACTGAAGGCCGAGTTCCAGAAACGCCTCTCGGATTTCAAAGTCTATGAGAGCGAGCTCTCTCTGTTCAGTTCACCTTTCTCCACCAAGATCGACTGTGTACACGAAGAGCTTCAGATGGAGGTGATTGACCTGCAGTGTAACACGGTGCTCAAAACCAAGTACGACAAGGTGGGCATACCCGAATTCTACAAATACCTGTGGAGTAGCTACCCCAAGTACAGGACCCACTGCGCAAGAATCCTGTCCATGTTCGGAAGCACCTACGTCTGCGAACAGCTCTTTTCCATCATGAAGCTGAGCAAGGCAAAATACAGTGCCCAGGTCAAAGACGCGCCGTGGGGCACCCCGCTCCACGTGGTCACGTCCTGAAGCAGAACCCCACGCCCTGCCCCAGGGGAAGCCAACCTAGGATCCTCTAGGCCCAGGGGATTGTGAGACGAGAAAGTGAAAGATTAAATATTTCCGTTTCTCTGAGGTCTTTTTCTACTTGGAATCAGAAATGGATTTGTAATATCACAAAATCAGAACTGTTTGTATGACGTGTTCTGCTTCACTGTAGTTCAGTAAAAACCAGGAAAGTTCTGTGTTTTTTTCTTTTTTTGTGGTACTTGGGCTTGAACTCAGGGCCTACACCTTGAACCACTCCACCAGCCCTTTTTTGTGTTGGGTATTTTCAAAATAGGGTCTCAAGAACTGTTTTCCTGGGCTGGCCTCAACATTGATCCTCCTGATCTCTGCCTCCCGAGTAGCTGGGCTTGGAGGCGGGAGCCACTGGCTAGGAAAAGCCTTTGATTAAAGGGAGGCCCAGGAGCCAGCGATCAAACCCCAGGTTGCTGCTACCTGCACAAGGTGTTCAGCCCCAGCCAGAACGAGTTCATGTCCTCAGACACTGGAAAATGGCCCAATTCAGGCATTTCTTGACTTTGAGATATTGGCTCGTGGCGCAACTGGCTTACCTCCTGAGACAGAATCTAGGATGAACTGGTTTGTGATAGGAATCAGCGGGAGAACCAGCTCATGGTGTCCGTGAATTTAGGCTGACACTATGTATCAGAGGTGTGGTTCCCACAGGAAAAGATAACACCCTCACTCATAGACAGGTAGCGTAGGCATAGAGTGGGTGTGTGGCTTGCCTGAGGTCACACAGCAATTACAGGAGTTGTCAGAATTCAAGCCTGGGTCTCTGTGACTCCAAAGTCCCTGTTCTTCATTTCTGAATAGCCACTGAGCCTGACACAGAGACCCAACAGGTATTGGTCCCTGCGCTCCTCACTGACTTGTCTGTGGCTCCCTGGGGTGACTCCACTGGGTGACAGGAAAGGGATAGCAGGGCTTAGCCCAGCCAGCCTTCTGTTACTCATTCATGGAACTGTTCTCTTCTGCTTTGAATCAACTCCCAAGACTCTGTGTGTGTGTGTGTGTGTGTGTGTGTGTGATGGGTATTGAACTCAGGACCTTGAACATAACAGGCGTTCTACCCCTTGAGCCACAACCCAGCCCATCTTTTGTTTGGTTGGTTATTTTGGTTTTTGAGCTAGGATCTCACTTACTTCACCCAGATTGGCCTCAAACTCGGATCCTCCTATCTCTGCATCCGGAGAAACTACGATTATAGCCGTGAGCCACAGTGCCCAGCCCCAGTCTTTCTTTACCCTAAAGTGTACGTTGGGACCTGGATTGTTTGGGATAAGGTAACCAGTGATAAACACTGTCACCCATGTGACTGAGCCAAGACTATGGGTAACAGCTGAATGGGCTAGGTGGATTTTGGCAGTCACAGTGTTGGGATGGGGTGTCTGCCAATCAATAGAAGCGGTATGGCATGCTGCAGAAGGGTCCGGCCTGGGGGATGGGTGCTGGATGTGGTGGTCACTGTCAGGTCCAGGGAGGGACAGGCACTGCATCCCTGTCCCCCTCCCCTCCCAGGATGGTCAAAAGAAAGAGCTGGCCACTCCTGCAACACAAGCTGGGGCCTAAGGAGTTTCCGGAAGCCAGGCCCACCTCCCCCTGGACGTGCATCTGTGCCCCCCCTCCAGCCTGCTTAGCCAGGCACCCACAAGGCCTGATCCAGGGATCCTAAGCTCTGCTGCCAGTCCTGCAGCCCCTTCTTGTACTCTCACGTGTTTCCCTACAGACATTGGCTGCCTTGGGCCTCCCTAACCTCACACGCAAGGTGCTAGCGTTGGCACAAGGCACCAGAAATAGAAGGAAAAAAAAAACATTTGATCAGGACTTCTGCTTAGGCAAAAAGCAATGAAACTAAAAGTGATGAAAATAAATATTTATCTTATCCTCTCTCTGGACCACATGACATGGGACGGGACTGCGTCGGCCCCCCTTCACTAAAAGTGATGAAAATAAATATTTATCTTATCCTCTCTCTGGACCACATGACATGGGACGGGACTGCGTCGGCCCCCCCTTCAGCACTCTTATGCATGGCGGTCAGAGTTGGAGCAAAGGTAATTTCTGCACATGCAGAAGGTCATCGAGGACCGGAAGTTACTCTTGCACTTGGCCTTCTGCAAACCTGTCTTTGGCCAGGGTCGGGGCAGTACGGAACCGGACCTCCCACGCAGCAGAGCTCACGGCCTCCTCTGCTCATTCTAGACATAGCCCCAGTCCCGCATCGCTGCAGAGCCTCGGTTCACTCCAAGCAAAACCTTTACTGGGGATGGCGGATAGCTAATTGGGGCGAGGGGTCGGGGCTGCCCTAGGCGTCCAGACGCCGGGCATCTACATGTATGCTACAAGGTCCGGGTGTGCGCCTGCCCTCTGGCCCCGCCTCTGCCCTGACTCCGTCCCTAGCCCCGCCCCGTCCGACGCTCGAGCTTCGGGCTCTCGGTGCTGTGGCCCTGCTTCCCAGTTCCGCTTCAAACCTGACTCCGCCCCCCCCCATGCTCACACATTGGACTCGCCACGCCCCGCCCCAGCCAGCGCTCATGCCTTGGACTCTCGGCGCTATGGCCCCGCCTCCAGGCTCCGCCTCAAGTCTGACTCCGCCCCTGGCTCCACCCCGTCCGGCACTCACCCCTTGGGCTCTCGGCGATCTGGCCCCGCCTCTCCTCTGACCCCGCCCCTACCGGCCCTCATTCATTGGACACTCGGCAATCTGGCCCCGCCTCGGCGCCCCGCCTCTTCCTGGTCCCGCCTCTGGCCCCGCCCCGTCCGGCACTCACGCGTCTTGTTCTCGGCGCTCTGCGGCCCGGGACGCGCCAGGCGGCGACGCTGCTGCAGAAAGCGGACGCTGTTGCGGCGGTAGGTGTCCTGGCTGAGGCGTTTCCGCGACCGCTGGTGGATGCTTTGCGCGTTGCGAATGGTCGACCTGGCCCGACGGGACGGGGGCGTCGTCAGAGCCGGTGTCCCTGACACCGGGACTCGGGTCCAAAGACTGACCCGAGAAAGTGGGGCGGCGGGTGGTGCACCTGCGCCCTTTATAGGCACTGACCCATGCCCCGCACTGTCCTTCAGCCTGCCACCTCCCCAGAAGGCCCCAGGACTGCCCCAGGCCTCACCCACCAACCGCAGGGACCCTCCCCACCCCCGTGCCGACTCCACCCTGCGGAGCTCAGATCCAGCCGCTCGATCCCATGGGGGTCCTGGATCCCCCACCAGGCCGGGAGTCCCCCACTGTCCATCCAGAGCCTGGCCTGGAAAACGAACCCTTTGGTCCCCCCAGTCCCCGGGGCCCTCACTCACCTGCGGGGTGGCGCCCCTCGGCCCCTGATCTGGCGTTGGGCCTGAGTCAGCTCCTGCCCCGACTTCTGCAGGTACATGGACGGGAAGTAGCCGGTGACGTCCTCCTTCCTGTAACAGAGGTGGTCCTGGAGGTCCAAGCAGTCGTCGGGTGGGGTGCACGGAGGTGGGGGGTGTCAAGGCAAGCTAAAAGGTTGCAAACAACCAGATCCTGCCTGGTGGGCCTCAGTTTCCTCAAATGTACTAAGTAAAGCCCGCCCAGCTGTCCTGTCAAAGTCTAGCGGGGAGAGGGAGATTTAGCAGATATAAGACACTTTCAGGATTCTGTTTTTTAGTATATAGTTCTATGGTGATTGCATTTTGTGTCCTAAGAAAATCACCAAGTTCTCAGCTTTTTCCCAAGTGCTTAGTTTTAGATTTTTATCTTTGGCAAAGCTGTGATGCAGCCGGACTCCAGTGGCTCACGCCTGTAATCCCAGCTGCTCAGGAGGCTGAGATCAGGCGATGGAGGTTTGAAGCCAGCCCAGGCAAAATAGTTCACGTGAAAAAACCTAACACAAAAAAGGGCTGGCGGAGTGGATCAAGGTGTAGGCCCTGAGTTCAAACCTCAGTACCACAAAAATAAAAAGCTATGATCCATCGAAAATAATTGTTTATAGTGTGAGGTAGGGATCAGGGGTTTTCTGTTTCTGTTTTGAGGGGTTTTTTTCATCCAGCTGTGCCTGCACCATTTGTTGAAAAGATTTTCTTTTCTATTCTCAATAGTATACTTAAGAGATTTTTTTAAAAAGCTCTGTGTGAAACCCTGAGTTCAAATCCCAGTAGCACCAAAAAAAATAGTCTCTGCCTAACACAAACATCACCAGATAAACCTAATTCTTAGTTAGTGGGAAAATTATAAGGAGATTGCTGAAGGTGCACCTTGGGGGTTAACTGAGTGTGGCTGAGAATCACTATCTTAAAGACAGCCCAAGGCCAGCCTGGAATTGTGCGTGTCTCGTGGCCACAATGTTGGGACAAGGGCTGGCCTGGTGTCCCTGGGCTCTGAAAATCCAGGCAATGACCTGAGAGGCCCTCTCTTTCCAGTATTCTGTTTGATCCAGAACCATAAAAAAATAGTTCATATCCTAACATCCAGTTGGACAAAACTACAGTGTCAGTTTTCACAGGAACAGGGCCGTGTGGTCTGCTGTGCTATTCGTCAGATAGTAATCCATATAACAGCTGCCTTGCTAGGGAAGAACCACCAGGAAGAGACCCAACCCATGACAACTGGACTCCGAACCCCACACCTGCTACCAAGATAGAGACTGACGCCTATGGGGGGACCGTGGCTCACTCAGAGTCATACAGCCAAGTTAGCCCAGAGCCCCAGGGGGGTCCACCCAGGCCCAGGGTGACTCAGGGCTGCATGGAGTGGTGAAGGGGCTGTCCTACCTGATGACCCACCAGCCATCCAGGAGCTTATGAATGACCTCAATGACTTCCCCCTCAGACAGGGACACCTCATCCTCCTCCACAGCCGTGTACGCCTTTATGGTGACATAGGGTTCACCTGGTCCATGGAGGAGACACAGGGCACAGTGAGAGGTCCGTCAGCCTGGGATGGGGCTCTCTACCTCTGCTCTCCTCTCGGGGCCCCTTCTTCTGTCCCTTGCCCTGCTCCTTTTCATTTCCCTGTGCAGGTGCCTCCTGCACCCACTCCTGCGAAAGGCCCTGGACTTCTGCCTTCTATGTCCACCTGAGCTTACCCCACACTGCCCATGCCAAGAGCCTGGAAACTACAGAAGTCTGGCCAGGCACCCAAATAGGAAAATTGGGTGGGCAGAGCACCTGTTCATGTGGCCAACCATTGATACATGGGGTACAGGCCTTTCCTGGTTGTTTCGTTGTTTCTTTGTTGAGACAGGGTCTTGCTGTGCAGCACAGGCTGGCCTGAAGCTTAAGATCCCCCTACTTCAGCCTCCCAAGTGCTGGGATTATAGGTGTGCACCACCACTCCCTGCTTTTCCAGTTTATAAAGAAGCACCATAAATCCCCCATCAAATGGTGAAATCTCTTAATTTTAAAACACAACCCAGCTGGGTGCCTGTGGTTGCATTTGTAATCCCAACTACTCAGGAGGCAGAGATCAGGAGGATCAAGATTCAAAGCCAGCCTTGGGAAAATAGTTCTTGACAACCTATCTCGAAAAAACCCATCACAAAAAAAGGGCTGGCAGGATGTCTCAAGGTGTAGGCCCTGAGTTCAAGCCCCAGTACCATAAAAAAAATTAAAAAAAAAAAACACAACTAATCAATTGTAATTATTTTCCAATTGAGCAGAGACCTCGTCCAACCTTAGGGCTGCCAGCCCCTCCTTGTGGGCAGCGAGGGTGCCCCAACCCCAAGCAGCCTCCTTCCAAGCCTCAGGTTGGTTCAGTATTCAGTTCCCTGCTGGACCAGCCCTATGCTGCTACCAATATTTGTCCCCATCCACCTCCATGACTCCTGTGCTGACCAATGACATCAGGACAAGGCAGGCATGGTGGCGCACGTCTATAATCCTCAAGAAGAGGATTACAAGTTTTCCAGAACAGCCTAGGCTACATAGAGAAACTGTCTCAAAAAGAGAAGAAAGGCTGGGCACCGTGGCTCACACCTGTAATCCTAGCTACTCAGGAGGCAGAGATCAAGAGGATCACGGTTCGAAGCCAGCCTGGGTAAATAGTTCTCAAGACCCTATCTTGAAAAACCCTTCACAAAAATAGGGCTGGTGGAGTGGCTCAGGGTGTAGACTCAGTACCGCAAAAAAAAAAAAAACACTATGAACTACCAGGGCCCCCAAACCAGAGCTAATGGAGTCTCAGCCCCACTACCCTCTGCCCAGCCAGCAATCAGACACCCCAGAGCAGTCATTTCAGAATTCCCATCACCCTGGGCCCCTCCTGCCGCTTCCTCCCACCCTGAGCCGTGGAGGGCAGGGGACACCTGCGTAGTTGGGCTCCGGGTCCTCCGCTTCATCAGGACTGTCCAGGGGTTCCAAGAAGGAAGCTGGGACCCAGCCCCGTTTTGTCTTCATCTGGCAGAACCACCAGCCTGTGCCAGGGCATGTGGAAGTGAGAGGGTCAGCTGTGTACCAAGGTGACAAGGACGCCAAGAGAGACACAGACACCCAGCACTCACATTCAGCAATGCCACCAAAGCCCACACCTGCACACACAGGCTCAGGGGACAACGATGAGTCCCTCCCCAGGATGTCCACCCGCATGAATGCAGTCTGCACACATGTCCCCACATGACCTCGGGCTGCCTGAGCCTGTGTAGGGGCCCCAGGGGCAGGGGAAGAGGAGGGAGGGCAGGGAGGGCTGACCGCTCTCGCTCTTCTCCACCACGTCCACCACGTCACCCGTGGCCACCGCCATCTCGGTGCTCGAGCTCTTGTTGTAATCTGCGATGGCGCGGTATGTCTGCAGGATGATGGGGCCCGTAATGTCTAGGGACAGAGGGAGGGCGGGTGAGCTGGGATGGCAGGGCAGTCCCCATGCAGGCCACCAGAGCTGGCAGTGACACCTGCCCCACCCAGCTAAGCCTCACCCAACTGCACAGTAGGTATCAGCACTGCATTTATTAAGCACCTAGCATCTTCCACATAGGGGAAAAGGGCTAGACTTCTTCTCAGGTGACAAGTTAACAAGGTGCCAGGGTGCCTTCTACCCCTTGAGCCACACCCCAGCCCTTTTGTTTTCAGTTTGCTTTTCAGACAGAGCCTCACTCTTTCACCCAGGCTGAACTTGGACCTCGATCTTCCTACCTCCACCTCCTGATTAGCTGGGATTACAGGTGTGTACTACCTCGCCTGGCTCTTCCATGGCTTTAATGTGGCTTAACATGTACTCAGATTGACTGGGAACCTTGCTAAAGCAGAGATTGTGACACCTAGAGCTGTGGGGACCTCAATGTGCACTTCCGATCAGCCCTAAAAATCATCGTTGTAATTCAACTACAGAAACTCTTAATGACAAACATCCGAAAAACACACCCATTAATAAAAATTATTAGCCACTCATTCATTGACCTCCCAACGCCATCCAGTATCTCAGCATGATGAAACTTCGGATCCCTGCTAGGAATTTGCTTAATCCTACAAATCGCAACAGGACTATTTCTAGCAGGGCGATGCTGTGCTGCCTTTTGGGATGAATTGTGACACCCCCCACCCCCAAATTCACATGTTGCAGCCCTAACCCCCACAAACTTAAGATGTGACTGAATTTGGAGATAAGGGCTCTTGTAAGAGGTGCTGTCCTGCCCTGCTCCCAAAACCCATTCATTCACTCAGTCACAAACATCCCCCAGGCCTCTTAGAGCAGGGTCTGTGTTGGACTCCACAGCCACAGATGTGAGGACACATGTGACACACCTGCAGTGTGACCGCCAAGACCCAGATCTTCCATGAGCAACCACAAGCCTGCACACCCTGCCTTCCCCTCCTGCCCCCTTCCCTGCCCACCCCACAGTGTGGATCCCCCAGGGTACCCCTGCCTGGGATGCCCCAGCCTCTCACCGGCCACGCTGCTCTTGCTGTCTTTGGGCATCAGGTAAGTCTCTGGCTTTTTTGCCCTGAGAAAAGAACACAGTCTCCGTCAGACTCTAGTTATCATGGGGAGGCTCTGGGTTAGACCTGCAAAAGGACTTCCCACCAGCAAATGGGACGAAGGAAATGACCATGACCCTGGGTCACGCCCAGAGACCTGCCAGGGGAGTTTGGGGGAATGACCAGGGCGTCTGCTGGCCAGCCTGAGGAAGGGGCAAAGGGGAGACCCCACCTAGCCTCCCTACAGAACCTAGAGACATGGCACCACCAGCCGGATAAAGTCAGTTCTGGAGCCCAAGAGAGCAGGCATGGGGAGGGGACCCCGGCAGGTGGGAGCTGCCCTTCCTTGGGCCAGGGGCAGGTTCAAGGTCAGGTCAGGCCACAGCTGGCAGGGGCCATGCTGTCAGCCTCTGTCTGGCAGCCAGGTGTCTCGGTGCAGGACACACCCCGCCTCCAGGCTGCCCCCCGTTTCAGTGACCAGAAAAGAATGGAAAGAGGTCCTCCAGGAGGCCTGGAGCCCAGGAGGCCTTCCCGATGCCTCCAGGTAGGGCCCTGGGACAGGAGCCCCAAAACCTCAGCAGTTAGCAGAGGTGCCCCGCATCCTCCAGGTGATGTCGTACAGTGACCAGCACTTGTCACCTATCGCTACCTCTGTCCTCACCACCCAATCCACACAGAGTGGAGGTCAGCAGCTTGAGGCGGCACAACCAGGCAGTCACGGGGTCAGACCCAGGACTTTGTGAGGTCTGGGTCCACTGTCCAGATTTAAAACCTTGCCTGCTACTTTTCCGTGCTGTGTGACTTCCGGCAAGCTGCTTCCCTCTCTGAACTTTTTCCAATCTGCAAGCCAGGGACAGTCCTGCCGCCCTCGGGGCTCCCTGTCCCCCTTCCCTGTCCCGTGTGGTGGGTGAAGCCGGCCACTCACTGGCTGTCCGTGGGTAGCTTGAGGTCGTCGGGGCGCACCTTGAAGAAGTCCAGCACGTATGGGCAGCGGGAGATCTTCCCTGGGAGCCCCATGAGTGTGCTGAAGTACTCGGTGAGCGTGCCCTGCCGGCTCTCGGCCACCCGCTGCCCATCGAACCACCTGGGGGCTGTGGCAGAGGACAGCCATGAGCGCAAGGTCAAGTTCAAGGGAGCCGGGAGGGGGGGCCCAGCCGCTCACCTGGGAGGTGCGGAATGACCCTGTTCTCTGCGGCGATCTCCCCCGCCTCAATAGGGAACATTTCTTTGAGTGTTTTCTAGATAGAAAGCAGAAGACTTTGTGTCCCTAACACCAGCAAGGTGGGGAAGTGTGACAACCTGAACCGCTCTCATCCCCGGCCTAGAAACTTCCCTGAAACCCCAGAAACCCTTTCCTCCCCCACCCCCGCCACTGGCTACCTGGTCAGAGCCACCTCCTCCCATCTCTGTCCCCTCCACCCTCGTCTGGCCTCAGTTAAGAAGCCACTTCCTGGTTGGCTGTGGGTAGCTTGAGGCCCCAAGCGACCTGTCCCTTCCTTCCTCACCTCTGCTGCCATCACTCTCCTCCTTCTCTCTGTTCCTGCCACCTGTGGACACTCAGGCCACCCCCGCCCCGGGCCTTTGCACTCTCAATTCCTATTATTCCTTCACCCCTCCCTTCTCTCTCCCCTGTCCTCTCCTCCTCCAGGTCTTTTCCTAAATGGCACCCCTCAGTGAGGCCTTTCCGTGATTAGGATCAATGTGCGACAGTGGCCCTCCTCCCGTCCCCACCCCCTTCCCTGCTTTATCTCTCTGCGGGTTTCAATCTACAGCAAATTGAATGATCCTCCCCATCTCAGCCTCCCAAATAGCTAGGATTACAGGTGTGAGGCACGGCGCCCGGCTTTTGTCATGAGGGGCTGGGGGATCCTGAGTTCCATGGCGCCCCACAGCCCCAAAGGGCAGAGCCACCACTGGACATGGCCCCCCTTCCTCCCGATCCCCCACACTCACGTGGAACTCATAGATCTCCGTGAACCGCCGGTAGACCACCTTCTCGGACAGGTCCTGCCACTTCACCAGGAACATGTACACCTGTGGAGGCCAGGATGGGTCACTCACCTCGCAGAGGGCGGCCCTACAGCCCCGGCTGGGAGCCTGGCAGGTTGGGGTGAGGGGGTCTTTGGGGCAGCCTGGGGCACACACAGGGCACAAGCTTCAGGTACTCAGCTGCCGACCCCAGGACTGGGTGTGGTGGCACATACCTGTAATCCCAGCTACCAGGAGGTAGAGGTAAAAGGATCGTGATCTGACAAAGGTAGCAGGGCCCTATCCCCAAAATACCTGAAGCAAAAATCGGCTGGGGGAGAGGCTCATGGGGTAGAGCACCTGCCTAGCAAGTGCAGGACCCTGAGTTCAAACTCAGTATTGCCAAAAAAAAAAAAAAAGGCAGCTCAACTTTGGGTCAGCTTCTGTGAAGGTCAGGACGTCTGTCCGCCCCAACAGCGGTTTGCCTGTCGGTGTCAATGTCAAGAGGTGGCTGTGCCTTTAAGAGGTGGGGCCTAGCGGGAGGCATTTAGGGAATGGATTGAGCGCTTCTGTGGGATCTTCGGTGGAATCCTGAGATCGAGATCAGCCTCTGTGTGACTCAAGTCCTCTCTCTCTCCCTCCCCTTCCTCCCCGTCCCTCTCGGGTGCCACCCCTCATGACATCCTAGCCAGAGCTGGCCCTGTGCCATTTATACTGCCAGCCTCCCCAACTGTGAGACAAATAAACCTCATTTCTTTAGAAGTACCCAGCCTTGGGTGTTTCCTTATAGTCAAGAAGTACAGCGTCTCTCCCATTAGCTAAGCCAGGCATGGCGATGCACTCGGGTAATTCCGGTGCTTGGGAGGCTGAGGCAGGAGGATCACGAGTTCCAGGGCAGCCTGGTTACAGAGTGAGACGCCCATCTCAGATTCCTCATCCAAAACTGGAAATAAAAGTAAAATGTCACACCCAGGACCAGCATGGGTGTCACACAAGGTAAGAAACGGAAGGGGCTGGGCTCAAACGATACAAGAACTCAGAAGGGGCCAGGCGCGGTGGCTCACTCTTGTAATCCCAGCTACTTGGGAGGCTGAGATCCAGAGGATCACTGTTGGAGGCCAGCCGTGCAAATAGTTCAGGAGACCCCCATCTCCAAAATAAGCAGAGCAAAACCAGACTGGAGGTGTGGTTCAAGCACTAGAGCACCTGCTTTGCCAGCACGAAGCCCTGAGTTCAAACCCCAGTCCCACCAAAAAAACAAATGAGAGGTAATGTGTGATTCCCCTTATAGGAAATGTCCAGAATAAGTAAATCTATATGGATAGAAATTATACACGTTGTTGCCAGGGGCTAGGGTGGACGGGGTCATGAAAACAGGCAGAGTGTTTTGTTTTGGGTTTTTCTGGAGGAGGTATAATGAAAAATGTCCTAAAATTACCTTTGGGCTTGACTGAACAGCTCTGAGTACACTTCAAACCATTGCATCGTGCACTTTACTGAGGTGGTTTGTATACTGTGTGAATTATATCTCAACAAAATTGTTAAAAACACTCAGGGAAAATAAACTGCAAACATATCAAAGGGAATACTACTCAGCCACGAAAAAGAAATGAGTGAGTGAAGCAGCAGAACCCAGGACGCACTGTGAAAGAGGTCAGACACAAAAGGTCACCCACGGCCCGGCACGGCACGATTCCACATCTGGGACCTTGTAGCAAAGGCAGCGTAAGGGGAGAGTGTACAGTGGTTGTTGGGATGAGGGATGATGGGTGCTGGTGCTCACACCTGTAATCCCAGCTACTTGGGAGGCAGAGATCAGGAGGATCGAGGTTCAAGACCAGCCCAGGCAGACAGTTTGTGAGACCCTATCTCAAAACCCCGTCACAAAAAAGGGCTGGTGGAGTGGCTCACGGTGTAGGCCCTGAGTTCAAACCCCAATACCACAAAAAAAAGGGAAAAAAAAAGATATTTAAGGAGAGAGGGGATGAAGGAGATGGAGGGAGGGAGACAGAGAGAGACCCTGTTCACACATAGCTTTTATTGTGTTGTTACAACTGTTCTATCTTATTGCCACTGTTAATCTTTTACTGAGCCTAATTTGTAATTTCACCGGTTCAGCCGGGTGTGGTGGCTCACATCTGTAATCCCAGCTACTTGGGAAGCTGAGGTCAGGAGGATCATGGTTCAAGGCCAGCCTAGGCAAATAGTTCACAAGACCCCATCTACAAAATAACTTGAGCAAAATGGACTGCAGGAGTGGCTGAAGCGCTAGAGCTCCTGTTTTGCAAGCATGAAGCCCTGAGTTCAAATCCCAGTCTCACCAAAAAGTTTTTTAAATCACTCTTGAGTGACACAGTCATTTTAGCCCAAAACTGTGAGGAACACGGAACCCCCGGGTTAGTCATTACTGACAAAGAACAAAAGACTGGACGGCAGAGAGACCTGAAAGACGCCCCCGGCCTGGGTTTCGAATACCACTGACCAGGACGCAGGGTGAACACAGCCTGGCCCTAAGACCCTCTGCATGACATAAACCGAAACCCGGGGAGGCCCCGGGGAACACGGCAGCTCTCTTCAAGATGGCACAGTTCCCAGCTCTCTCAGGAGTCAGAGGCAGGAGGAGCCAGAGTTCAAGGCCAGCCTGGGTGACACAGTGAGACTCCATCTCACACAACAGCCAGGGCACCTGCAATTCCCAGTTATTCGGAAGGAGGAGTTCTATCTGAGGTCAGCCCCAGGAAAAAAGTTATGGAGACTCCATCTCAACTAAGAAGCTGGGTGTGGTGGGTGTGGCTGTAATCCCAGCTACATGGAAGGCATAGGTAGGAGGATCAAGGTCCCTACCTGAAAAATAACTAAAGCAGAAAAAGCTGGGGACACGGCTGAAGTGGGGACATCTGCCTAGCAAGTTCAACCCCCAGCACAAAGTCAAAGTCGTGCGAGCTAATTGATCCTGGATTGAATCCTGACCTAAAAACCTTTTTTTACCACAAGGGACATCTGGGTGAAGTCCCCGTGACGAGCGTTGTTATGGAGGTTCGTGTGACCGGGCGCTGCTAGATTTCGGGAAGTTCACAGCAGGGACTTAGGGGGAAACGAAACACAGTGTCCTACTTACTGTCTAGAGATTCCAGAGAGAGACAGGAAACAGAGAAATGAGAGAGAGAGAGAGAGATAGAGAGAGAAAATGTGAGTGCAAATCTATTCCAGTTGTTAGTCCTTTGAGGGGAACACGTCCATAAATTTGAAATCACTTAAAATGAAGCCAGCCACAGTGGCTCACGCCTGTAATCCCAGCTACTCAGGAGGCAGAAAAGAAGGATCACAGTTCGGAGCCAAGCCTGGCAAATAGTTCTCGAGACCCCATCTCGAAAAAACCCATCACAAAAGAAGGGCTGGTGGAGTGGCTCAGGGTGTAGGCTCTGAGTTCAAACCCCAGTACTGAGAGAGCGAAAAGGAAGGGGAGGGAGAGAGAGAGAGAGAGAGAGAGAGAGAGAGAGGGAGAGGGAGAGGGAGGGAGAGATCGGTCTTAGCACTAAACATCCCATTTGAGTACCACAGGATCTGAGTTGAGTCCCCTGGCCCTCCTCTGGGCTTAGAAACCAGGAACATGGTGGCCTGGACAGACAGACATTTCTCCAGCCTCCCAGGGAAGCAGTGACCGTGCCCCGCCCCCCGGGTGCTGTCGCTTTTCTGGAAGGCACAACACATTAATGTAGCATGGATGGCTGGAGGACAGCGTGCCAGGCCTCCCAGAGCTGGACTGGTCAGGGAGGGCTCCCTGGAGGAGTGGGCCTTGGTCCTGGGCTCTGAGCTGCAGGTGGTGGCAGTGGGGAGGGGACTGGGTAGGGCAGGACCAAAAGGTTGGTATCTGGGCCAGGCTTGGATGGCGTCTTTGGCGGAAAGGGGGTCCATGGCCATTGCTGACCCCCGACGGGCAGACTGAGGCCCAAAGACCTGGGCACAAGTGCCCAACCAAGCCCCCGCCCCATGACCCTCCCCAGTCCAGGTGGCCCTAGGGGTGGCGAGGGTGACAGCACTGTCCCCTGGCTGCGTGCCACTGCCTACTCACGTAGTGCTGGCTGGGGACGAAGCGCTTTTCGAAGCCCAGAAGGGCAATGTGACGGATGAAGATGTCCCCCATGGCTGGGCAGCAGCCGGGCCTCGACTTCCCTTGTCACCCGGGCAGGGCCTTATATGTGCTGGAGAGAGGAAGTCACTTGTGTGTTTTCAGGGCTGGGGACGGTGCGGGGAGGGCGCAGAAAACCCTCTGCTTCTGCTTTCAGTTTCTGAGTATCCTTTGAGCAACAGCGGGGAGGGAGGTGGCCAGCCACAGGCACACACGTGTGCAGGGACAGCTGGCCCCTGTGCTGGCTGGGTCACAAGGCTGGGCACTTTGGGGGTGTCCATCTTCTCCTGCCTGCCCTCCTCTGGGTCCAGCTGCCTTGGCATCTTTGCAGGTCTGAACACACCCAGCTGCTCCTCGGACCCCAAGACCTTTGCACGTGCTGTGCCCTTGTTTCCTGTCCTCCCTCCCTCCCTCTCTCTCTCTCTCTCTCTCTCTCTCTCTCTCTCCCCCCGCCCCCATTTCCTGCAGGTTTCTACTCAAATCTCATTGCTAACCTCACGTAAAACAGCAAACTTCATGCCCACCCACCCCTGCCCGCACTTGCCCTCACTGATGGGTCAGTGTTGTGACTTTTGTGCAACGTCCCCCTTGCCAGCCCCTGAGTCCCCTTGGAGCAGGGACTTGGGCTGTTCGGTCAAGGGCTCTAATCTGCTCGTGGCCCCTGTTAGGGTGCGAATGAGTGAATAAGTGATTGCATTCTTCCTGGAGCGCGAGCCAGTGCGCAGTGCGCCTCGGCCGTGTGCAGCTGAGGACCAGGCGCGGCTCAGATGGCGAAGTGCCCCGAGTTCGAATCGTGCCTCCGAGCTGTTTCCTCGTGAGGGAACGCAGCTGCAGCCGCTGCCTGCAAGGGGACTTGGGGAGAAGGGAGAGGGGGAGGCAGGGCAGGTCCCGGGCCCCCCTCCCACTCCCGCGTCGAGGCGGGTCGGGTTGAGGGGGACCAAGACCCACTGCTTCCCGCCTACAATGGCTGGCCCTGTTACACATGCATCTGAGAGGTGGGGCCTGTCACCTGCAGCCCGCTCCCCTCCCCCACCCGGAGGTCCCCTGCCCTGGGGGCCCAGCTCTGAAGTCACTTCTAGTTCTGCCTCGGGATCGTCCCACGCAGAGCCTTCCAGAAGCGGTCAGGCGGGACAGGAATGCTGGGAAACCACCTCGGCCAGCCCGTGGTGCTGGCAGCCAGGCTGACCTCTGGGGACAGGGGTGACCAGAGAGGACTGGATGGGAAGGAAGCTCCTTCCTCAGTGCGTGGGGCGGCATGAGAGCGGTGCCGTGGGCACCTTTCCCAGGAGGAAGTTGGAAACCAGTGATGCTGAGCGCTCGCAGGTGCCACTGTCCCGCAGGCTGCGGTCAGGGCAGGGTCCCCTCCCCGGTGTACCCCTGCGGGGCTGCTCACCTGGGCTTGGCTGCGGAAGGGAAGCAGGCAGGCCCCGGGGACTTGCCCCACCGCTTCCTTCCCTTCCTCTCCACTCTTGCACAAGGCCGGCCCCTGGCCTTGTCCTGCAGACACGGGCTGTGGCACGAGGGAGTCCGCGGGCCGAGAACTGGCATTTGACCCTGTGGTGACCTTTACAGAGGCCCAGCCACCGCCCTTTTGTCAGAATAACAGTTTATTTTCATGCATGGTGAGAGGCAGGACTGAATGATTTAAGGTGTGTTTAAAAGACTCCTATGGCTGGGCCCCGGTGACCCACGCCTGTCATCCCAGCTACTCAGGAGGCAGAGGTCAGGAGGATCGAGGTTCGAAGTCAGCTTGGGCAAATAGTTTGAGAGCCCCTATCTCGAAAAACCCATTACAAAAATTGAGGGGGGGGTGGAGTGGCTCAAGGTGAACCCCTGAGTTCAAGCCCCAGTACCCCCCCACACACACACAAAGCTTGTCTGGGCGCCAGTGGCTCACGCCTGTAATCCTAGCTACTTGGGAGGCCGAGATCAGGAGGATCATGGTTCAAGGCCAGTCCCAGACAAACAGTCCGTGAGACCCCTCATCTCCACAATAACCTGGGCAAAATGGACTGGAGGTGTGGCTCAAGTGGTAGAGCACCTGCTTTGCAAGTGTGAAGACCTGAGTTCAAATCCCAGTCCCACTAAAAAAAAAAAAGTAACTCTTGCAGACATCCAGTTAACTGCCCAATTTCCTGCACCTCCCACAGGGTGCCAGGCCCCGGCATAGAAGTTCTGTGCTTTTGAACACATCCTCTCACGAGAGGCCTCTCGGGCAGCAGGGCTGTGCCCCCCACTTCACAGATGGTAAAACGGGCAGAGGTAGTGGGTTTCCGGTAAGCACTGAGCTGGGATTTGAACCCAGGCACTCTGGACCCAGGCCATGCTCACCACCGGGTGCCCTGCCCTCGAGTGAGTAGTTGAGGTGGGGGCTCCCGATGGGAACAGCCGGCGTGAGCACCCCAAAAGAGGGACCTCTCATACCAGGCCAGATAAGAGGAGAGGCCTCCCGGTCGGGCCTCTCCCCGGACGCCACCTTCTCCACCCTCAGGCCGCTTGGCTTCCCCAGATGGGCTGAGCCGCTCATTTCCTTAGCCAGGAAACCCCCAAGGCTCAGCCAGCGGGGACTGCGCGGGAAGGGGCCTGGTGACGGGCAGCCGCAATCTGCCAGGTGGAGGGAACCCGCCTTCCCAGGGTTGGCCCTGCCTTCCTTGGGGGGTTCTTTACAGGTCCACCCAAGCCCTCCCGCGGCCCCTCAACGAGTGACAAACATCCCTGTGAGGCCACGGGTGACAGATGACCTGCTGAGCTACCTGGCTGTGATGCAGGCAATCAGGTCCTCTCTCTATGAGGACCGCTCACTAGGTCTCTGACCACCAGGGACCCCAAACCTTTGTTCTCAGCAAAACTGGACCCAACATGGAGGCTGCCTGGCGGGAAATGGACCCTGAGGTCTCCTCAGGTCACCTAATGGCTGCACAGGACCAGCTGCTGACACCTCTACCACCTCCCTGGAAAGTACCGTCTCCAGGCCCCACTGGGAGGGCTTCATACCCACTGGGCTGTGCTCATGGCGACCCAGCCCCTCCATTCCCAGCTGTGGCACTCGTTGGAAAGCTTACTAAGCTTTGTTATTTTTTGGTGGCACTGGGATTTGAACTCAGGGTCTTGCAGTTGCAACACTCCCAGCTTTTATTTTTGCTTTAGTTATCTTTCAGATAGGGTCTGTCATGTCTTTGCCCTTGTCTGACCTGGACTGTAATCCTTCTATCTCCCGCATAGCTGGGATTATAGATGTGTGCCACTATGCCTGGCATATCAGCTGAGATAGGGTCTTGTTTGCTAGGTATGGCCAGACTAGATTGTGAGCTTCCTGTCTACACCTCCTGCATATGTGTGATGACAGATGTGCACCACCACACCTGGGTTATTGAGAGGTGGGAGTCGCTTTTTGCCTAGACTGGTCTTGAACCATGATCCTCCAGATCTCTGCCTCCTGAGGGGTTGGAATTATAGGTGTGCACCACCATGCCCAGCCCCAAGTCTGTTTTCATTTGTACATGGCACTGTGCCCTTTCTTGTTGTGAGGACAGGAGGTGGCTTGTCCAACACTGGCTGTCACTGGATTCAAACTGTACCCAGCAGGCTCTGAGGTGGAGCGGGGTGGGGGCAGCCAGGTCACGAGCAAGGGTGGAATCTGGCTCCAGCTGGGCTCTGGGTGCGTGTCACTGGCAGGGTCTCCCGGCTAGTCTTGCTTGCAGGGTGAGGCGCTGTTTGCTTTCCTAGACAGGGTCAGGTTGGCAAGTGACCCAAGCCACAGGCAGGCCAAGTGTCTCACTGTGCCGCCGCTCCTGGCAGAGCTCAGCGGGTCAGAGGTGTCACAGGCTCCTCAGTCACCAAGAATGATGCCAGGAGCATGGCCACCCCAGTGGCCTTTCTGAGGAAGTGACACTTTGAGCCCTGTTCTTGGGGCTGCCAGCTGATGGTGGGTTGTGGACATGCGGCCACTCCCGAGGGGAGACTGAGGCTGGTAGCTGGCCTGCCAAAGGGTGTTCGACCAGCGAGTGATGGACCGGTGTAGGGAGTCGAGGTCATGTCACCTTGCAGGGTCCTGCCTTTCAACTGGCACCAGGCCACCGACGGCAGGAGGGGCCCTCCCAGACTAAGGACAGGGAGATGGCCTTCAGCTCGCTGGCTGTGGCTCCCAAGCCCCCTCTGCCTCTTCCTGGGAGTCCAGATGCTGCCCAGGGCAAGGCCCTGGTGCTGGGTCACTGCAGCCTCCCTGCCCCGTGACCCTGGCAGGCTGTGCGGGGAGCACCTGGAGGCCGCACCGGACACACATGCTTGGACGGACCGCCCTGTTGCTGCGAGCCGAGGCAGGAAGCACCATTGTCAAGGGCGCCCTCACATCTTGCTTCAACAGCAACGCTCCCCGCACTTCCCTAAGTGAACGAGAGGCTGTGTGGGGGGAGGCCAGGCTGAGCAGGGAGGGGACAGATGGCAGGGCAGCGGCCAGCACCGCACCTCACAGCAGCAGCAGGCCTCGGAGGTGAAGGGTGTCGGCCATTCAAGCTGGAGCGGGGCAGGGGGAGCGAGGATGGAGGGACACAAGGCAACCTGGAAGACGGGGCTCTCAAAGCCCACCCGATTTCCGGAAGATGCCCGTTGGTCACCACTACCTGCTCACCCATGTTCCCTCCCACCAACACCCTGACACCACCCCTCAGCCCAGGCTCGCGTTGGGGGGGGGGGGGTGGGGGGGGGGGGGGGGGGGGGGGGGGGGGGGGGGGGGGGGGGGGGGGGGGGGGGGGGGGGGGGGGGGGGGGGGGGGGGGGGGGGGGGGGGGGGGGGGGGGGGGGGGGGGGGGGGGGGGGGGGGGGGGGGGGGGGGGGGGGGGGGGGGGGGGGGGGGGGGGGGGGGGGGGGGGGGGGGGGGGGGGGGGGGGGGGGGGGGGGGGGGGGGGGGGGGGGGGGGGGGGGGGGGGGGGGGGGGGGGGGGGGGGGGGGGGGGGGGGGGGGGGGGGGGGGGGGGGGGGGGGGGGGGGGGGGGGGGGGGGGGGGGGGGGGGGGGGGGGGGGGGGGGGGGGGGGGGGGGGGGGGGGGGGGGGGGGGGGGGGGGGGGGGGGGGGGGGGGGGGGGGGGGGGGGGGGGGGGGGGGGGGGGGGGGGGGGGGGGGGGGGGGGGGGGGGGGGGGGGGGGGGGGGGGGGGGGGGGGGGGGGGGGGGGGGGGGGGGGGGGGGGGGGGGGGGGGGGGGGGGGGGGGGGGGGGGGGGGGGTGGGGTGGGGGGGGGGGGGGGGGGGACAGTGCTCAGTCTGACCTCCCGCAGACCTTCTGGTTTCTAGGGGGAGGCGACAGAGATGGAGGCTGCAGGGATGCTCAGCACAAAGTATTTCAAAAAGGGGTGACATGGACTGCAGGTGTGGCTCAGCAGCAGAGCACCTGCTTTGCAAGCGCAAACCCAAGCCCTGGATTTTCATCCCCAGCACCAATAAATAAATAATCTTCCACTCTAGGGAAGGTTGCTTGTAGGCCAGAGGCTCCGCCTCTATGAATCCTCCTCTGACCACCTCCCAGAGAAAGGAGATTTTTTTCTCCCTTCTTCCTTCAGTAGCCAAGAGGATTGGGAAGTGAGAAGTCCCCTCAGAGAACAGAGCTTTTCATTGGGAAAAGATAGGAATTGGCTAGACAGAGAAATGAAGGAAGAACATTCTAGGCAGAGAGCTGAAGATGGGGCAGGTTTGGACATCGTGGCTAACCTTAGGGTTTGGAGGCAGAGAGCACAAGTGGTGAGAGTGACACAGGAATCGGTCACCCTGGCCCCTGAGTGTGTTGACTGAACTAGAGTCACACCTAGTTAGGTGACAGTGTCACTCAGGGCCCAAGTGACAGGATGGTGCAGTCTGGCAGACAGAGGTGAGCACGCTAACCAGATGGTCGTCAGCAGAGTCCCACCAGCAGACTTCACGCAGAACAGGGGCTCCGGAAACTCTGAGAAATAAATTACTGGGCTGGGCACCGGTGGCTCAACTGAGAGAGGACTTTTTTCTTTTTTGGCAGTACTGGTTTGAACTCAGGGTCTCACACTTGCTAGGCAGGTGCTCTACCACTTGAGCCACTCTGCCAGCTCCTTTTAGTGTTGGGTATTTTCAAGATAGGGTCTCCCAAACTAGTTGCACAGGCTGGCCTTAAACTGCCAGCCTTCTGAGTAGCTGGGATTACAGGCAGGAGCCACTAGGACCCAGTCTGAGTGACTGCTTTGCAAGTGCAAAGCCCTGAGTTCAAACCCGTCCCCCAAAAAAAAGGGGGGCTTGTGACAGCCTGCTTTTGAGGAGCATCCTAGGACACAAAAGACCACAGGTGCGGGTCCCCAAGCCTCTTGAATGACTGAGACTACTTCTTCAGCTGCGAGGTTTCCAAACCTGAACTCGCACATCAACAGGACGAAGACCCATTTTTAAAATGGCATTTTACAATGTGCTGAGAGCCGCACCTGCCCAGCAGAGCCTGGTCTCCTGGCCCTGCAGACGTGAGCTCCAGCAGGACGGAAGCACATCCTGGGGAGGTCATTTCCTTGGCTGACTTCTGTGAAGTGTACCAAGGCTACAGTGTCTAGCCGTGGACGTCGGAGTTGGCCACAAAGCCTTTCTCTCGGTCACCCTGCTCCGTCACCTGGGCATGCATCTCACTAACAGGGAATCAGACAAGCACTCTCGGTTCTGAGATGTACTTGAACTCCACGTTTTCCAACAAAGCCTTTGCTTGAACTGGTCATTTTGTGAAGTGGTCCTGGGGTCTGGGTTCAGGGGATCTGCCCCTCCCCCCAAGGCATGATGATACCATGACCTCTGCACCAGAAGCCAATGTCTGTTCGAGTTGTTACTGGGCTCTCACTTGGCAGGGTGGGCGTCACTGCCCGTGACCCTGCTCCAGGGCCATCTGTGTGCTGTGCCATGGGCCCACGTGAAGGCCTGGCCCCCAGGCCATGGTGCTTCAGGGGGACGCTGAAGCCTTTAGGGAGGGTGGGTTCCACACTCCAGGTCCCTTTCTCTCTTGCTTCTCTACCACCCGTCTCCGCCTCGGTGCTGCTAGTACAGTCCCAAAGCAGCAGGGCCAACTGGCACTGACCATGGCTTGGAAGCTCCAGAACTGGGGTGCCATCAACCTTTGCTCCTTGTCACCTAGCTCTGGCTTTCTGTCACATCACGGATGGTAAACATACCCCAGCTGATAAGGGGACAGTCTGGCAGGGACTTGCCTGCTGGGACACAGGTAGCAGCTTGGGAGCAGGGCAGCGCGCCGTTATTTTCTCGTGAAGCATGGTTTCCAGGTAGGAGGCGAGAGGCCCAATCCTAGGAACAATGGTGTCATCCATGTAAAGCCACCAACCCCTCCTCAGGCTCCCCAGCTACTCATGAAGACACCTTACAAAGACATGGTGAGTGTGTGAAAGGCATGGATGGATTTATTTCTTACCCTATATCTACAATCCGAGGTAAAATATAAGCAACACATAGAAATGCCTATTCTGCTACCAGGTGATAGAACTCCATCGTGGATACCGTGATAAAGCTAACGAAATCGCTACGCCATCGCACCCTCTAGCTCCGACAGCTGGTTCTGTACAACTCTGTGAAAGTCCCGCACTGGCAGATCCGGGTGCAGAATGAGCTCGCTGGCCCCTCGCCCCACGTGGGGCCTCAGTGTTACAAGCAGGATCAGACAAGAACGAAGGCAATGACAACCCCCTGGCCCTGACCCGAGCGGAACAGCGCTCCAAACAATCCCGTGCCACTCGGGCAGCTGGTCCAGTACTCATACCTGACCGACGCCCGTGGGACATGGTGCCTTTTGTATGTGAGGACAAAAAGTGAGAGTGGAAGAGGCTGTCTGTTGGTCGTCTCTGGACACTGACTGTCCGGTAGTCCAGACGGTCTTCTTTTCATTGTGGTAAGAACATATGAACCATGATACATAGCTTAGGAAGAGGCTAGTCACATATACAGACACCAGCTGTTCACTCGGTCCCCAAGGGCAGCTGTGAACAGTGGATCACTTAATGATCTGCAAATAGAAAAACCAAAGAACCAAACATCCCAGGACTTCTCTTTGTGGCAGAAGCTGAGATGCGGCACCAGGAGATGTCTTTGCGCGACTGGAAAACACTGCAGCCAGAGGCGGCTCTGCTGAACACGTAAAAAATCAGATGAGATCGTCCCTGTCATTTTCCCTGTCGTCTTTCCAGCATTGCTGCAAAATCCTTATAATACATTCCAAAGTCAGCCAGCCATTCCAAATCTACAGTCACTCTGCTCTTTAATTCAATTCACAGAACTGCTGAAAAAGTAGACATCTCTATCTAAAAGTAGAAAAGGAGGTTTGTATAGAAGGCGTTTCTGTTGTACACGTATATTACACAGCGGGCAGCTCTTCTCAACCACGGGGACGCCAGCTACGGGAGACAAAACAAACAGCAAGCCAACAGGTTAGACAGGTGACAGGGACCCGGCACCCGCACACGTCACACTGAGAGCACGTGCTGAAAAGCTTGCGAGTCCAGGAATTGCCACGGTTAAGGCAAATGCCACACGAGTCCCTATCAGGAAAACACCGTCATGCTGCAGGTCAGAACCAACCCTGTCTGCAGCACCAACCCCTCCATGGGAGCACACACCCCACGAGGCTCAGGGAGGACAGAAGGACAGAGTGGAGCTTCGTGGGCTCTGGTCTACACCCAGCCTCCTATTAACAACCTGGCCAGGACTTGTAACTCGACCTGCACAAGTGATAGCGGCTGTCAAGAGTGACAGCTACTCCACTGTGCAGCCAGGACCACAGGGAAGGGATAAGGGTCAGGCAGTGATGGAGAGGGCGAGGTATGGCCAACAGACAGAAACACAACCTGTCCCTTTGAAGAGCAGTGCTATGATACCTGTGACTGACAGACACATGGGGACTCAAGGTGATTACAGTTCTAGGGCCAAGTCCCCAGCAGGGTTGTCCCTGCCCCAGCTCAAGGACTTGCGGGCAGACCACACGCACACCACACAGGAGCAAGACACAGGGCTGATTTACCCTGGAAGGAAGTGGGGAAAGAGGTCTACCACGTGGGGTCCGGTTCCTGTTTGATCTGAGAGTTTCCATCCGTCTCTTTCATTTCTACCAGGAGAAACAGAGGGTACTGGTTAGTTGCACTAATGACACAAATCTGCTTGACTGTAACTCCATTTGTACCAAACTCCTTAGCCAGATAGGACAGAAGGGTTAGTGCTTCAATGCTATGTGATTTCTGGCATTTTTTTTTTTTTTTTCTGGTGGTGCTGAGGATGGAGCCCAGGGCCCTGTACATGGGAGACAGGTGCTCTAGCACTGAGCTATACCCCAGCCTGCCATGTAGGGATCTGACTGAGCCTGTGTACTACATGGTACATGCTATCTGGGTGCACAGCAGTCATCTGACTGTTTTAGAATCCATCAGGAGTTCTCTGGGGAGCTCGGTACTGGTGGCTCAAGCCTGTAATCCTAGCTACTCCGGAGGCAGAGATCAGGAGGATGGTAGTTTGAGACCAGCCAGGGCAAGTAGTTTATGAGACCCTATCTCAAAAAAAACCCAACACAAAAAAGGGGCTGGTGGAGTGGCTCAAGTGGTAGGCCCTGAGTTTAAACCCCAGTACTGGGGGGGAAAAAAAAAAAAAGAAAGAAAAAAAAAGTCCTGTAATTTGGACATGACTTTGGTCATTCCCACTTGGTGTTATTTTATGGGACAAAGAAACCCAGAGCACCACTGACTCCAATGGTTCTTGCATAAACTGCAAATCCAGTTCACCCAGAAACTGAGGAACCCCGAGGACGGAGACAGCACGCAGCTGATAAAACACAGCTAGCCTCTGTCCTACAGGCCTTAAGGAACTTCCTGCTTTCTCTACCGAGTATCCCTTTACCTTCTGTTGCTGGACCTTCCATCTGGCTGGGCTCAGCTGATTCTAGAAAGAAAGACAGGAAGATGGACTTTAACAGTGTTCAGAAGTTGCTTTCCACTAGGTAAAGAAGCTACAAGGAGAGAGGGCAAAAGCCCTCCAGGCTCTCTGCACACGGGCCAAAGGAAGGAGACGCACCATCATAGGACGTCGAGTTCCTGCTCCTCCGAGAGGTGTAAGTGAGCACCATGTGCAACAGAAGTCTAAACTAACATTGGGGTTTTTCTTTGAGCTGGGATGGAACCCACGCATGTGAAGCCTGTGCTCTGCCACTGAGCTGCACCCCCAGTGCCAGGTAACAAGCCTCACACAGACCGACCAGAGAGGAGGTTCCTCTTCACATATTGGCCTGGCCTTCCAGCTCATCACTTTCCACGAATGGCAGGAGGGGGCAGCCACTGCCCACGTTCATGGACTTTTCAAAACCGTGACACACATCCCTCCCCACACAACCTGCTCGTGAAGCCAACCTGGTCTGTGGGCTCAGGTGGTCTGCGGCCTACAGTTCTGAGTCAGGACCCACAGTTGGAGGTGATGTCAACATGAGAGTCAGGGAGCTAAGACTGTGTGAGTATGTGTGCAGGCACACGCGTGTGTACACGGTATCCGTGACTTCCCACAGAGCTGGCAAGTGTGAGCAGGGGATGGGGTGTGTGACACTCTTGTTTCATTCTGCACCTCTTACCTTGTATCACTGGGCCTTCTGACTCATTCTGATCAACCAACTCTGAAAGGAAAGTGATGGTTTAGATGACAACGCAAGACCACAAGGCCACAATGCCACACCCACCTGTGCCTTGCTCCAGCTTCACCCTTGGGGCCTGGTTTCCTTATGACGAGGGTGGAGCAAGCACCAGGGGTTCTGGTGTATTAACCAAAATCACTAACATCAGAGTAATCATCAGAAAACCCTACTACAGCCTTGCACAGAAGAACAAGAACATTTTGAACAAAGTTGGGGACAGGTAAGCTGAGAGGACAATATTCCTCCTTGGGAACTAAAAATATACAACAGATGAACTGAAGTTTACAAAAAAGAGCCAACGAGAAAATGATCATAGGCTTTCTATTAATGACAAAATTCCATGTGATTGAAGCTGAACGTCAGTAAACTCAAGCACCATGAAGCAGGGACACCTCTCCTCTTTGCTGGCACCACCAGACAAGCACACCCTTGGCAGAACAGAAGGCATACTACAAGCAGAGTCTACAGAAACTGACTCTTGGCTTATGGTATAAGTGAACTCGACAGGAAGTGTCTGACCCAATCCATGATGCTGCCCCAGGAACAGGGCCACCTGTGTGAGGCAGGAGGAGTGAGGGGCTGGGATGCACTGGCCTTTTGAATGCCGAGGCGCTAAGACACCCACAGCCCCGCCACCACCCCTGGATGGCACAGGAGACGGTGTGGTTTCTGTGAAGAGAGTCAGTTGCAGATGGTTTGGAGTAGGGACAGGAATTCTAACTGGGAAGACACTGGAAATGCTAAAGGGACCAAGGAAGCACGCCAGGTGCACTGTGATTGTGGAAAAACAGAGTCAACAGGACAACAAAGAACATCCTAGCATGACGAAGTCAAGGCCTGGAAGGTCACCTCCACTGGTTCCCTCAGTGCGAGAGCCTGCGCTCAGGCGCCACCTGCTGTGTCAACAGACACAGTGCCATCACAGAGCAGCAGGTGCGCTGCAGTGAGAACAAGAGTAGACTGTCTGCTGGGAGCCAGTGACAGGGCAGCCCTGCAGATGTCCTCACTACCATGAGACATTTCTCCCTTGGTAGGCTGCACAGTAGCCAGAGACTGGGGGGCAGGGGGGTGTTCCACTAAAGCTGCTCAGACACAGGCAGGAGTTTGCTAACATAGGTTTAGGTATTTCCATACAGCGAGTCACTTCAAGTGCTATAGCCCAAGCCAAGTGGTCACCACTTGTAACAGAAGACAGACATGCCACCCACCCGTCCTCTTGGACCCCAGGACAAACAAGCATCAGAAATACTCACGGTTGTTAATCACCAGGCCTGGGAATGGTCTGAAGAGAAAAGGAAATTGCACATGTAACAGCTGGCGTCTGTTCTATACTCATTCACTCTTTTTTTCTTTTCTTTTTCGCGGCACTGGGGCTTGAACTCAGGGCCTACACTTTCAGCCACTTCACTGCTCTTTTTTGTGATCAGTTTTTTCGAGATATGGTCTTGAGAACTATTTGCTCAGGCTGATTTCAAACCTCTATCCTCCTGATCTCCTGGGTAGCTGGGATTACAGCGTGAGCACCAGATTTCAGTTACCATGTGCACACTGCATATGTGGTATAGATTATATAGTCATTTACTCCATGTGATGTAGATATTAGCTATATGTCATAGTACATGTTACACATCAGATCAATAATCACGAATTTAACACACACATGAACAACTAGAACAGAGCCACTGTCAGATGACATCCCACCCTGGGAGCACAGGAAGGAGTAGAGTCATCGTTCTTCTCACACGGGCTGCCGGAAAGGGCTTCCACTGACCCAAGAAACCTCTATTTTGAGAATGACAGGTGAACCCACAGTATTCCTAGGGAAGGAGCTGGGCTAGAGCAAAGAGGAAATGCCGCAAGAGCACAATGGTTCATGCCTGTAATCCCAGCTACTTGTGAGACTGAGACCTGGAGGATCACAGTTCAAGGCTTATCTGTGCAAATAGTTTTCAAGACCCTGTCTCCAAAATACCAGAGCAAAATGGACTGGAGGTGTGGCTCAAGTGGCAGAACACCTGCTTTGCAAGTGCGAAGCCTTGAGTTCAAATCCCAGTCCCACCAAAAAAAAAAAAAAAAAAAAAAAGAAAATGCCTTGGGAGAGTAGGTAGTGCAATGCTGGGGGAAGGGGTCTTGGGTAGATAAGCAGGAACCAGATGATAGATGGGGTCAATCTGGTGGGATCCAGCTTTGCAGGGGTCAGGAGAGTTAAGATCACTTGAGGACTTTGCATATGGAGATGTCGCTTATGTGACAAGCAAATGCTGATGGAGGGTGGAGGGTGGGAATGGACATCATTTCCACTCTAGCCAGTCAATCAGTGCTCTCAGGAGGAGCAAGCAGCATCCTCACCACACGCACAAGAAAACACAAGTGACATGGCAACCAAATGGCTGGCAAAATGTTTCTGTAAAGTGACAGACAATGCCAGGCACTGGTGGTTCACACATGTGATCCCAGCTACTCAGGAGGCAGAGATCAGGAGGATTAACGCTCGAAGTCAGCCCAAGAAAATAATTCATGAGACCCTATCTCGAAAAAACCCTTCACAATAAATGGCTGGCGGAGTGGCTCAAGGTGTAGGCCCTGAGTTCAAGCCCCAGTACTATAAATATAAAAAAGAATAAAGTGACAGACAGTAAACTATTCTAATCTAGTCTCTATAGGCCCAACTGTCTCTCCCCCAACTACTCAAATTTTCCTCAGAACAGATAAAGCTGTCGCAGACAACACATATGGATTAAATGTAACCGTGTTCCAAAAGACCAGAAAAATAGGTGGCAGAAAAATAGGTGGCAGGGTGGACTCTGGTCCACAGGCCGTGATTTACCAACCTCTGGCATTAAAAACTGGAGTCTCCATCATCTAGGTAGTTGGGTACAGTGGTGCATGCCTGTAATCCTAGCACTCCAGAGGCTGAGATCGGAAGTCACTAGAGCTCAGGAGTTGGAGACCAGTTTGTGCAACATAGCAAGACTCCACCAAAAAAAAAAAAAGGGAGACAAGCCAGGTGTAGCAGTGCAAGCCTACAAGCTGCTGTTGGGAGCCTGGGGCAGGAGGACCAAGAGTTCAAGGCCAGCCTGGGCTACATAAAAGGATCCTGTCTCAAAAGAAAAAAGTTAGCTGAGAAGCTGGGGGTCTAGCTCTGGTAGAGTGCTGGCCTAGTGTGCGTTTTGAGGCCCTTGGTCGGATCCCCGGCACTGCCCCTCCAGAGTTAATGAGAGGAGTAACAATAAAAGTAAGCTGGGGAGTACGAAATGCAACCTTCTGCTGATTAACAAGCCCGTGGGTTCATCACACTACAAGCTGTGCCGCAGGCTGCACAGCCCTGCACCTGGGGCCGTGACAGCCTGACGACCTTCAGACCTGCCTGGCTGAGTGGCAACGCTCACTCACCTAATGACTGTGAACTTGATGAACTCAGCAGAATCTAAGATCCTTCTCATGGAGCTGATTTCCAGGTAACTGGGGGCTTTGAACGACACCCCGGGGGGCATGCCGTCCACCACCACGCAGCCAGGGTTGATGGTGATTTTCCTATAGGGAACTTTCACAGGGAAGCCCATGCCGATCGCCTCCCCTGCAATGAGACAGCGGTGGGGTCAGAACAGCAGCCTAATGATTTCAAGTGGCAACAGAAACAAAGACCAGCATTTAGCTTACAGGTTGTCTGTGCTGTTAACAGAGGCCTTTGCACACAGCAAACAAACCTAACATTAACGTGAATTTTATTGACTTTAATATTGACCATCCACAGAAACCACACGTAATGTTCATGAAAGAAACGTAGTGAAAGCACCCGGTTCCGTTCTGCAAGGAGATTCCACAACCTAACACCGCTGACTGACAGGACCGCTTAAACCCCTCCAGGCTGAGCACATCGCGACACGTACCGAACTTCCGGCTGAAGAGGTCGTTCACTTGCTCTCTCAGCTGCCTGGCCTTCTCAACTTTGGACAGTCTTTCGTTATCATCATCTAAAAATCAAAAAGAAGAAACCCAAACAATCAGTGCACGAGAAACCTAAAGCAAAGCCTCAGAAGCTCTGTGTGAGGGCTATCGGGAAGGGTTTAGAATTACACCAGTCCCAGCTGCTTGGGACAGGGAGATTAGGAAGGTTTCTGTCCAAGGACAGGCAAGGCAAAAAGTTATGAGTCCCCAAGTCAGTTAACAAGCCAGAACAGTGGCTCTTGCCTGTGATCCCAGCTACTTGGGAGACAGTAGGTAGGAGGACCATGGTTTGAGGCTAGCCATGGACAAACACATAAAGTCCTAACCTAAAAATAACTAAAGCAAAAACAAGTCTGGACATGGCTCAGGTGGTAGAGCACCTGCCTAGAAGCATGAGGCCCTTAGTTCAAATCCCAGTACCGAAAAAAAAAAATTTAAAGCACCAACTGAAAATGCTCCAACCTTCTTCCTGTTTTGTGAAAGGACAGACAGACATTTGGGTCTGAGCTTGAGCCTGAGTTGCTGAGTCACAAACTGGCAGTGTGAAGTATTTGGCCAAGCGTGTAGGCTGGACATCCCCAAGTGATGGAAGGAGTCCCGGTAACCTGAGACAGGAGGGCCTGAGAGAAGCTAGGAGACCACAAAGGACAATGCGGGCAAAAGTCACACCTGGAATTGTCACCTGGATGATGTTAAGGTCTTCGACGCCGGATGCAGTAGTATTGACGTTGGGAGATGAGTTGATTTTCCCTGGAGACAGAAAGGCAGGGTCAGCGCTTAGGGCAGACGCCCTGCCCATGTTTCTGCTAACAGCACAGAAGCCACAACTTGCCATCCCAGCTCCAGGACACTTACGGGGAGGGCTCTTGGAGGACGTGCTCTCCTTGATGGCCGTCTCGAACATCTCGGGCCTGGAGCAAGAGGGAAATGTGTGTGCTGATCAAGGGTGCACTCCCCGTGGAGCCAGCACAAGGTGAGAGCCATGACACTAAGCATGCACAGTGAGAGGCATCCTGAGATCGGGGCAGGCTCCAGGGAGAAGACAGGCAACACCACAGGAGCCTGGGCCTGCAACCTGGCTCCCAGGAGGCTGAGGCCTTGGCCACTGTCCAGCCCCACAGCCCTCGCTTAAATAAGCCAAGGTGGTCACTATGTGTGGTAATGCCACTTTGCATTACATGACAGCAGCACCCAGTGATGTAAAAGGACACCCCACGCCCAGCGAATGAAACTTTAATTTCGACTACCTTCAAATAACTGCAGAGATTATATAAGTAATCGAAATTAACCTACTGGAGCCATTATATGTTGAGGCAAACACAGGAGAAATTTGAAAACATCTCTAAGTTGTAGAAATAAAAAGCTTTTGGAAAACTGCGCCACTAGCTGGGCCCCAGCGATGTTAGTGGGTGGAGTTCGTGACATGAAGCAATTGTGTCACTTACTGGAGAACAGTCTGGCCCACAGAACTGTCTGGCATCCCCGGGTGACCTCATGCCCCTGCCCTGCCCCAACTCCATCCCCGCCCTGCCCTCCCCCACTGCTCACTTCTTGATGATGAATTTAATCTTGGCCTTGTTTCGCAGGATCTTCTCCAGCCTCGGAATGCCAAAGGTGGACGGCCTCCGGAATGGCACGCCCTCGGGCAGGCCCTCCACGTAGAAGTCTTCAGGGAAAGACTCGAACAGCGCGAATGGCACCTTCACCGCTTGCTTAAGGCCCAGGGCTTCACCTGCGCCAGGGAGTGCAGTCTGAGCAAGGCGCCTCCACACGGTCATTCCCGACAGAGCACGTGTGTGCGTGTCAACACAGAACACGGTCTGCCTTCCTGGTGCTCAGGGAAATGGGACAAAGGGACGCCGGGAAACCCAGACTCGAGCAAGGATGACATTTAATCACGAGCAATGTTACTCGGCAAATACAGGAGAAGAAACATTCTGCAAACATTCCATTTGCAGAAACAACTTTGTATTTCAAAAACGCTTCAAAATAAACCTACCGCATTTTTCATTGAAGAGGTTTTCAACTTTCTGCTTTAAGTCGGTGATTTTGGCATTCCAGGCCTCTGCGTACAGAAGACAGCATGGTGAGTTGTTTGGAGTACTCACCATTGCACAGACAGGGAACTGTCACCTCATCTCTCGTGTGGCGTTAGGAAGTTCGAAAGTAAGAACACCATCACAGCTTGGCCACCACTCCAATCCTGTCATATTATCAAGCTGTTTGAGATTACTAACACATTGACTACAACACATGACAAACGGACTCCCCCTGCTGCATCCTAGTGTCACCTAGCCAGGAGTGGCTCTGAGCACAGTCCTCACAGTGCCCATTCTGCAGTGCATAGGAAAGACGCACAGGTATGGCAGTGCAGAGCAGCAAGGTGAGCTTGGCACAGTGGCTCTGTCGCCTGCTTGTTTCCTCTCTGATTTACCAGGACACAACTGACCCAGCAGAGCAAAGCATGAGTTCCTAATAAAGAGCAGAAATCAATAAAAATGAAGCTGCACTCACCGAAGGAGAACTCTCTCCCGCGAGGCTTGAAGGGAACGTTAGAGCCATTGGTCTGGGTGGGAGTTCGCACAGCAGACGTCTGAGGATTGTTGTTGTTGGGGCCTAGAGAAAAATGAAGAGAAAACTCCCTACCACCATGTACTTAAGTCTGCTAAGTACTCTCTGTGGCTTCCCTAGGGCACGCTCCATGTCCAACCTGGGCCAGAAAACATAGCAAAGTTTAGAAGCCAAGGGGCGTCCTGCTCCCACCCAGGCCTCCTCCCATTCCCCATCTCTCCCCCAGCCAGCAGCGTCCTCACTTCAGAGACCCTGCGGTCACTCCGGCCTCCCTGCACTTGGGAGCTTCTCTCCAGCTAGTCACCTGCGTCTGCCCTGTTTGCCTTCACTCCTGACTGCAGCACCGAGTGTGGCGCAGTGCCTGATCTCCGTGGAGAGCGTAATGACCACATCGGGGTAGTGAGCACCCGGCCCGCCACTCTAGTCACCTGCATGTGCTGGGAACCTCGTACTCTTTGCTACTTGTTTGAAAACCACAGTGCCGTGCTTGTGTGCTTTTCCATCCAGAACTACTACTCCTTCCTCACGGACTCTGCTGACTCTCCTGTCTCCTCCTCTGCCCCCATTTTAGTTTCCACAAATGAGTGAGGACCTGTGCTCTGTGTCTTTCTGCTCTGCCTGATTTCACACACTTTTATGGCTGACAACACCCCAATGGTACACAAACCACACTCATCAGTGATGGGCATTTCGGCTAGTTCTCTGTTGCGGCCAGTGTGAACTGCAGCCGTGGCTGGAGAGAGGGGAGTGAGGCTCAGGGTTTAGTAAGCAGAGGTTAGCTGGGAGAGAAGAAAGGCGCTGAAGGATGGATGGTTCGTGATGGCTTCACAATGTGCATTTAATCCCACAAAACAGCACACCTAAAAATGGTTAAAATGAGGCCATGTGTTCAAACCCCAGTACTGTCCCCTCCCCCCACAAAAAAATAAATTTTTTAAGGTCTATTTACAGCTACAATTTTATTTGACATGGGGCAGGGCAGTGAAGTACTCGTATTTGGTAGAATGTACACACATCTTCAAGAACAGGATCTCAATGAAAAAACCAGACACGAGGAACCATGTCTGGTTCTATACGAACCCACATCTATACAAGAGACCGTGTGTCGTATAATCTGTCTACACAAGGGAATGCATGTCCGGTGAACCCACCATAGAGACCGTGTGTCCTATGACCCATCGATATGAAATGTCCTAAACAGAAAACAAGCCAATCAGCAGCCACAGTGGCTGCTGGGGGAGGAGGAAATGCTAATAGGAAAGGGGGTGCGCTCTGGGGTCGTGAGAATGTCCTAGAATTAGTGGTGATGACATCATGGCATGGTTAACTGTCAGTGAACTGAGTTAAAGTGGTGTATTTTAAGATATATGAATAGCACCCCAATTCTTTAAAAAACATGAGTTAAATACTCCTCTTAGTTCTGGTTTTATGAAAATGCAAATGTAAGAGCCAAGTGCCATGGAACAGCCTGTAATCCCAGCACCCAGAAGCTGAGGCAGGAGGATGGTGGAATTCAATAGGGACACCCTGTCCCAACCCCCAACTCCTTCTGCAAAGCAGAGCAAAGCAAAGGACAGAGAGTCTGGGCGAGCTTCCTGAGATTCCAGAACTGTCTCTTCATTTCCCCTTGCTGTTCTAATTCTTACTTTTCTTGTTTTAACCATGAGACTTAGGCAAAAATCTGCTAGGTGACTCTAGGGACACTTCTTGCAGTTCCTGGAAAGGGTGTGCCAGGTTGACACTGCACATCTGTCCTCCCTGGACAGAGACACGAGGACAGAAAACAGAGACAAAGCACAGCTTGTCTTCCTGCCTTTAGGCCATGGAAGCACTGTGAGGGCCAGCCCATCACTTTCAAGAGTCACAGGTGTAGCTTAGAGGCAGAGCTCTTCCTAGCACACAGAAGCCCATGGGTCCCATCCCTGGCACCACAAAAAAAAAAAAAATTTTTTTTTTTTTTTTTTAAAGTAGTTCCAAGGATTGAACTCAGGGCCTCTTGGGTCATGCCTCCAGCCCTTTTAGAGTTTAGTTATTTTTCAGATAGGGTTTTGCATTTTTTGTGCCAGCTGCCTTAGAATCACGACCTTCCTACCCAGACTTCCAGTGGGGCTGGGATTACAGGTGTGAGCCACCATTCCCAGTGAGAGATTTTTAGGTGAGAAAAAGAAGCGTCTTCTATTTCCAGAGAATATAATCCCAATTTTACCTAGACCTACAACCCTTATCATCTTAAGTCACTGCGTCAGCTTTTTCTTTCTGTTTTCTTAACACTGCTGACCTATCAAGTTGACCTTGAGCAATCGAGGTGAGAAGTGACAACCCCAGCAACATCATCTCCCAGAGCAAATGAATGTGATGTGTGCACCCTCACTCAGCATGTGCAGGACACCCGTGCTGACGCACTAACCTCCTACTAGAGGCTGCTGTCCTCCGCCTTGGCCTCCTTCAGTGTCCAGGTTTAAAGCAGGGTACCCTGCCCCTGCCAAGGTCCATGGACATCGCTGCCTTCTGAGGAACACACTGCTGACACTGCTCCAATGCATGGTGCAGTACCTGCCCTTACCTCGTACCCTGAGCACATGACTCACCTGTGTGACTGCTGCGCCCCCCCCCCCACGTTCTCTCCCGAGCCTCTCTGGACCTTCAGACACCATGGCAAGAACACTTGGACCAGCCCCCTCAAGGGTCCAATCAGCTGGTCCCGGGACCCGTGGCCACTGACGGCACAGACATTTCTGTGACAGCAAGCACAGCTGGGGTGGAGATTCACAACCACACTCTAGGACAGGGACACTTCATACCTTTCGCATGCCTGCTCCTGCTGTGATCTTTCTGAAAGCCCTCATGCCCTTCCCTTGGACAGTGTCACTGTTCCCTCAGCTCAGCTCTTTAGGCCCCTAGCCCAAGTCATCTTACAGCAGTAATGGGTGCCCCTCCTCAGACGGTGTTGAAGTGGGGAAGTCAGTGACAAGTTTATCTGTGACTCTGGGATTCTGAACAGAAATCTTGAAGTTGGTGTAGGGAGCCCGGTATTTAACTGCACAAGGATTCCTTTAACCCTTCAGATGAGCAGACAGGGTCCTTTTGAGTAGACAACTAAACCACTGAACTGTGGACTCAAAAGGTAAAACTTGAATCCAGGACCCAAGCAGTATCACTCTGCAGTTAACAAAGGGACATGTGAAGGACACCTGTGGCATGTGTGAAGTGTCTTAATGCTGGAACACTCCTCAGGTGACAGTGCTACACACTCACTGGCAGTGGAGAGAAGGAAATGAACTTGGGGGATAACAGGATCTATCACAACACCTAAACTGTCACTCCTGAAAAAAGGAAAAGCAAAGTAGAGAAAGTTCCATGATGTTCCTCTCTGGGCCCTTATTTTACAATTAACAAAGAGAGGCATCGTGCGAAGTAATTCCAGTCAGAAAGGCGAGCTGGCAGAAACGCAGGCTGGGCCTACCTTCCACGGTGACCTCAATCTCAGGAACCTTGGAGTTGCTCCCAGGGCTCCGTGGTCTCTTCGGTGACTGCAACGCTGCAAGGTAAGCACAGGATTACTTCTGCACACTGCAGGACAAAATACAGAAGGATGCGTTGTAAGAGCGAGCAGAGTATTAGCACTCGTACAGTTTGGCTGTTTTCAAAGAAGCCTGGGAGTGTAATCCTGCAATGAGCTTCAACAGGGCTGTGGAGACGGGAGTGAGGAGGATCGCACGCATGAAGCTCTCAATGAACGTTAAGGAAAAATACAGAGAGAGGTCCATTACATAAAGTAACTCAAAAGGCAAAAACAAACAAAAGCCCCACGAGAAAATGGCTGGCGCCCGGGTCTGAGTTAAGTGAGACTTCAACGGCAAGGAGCAGAATCCACAGAGCACGTGCGACCTCTTACCTTTAGTATTGATTTTGCTAGCCATTCCAGGAGGCAAGTAGGAGATGACCAGTTCTGGTCTAGAAAGAAGAGACACAAGAGTTACGAGAATGAGAACAGCTGTGGCCAGCATGGCCCGCACTGACCACAGGACAGTGTTTGTAAAACAGAAAATGAACATGTGCTCCGGGCCCTCACCACCGCCACTGCAGAAGGTGAAGAAGAAACTCAATCACTCAGTCACCCCTAGTCAGACCAGGGACAAGAGAGCAGAGAGAACCCAGGATTTATAATGGCACCAACCAAGGGACACGGGAGTCTATAAGCAACACTGAGGCCACTGTCCCCTGCTCCCTGCACAAGGAAGAGAGTGAGTACAGAATAAGAAGTTCAGGGGCGGCAGATGGGGACACAGTCCAAAGCTGACAAAGCCAAGGCTCTCCTTCAAAGATGGCAAAGCCATCCCTGTCACTTCCAGCTTGAAAAAAGTGCTTACAGAGGATGAGGATTTCAGAAATTCCAGGGAACTTACTTTTTAACAACAAACTTGATTTTATTACTTCCACGGACAATCCTTTCCAGTCGGGGAATTCCAAACCAGGTAGGGCTTCGAAAGGGGATTCCTTCTGGCAGTCCTTCCACGTAAAGGAACTCGGGATTGGACTCAAACACGGGATACGGGACTTTCACAGCCTCACCAAGTCCCAGAGCTTGAGCTGGATGAGGAAGAGAACATGCCGTGCACGTTTGAGTGTCCACGGTCTCAAACACAGAACGACAAGTCCCCACAACCTGGCATCACTGCTCAATAGTGAAGGCAATGTGCTCAGTGTGCAGTGCAGGTCAGAAGAGGGACCCTACAAGTAAGTACTTTTAAGATGAATTGACGAAACCCTTTAACTCACAAGGACAATGATGCCACAAGTCAAAGTGACCTCAGTGGGCTGGCAGAGTGGTTCAAGTGGTAAAGTACCTGCCTAGTAAGTGTGAGGCCCCGGGTTCCAACCCCCCAATAAACAAACACCTCTGTACGCTGAGCAGAAATGCACACTAAGACCTCCTCCCACAGTGGTGGCTCTAGGTGCAAGTCGGCTGACACAGCAGGAGCTGCACAGGCCACATCTCAGGAGAGCTCACTACACTAAGTCATAGTCATAAGCGACCTGATGGGGGGAAGACCAAAATGTTAACACCAGGTGTCAAGGTGTAAAGGATAGAAGCCAGGGGCGGTGGTGCACGCCTGTAATCCTAGCACTACAGAGGCTAAGGCAGGACATCTTGAGTTCCAGGACAGCCTGGGGTACATAGTGAGACCCTGTCTCAAAAAAATCAAAATAATAAATGTAACAATGAATTAATTAAAACAAAGGAGAGGAACGGCCAGTGAACACTGCTGGTACTCAGACCTCCTCCCTTCCCCACCAGTGATAGACCAAGAGAGCTAGAAGCTCTCTTGTGGCTGAGCCTCCTCAGAACCCTTCTCAAGCCTGTGCTCCAGGAAACCAGACAGCAAATCCAAGCTGAAACAAGTCAGGATGCCACCCGTGTCTGCAGTGCTACCAGCTGTGAGTCCCCACTGTGGATATGACACGAGCCCAGCTCCACCCTGCTCCCCCGCCCCAATGAGAACACTGAAAAAACAGAAGCCAAGAAATCAAGCACTTGCTTCATCTAAGCAGCAAGTTTACTGTAGAAATAAACAAAATCCATCTTCCTTCTTTTGAACCCGAACTTCAAAAATTCACTCAGAACGTGGGCTTTATTTTTGAACTAAACATACCCACTAGATTTTACTTACCAAATTTCAAATTAAAAATCTCTTCCACTTGCTTCCGTAGCTTGGTAATTCTGACATTCCAATCTTCTTTAACTACAAAGCAAAAATAATCTAATTAATGATGCTGTTTACTATATCAACACAGATCCAAATGTATTCAGGGACTAGAAAGTAAACAGCCTTCTTTCCAGGGTGCTGAGGAGTTGTTCCTGTACTTGTCAGACATAGAAACAAGAGGGACGGAGAATTCATATTCAAATTTGCACTGTCCATAAAGAACACTGGTGGCCTTCCCACACTTCTCCCTGGAGGTTCACGGGGAGAAGCAGCTGTGTTGCACCCAGGAGCTCTGGCGCCTGGAAGGGAGCGGCTGCACTTCCATCTGCTCCCCACAGGCAGCCCTGTTCTTTCTTCCTTCCACCTACCCATCCTTCCAAACAAAACCTTCCTTCCATCCATCCAGTGTGTGCCTAGAAATTCACACAAAGCAAAAGTTCATAATGAAAGCAAGTTTCCTGTTAGAAATATGTATGGCAGGCTGGGGATGGAGCCTAGTAACAGAGTGCTTGCCTAGCATGCTTGTGGCCTTGGACTCCAGCCCCACAAAACAAACGGCGGAGTATTTCTCAACCACTTTTTCTGTCCTGATGCACACAAGATGTACCCAACTGACCTTCACTAATCGCCCCACCCTAGGAGCTAAAGGATCAGTATTTTAGGGCACACTCGTAACCTCAACTTGCACCCTGGTTCACCTTCACACTCAAATTTAGGACAGCTAACCATGCGTACCGAAGACCTGTGCTCTCTTGCACACACTCAGTCACTGGCCACACCAGACTCTACGTTACAGAGAACAACCTGCACAGACCCTTGACAATAGACATTCTCACAGCTGTAGCAGATCTAGAAATCGGGTCACGTCTTCTGACAGTGGCAATACTGAGCAACAAGATGGGGGGAAAGAAGAGCACACTTAAGAGTGCCTTTTCACTGGGCGGAGGCACACTGTGCAGGGTGCAATCAAAATATTTGCCATTTTAAGAACAGCCCAGCCAGGCTCAGCGGCTTGCGCCTATAATTCCAGCTACTCGTGGGGCAGAGATTGACAGGATGGCAGTTTGAGACCAGCCTGGGCAAAAGGTTAGTGGGACCACCCACCTTAACCAAAAGTTGAGTGCAGTGATGCATATCTGCAATCCCAGCTACGGGCAGGAGACACGGACAGGAGGATTGAGGTCCAACACAGACCCCAGGCAAAAACATGAGACCCTGACTGAAAAAGAAGCTAAAGCAAAAATGGTTGGACGTGGCTCAAGTGTAGAGTAGCTACCCAGCAAGTGTGAGGCCCTGAGTTCAAACCCCAGTACTGCCAGAAAAGTAAATGATAATGCAAACACCAAAAGGCCAGAATGAGGAAAGACGAAGGCCTAAGTGTGTCTGGGCTGATTCAGAAGGTGCTGGCCACACGTGGCCACTAAACAGGCAAGCCGTGGCCAGCTGAAACTGAGACATGCTCCAAGAACAAGTGCCAGACCAAGGGAAGGAGAGCAGAGTGTGAACATTGCAACACGTCACTGCTCCGTGCGTGACTACGGGTGTAAGCTACACCACGCCTGTGCGGAGCTACACTGGATTACCATGCACAGCATCCAGGTCAACGTTTGTCACCGGCTGCCCCTCACATCAGTCGTGGAGGCGTGCCCAACCTAAGCATCCACAAAGATGACCTGGGAAGAGGAGGCAGGAGGAGCAATCCCAAGCCTTTAAAAGATTAAATGAAAAAACCAGAAGGGAAGGAGTCCCTGTCCACCTCACCTGGTGTGTTTGTCCTTGGCTGGGTGACTTCTGTTGTACTGTGCGTCAGAAGCTCTGGTCTGTAAAGATATGACTGATGTTGGTGATAAGCACTGAGGAACAGTTCAAGCTTCTCCCACACAGCTATAACAGTCAATCACTTGTCCATATGGCTCACCCGCCTTGGCACTGAGCTACAGCCATGGCGGTGCTCACTTAGAAGGCAGCAGTGTTCACACGGGGGTCACAGGGCCTTCGAAGGCATCTTGGGCTTAAATGTGCACAACTGTCACCTCCTCCAAATCTGTCGGTGCCGAATCTTATGTGACTAAAACAGCTAGCTCGGTCATCTGAAACATTTCTTCCCTCTGCCTCCCAACACTGAACACAGCACCCCTGACCAGCAAGCAGCATGCAGCCCCTCAGCACCCTCTGGGAGTAAGGAGTAAAGGGACATGGGGGCCTCTGCCCTCCTCCGCACCCTGCTGACCTGCAAAGCCACTGAGGAAGGTAACTTGCTAAATGGAAGACCAAGTGACTGCAGAGGGTCTGTGTGGGGACCTCGCAATGACAGCCGCCCACATGGGGAAGGGAGAGTGAACACAGGTGCCTGAACCCACCTGGCCCTCCTTTTACCATGGTCGCCTTCTTTTCCCCAAATGCTCAAAGGCCCAGCCTCCCCAGGATGGAGTGTATCTAAGAGCAGGACCCAGCAGAGATGTGAGTCCACAGTGTGCTGTGACTCAACGGGTAGAAAGGAAGCAGCCAAACAAGGGGAGGGCCAGCTTCGTGGAGCTCACTGAACCGCAGGAAACAGGTCCAGCATCTCTGCAGGGCCTCCTTACCTCTTTATAACAAACTTAATCCGATTGCCCACTTGGATGATCTTTTCCAGCCTTGGGATTCCATACCACGAAGGGCTTCTGAAAGGAATGTTCTCGGGGAGTCCTTCCACATAGAGGTCGTTCGGATGCGCCTCGAATTTTTGGTATGGCACGGCCTTGGCTTCAGTGCTCCCTAAGGCCTCAGCTGAAGAACAGAAAAACAAGCCAGGAGACTAAGTTTGGGCTGAGATCACTACTAAAGCAACAGCAAGGCACATGTCAACTGTTGACTTGATCTTAAAAAGATCAAACTTGCTTTCAGTACCCTTAAGAAAAAAGGATGGGGTGACTCAAGGCACGGCTCAAGAGGTCACTCAGTGAGCGGCCACATGAGCCCAGGAGTCGTAGGCCAGCCTGGGCAACAGTGCAAAACCAGGAGAGAGGGAGGGAAATCATGACAGATGACAGAGGACATAACCTAATTCTAACTTGCAAGTGTTTGGTGACTACCGATCTGATCCTTTGCAGCAGGCTCCGCTTTCACCCATCTGGGAACCTCGCAGGCACCACACATACCCCTGCACAATGTGAACCAGCCACTCCACCAGATGGCTTTCTACAGAGAACTCATGGAATGGGAAGCAAAGCAGTAAGCAGAAGCTCATACAGAAGGAAAGTTCACACTTGACCTTCTTATGATCAAAACTTTTCCAGACACTTTCCAGATAAAAGAAGAAACTGAGGAAGGAATGCCTAAGAACAGATGTTTCCGGGGTGACAGTGACTCCAGCTGTGTGAGGACACTGGGATCTGTGCAGTAGCAGAGGGTGACATGGGACCCCCTCAATGATCACTGACCACACAGTGTATTTAGGGTTCAATGAAATATTTTCCTCTACTTCTGAGCAGCTATAGAAGTCATAATTTTAAAAAGTGAAAGATGAATTTGCTAATCCCTACTCTGAAACCACATCCAATCAGAGCTCTAAAAAGAAAGACTCCAACAGTTTACACAGGACAGCACAGATGGAGGCCTGCTACCCTCATGCCTGAGGCTTAAAAGCAGTGGCTCACTTGTGATTCAACTGCATTTCTTTGTTCTTGGATTTGACTTTCTCTCAGACTTCATTCTTTCCTTCATATTATCAGCACCAGATCTGAAGGGCTCCCTATAGGAACCTTTTTCTACAAGGAAGAAGTGCTTCTGAAAATGCCCAACCTTTTCAGCCAGCATTAACATAACAATCACCATTGTACCTGAGTGACACAGGAGGCAGTGATTTTATTAAATAGACCAAAAATATAGCATATACATATATATACACATAAACCGAATTTGAACAAGCTTTCTATAAAATAAAAGCAAGCAAGTGCTGTGCCTGAGGAACAGCCACTGCACTACCACTCCCACACAGTCGCCCAAGCTCCCAACATAACCGCCACCTCTCACCCCTGATGTCTTCCCGGGCCTCCTCCTGTGACAGGGAGCAGGGCACTGTTGCCACACCACACCTCACCCTGCCCCATGGTCACGGCACAATGTGGCCTCTCCACTGACACACGACATTTACTCAATGTCTAGGAAATGTACTTGCTGTAGAAGTGGGGCCTTATTTAGATTAGAGTTCACTGGCTGCTTTGTGACCAGATGGAAGGGGACTTAAAATATTACGAGGGTCCCCTGTCCATGTTGTATAGCTAAGGACAGAGCTGAGGACAGGTGACCAAGTCCTGACTTTTTCCTAATACAGTAAGTTCTTGGGGAGTCAGAACTGTCATCAGGAAAACAGTAAGCATGAGAACTGTGCAGACAGCACCTGAGCTGCACTAAAAGCTTGTGTTAAAGTCCTCATGGCCTGCAGCTTCCTTTAGCACGAGAGATGGCCTTGGTTTTGTGATCTGAGCTGCCTGGCTGGAAGAAAGCCCCTATGGCTACACAGTGCTGTGCAGTGCCCAACACAGCTCTGACAGCACCTGTCCTCCCCAGGGCCTCTCGGAGTTAGTTCAGTCAAGCCCTTGGCATGCCGGGGTTCCCGCGGCATGAGAACCCCAAGGACCTGGAGCCCTTCACTGAGTGCTTGCTCAGCACCTGCCCGGCCCCACACACAGAGCCAACGGTAACCCAGAACAGACTACAGTCTGAACTCAGGGCTTGGGGAGGGAAGGCAGCAGCCAGCCATTGGAGCCTGAGAAAACCCAAGAGCAACATGGGATAATGAGTCCTAGCCCTTGCATGCCGGGGTTCCCGCGGCATGAGAACCCCCAAGGACCTGGAGCCCTTCACTGAGTGCTTGCTCAGCACCTGCCGCGGCCCCACACACAGAGCCAACGGTAACCCAGAACAGACTACAGTCTGAACTCAGGGCTTGGGGAGGGAAGGCAGCAGCCAGCCATTGGAGCCTGAGAAAACCCAAGAGCAACATGGGATAATGAGTCCTAGCTGCCTGTGTCCTGTGGCTGACAGGTAGGATTACTGAGTGAAGGACTTGAAGGACTGTCGCTTTTACTCAAAAAAGAAAAAGAAAAAACTCAAGTAGACTCAGCAGAAAAAGGTTTTCAAGTATCAAAGGTAACTCCTTAGTGTTGAGTCTACATCTCTCATAAGCTGTGGCCTCTGGCCACACCGGGACACCAGAGTGCACGCGTGAGGCTGCAAAAGCATGGAGCAGGCGGGCAGATCTGAAGCCTGGTCCAGGAGGGGTTTTCTGAGCCAGAAACATGGATGTGACAGTCACCATGGCATAGACAGTGACTGGCTTTCTGAAGAGGGATGGACAAGGAAGTGGAGAAGGCAGAAAGGAGAATTGCAGGAGGGCTCAGCGCTAAGCTGGGGCCAGGGTGTCCCAAGTACAGAGTGAGCCAGAGGAGGAGGCATGAAAGACTCAATGTCTGACGGCAAGAAACCCAGAGTCGGCAAGATGGAAGGAAAAATTTCCATAGAAAGTTTATTTTTAATTTTTCAGGGGGAGGCAGTACTAAGGTTTGAACTCAGGGCCTCATGCAGATACGTTACCAACTGAGCCACCCCACCTGCCCTGTTTCTCTTGTGTTGGTTTTCTGAGATATGGTCTCACTAACTGTCCACCCAGGCTGGCTTTGAACCGGGATCCTCTTGATCTCTGCCTCCTGAGTAGCTGGGATTACAGGCGTGAGCCCCGGCGCCCAACAGAAAGAGTTTAAAGAAAGCTGCATGGCGGCACAGGCCATAGCCAGGAGACTGAGGCAGGAGGATCCTCCAGCTGGGACTTTTCTTCCATAACACGAAGCTGAGTGGAGAAGGGGAGGAGGAGGACTGCGAGTAGGTAGAGAGTCAGAGCAGGGGAGGAAGTGAGGCCAGTGTGGGGCTGCAGGCTTGCCTGCCACACACAAGGCCCTGGGTTCAACCCCAGCAGTGTCCCCTCTGCCACCCAGACCTACATCTAAGAACAAATTACTAGAGTTTAGCATTCTTGTCAAACTTTTTATAAGAAATCCTTAGTTAGAAACAGCAAGAAAGCCCTGGAAGAGAGCATTATGGTGGGACATGCTGAGCCGGGGTGAAGCAGACGTACCGAACTTTTTGCAGAAAAGCTGGTCCACCATTTTCCTCAGCTTGGTGATGCGGGCATACCACTCTTCCTTCACTGAAACGAAAACAAGCCTCCTCACCTCGATAGCTCTGATTAAGCGCACAGCATAAAATAACGAGTGCTACTTGTCACATCTCAAAATGTACTCATTACTGAAATGCTGACAATGAAGGGAAAAGCAAGAAACAACAGGAAATGGAACATGTTTGTGTAGTCAAGGGCAGCGAGCAGGTGGCTTCCAGTGCACGTTTAGGAGTGTGACCGCTCGCAATGCTTCCATGACCCCAACTCTAAGCGGTGTGACCTCCGCTCCAGGTCCTCACGGCTCCCCGCCAGAGCAAAGACACCTTGCCCAGTGAGCAGTCGCTGCGGCTCAGGATGTCTGTCCTAGGAATGTACATATTCGATGAACAATTACCCAACTAATGAGACAATAAACTGTGCATCTCAAAAGCAGAACCAGCAAAGATCCTTTCAGTTGTGTCTGCATGGCAATGTGGCATGGTGTTTATTTACAAAGGGAGACAAGCAGGGCACTGCTGCTGCTTCTGGAGTACTGGGCACACACTAAGGGGGTAGACCGACCTTCCTGTGCCAGCAAGGTCAGGTGAGACAGCTTCACGTGGTGGGCAGCCTACAGAACAGACGGTGGTGATGGCCTGGGATGGACACCTACCTCCTGAGGCTGGCTTGTCAAGCTGTAAGTCTTCCCGCGTGGAGTTGAGAAGTTCATGTCTGAAACATGAGAAAAGCACTCAGTCCTCACCAGGCAGCACTCAGCAGGGTGGGCGCCACCAGTAAGCACATCAACACTCAACCACCAGTTTTCAAAGACAAGACAATCTGTACTCTTGAGCACAATCTAGCTTAGCTTCCTGAAGTTTCTACAGAATGAGGAAAAAAAGGTGACTATTCAAACTGTCTAGAAGTGCTTCACAAGCACGTTCCTCAGAGCAAGAGGAAGCTTTGCAACCCAAAGGTGTTTTCAGCAGATCACTTTTCTTTTTTTTTTGGGTAGTGCTGGGGTTTGAACTCAGGGCTTTGCAATTGCTAGGCAGGTGTTCTGCTGCTCCGGCACACCTCCGGCCCAACATTACAAATTTTTTAGTTAAGTCTTTCAGTTGAATACTGCATTCAAATACACCTTCCTCCACACATACAAACCACTAAAAATTTTACATACTCCAGCACTTGTAGCTATAAAAAGCAAGAATGTTTTACTTTTCATAATAAATACCCACAAACCTGATTCACAGACCCCAGAATTTTTTAACCTGACTGATGCTGCATAACTGAGTGCCTTCTGCCTCAATGAACAGGCAGACAGCAGGCAGGGCAGCACAGCCACGGCAGAAGCAGGCACACGGGACGCTGGTTCATGGGGTAGCTGGCTGGGCCACAGTGCTCACTCACGAGTTCACGGGCTCCAGTCCTGAGGCTGGCCTGCCTCTGAATGCAGAACCTGTGAACACCACCTGCCCGTGACCACAGCTCACCTCGTACATAAGGGTTCTCCAGGCTAGGGTTTTCTTCCCTTGCTCCTCTTAAAAGTCCCCTCCATTCTCCTATGTAAAATGGATTCAGGCCAGTTTGCTTGGCCGCAGTATATATCAAGGTGCTTGTTAACATTCCTATGTCCTCAGTACCAGTGTCACCAGAATAAGGACAATGAAGTGGCTACGATTCTGGCACTGTATTCATTCCCTGTTCACACTTGAGATATGTCAGCAAACATTCATGATACGCACATGACCCAAAACACCTGCTCAATAGAGGGACGTCCAAGTGCAGTTGTGGATTTCCAAAGCGAGCTCGTCCCCGCTGGGGGTGGGTTCTGCCTAGTCTAAACCATTGTGCCTGGGCCTGGTGTAACAGCACTGACCTAGCTCTGAACTATAGAGAATCATGGCCATGTTCCAGGGTTCCACAGCCCAAGAGAAACACAGGTCACTGCTGTCTGCCTTCTGGCATACAAGGGTGTTGCCCAGGCACGTGTGCGCTGAGGGACAGGACACCAGCACATGCCCTGAAGCTCTGGAGCAGGAGCAGAGGCAGTCCCAGGGCCCATTTCCATCATACTCTTCCTGCCGGGCATCTCGCGTTGTGGGACCTGGCTGCTGCTTCCCTCTGCTCACATGTGACACTTGCTCTTAGGCTTTTTTCAGGGTACGGGGACTGACTCAGGCCCATTTGAGCTGTACCTCATGACTGGCAGGTTTGGCTGGCTCCAGAATTTGGGGTTCAAGTGTGCAAAGAATTGCTTAAATGGGTTACAGTATCTGCTACCTCTCTGGACAGGCGTGGCGGCGTGGCGGCATGACGTCACTGTTCACGGCTGACCAGGACTCTGCATCGAGTCATTTTTCCTTCGTACTCAGGCTCTAAAACTCCTCTCCTTTATGCTGCTTTCAAGAGGAGACTTAAGTAATTTTTTTCAGCTTGGAAAATAATCATTAGGAATTTTTAACACTTTCCTTCTCTTATCTCTTTAAGGAAACTCCTGTTTGTTAGTCAGTTGATATGGTGAAGACTTGACACTCATCCTCATGTCCCACTAGAAACGACCTTACAGTCTACCAGGCTGACCCACACCTGGCCCTTTCGTTTTAAGTTTAGTTTTGCTGAGGTATTTTAGAGTTTCCTAGACAACGCCAGTTCTGCCCTTTTGTTGGAACTTCTAGCATTTGCTTTAGGGTGTAGCAGGGATTTCCCCCCACCCCCGCTTCATGTTCTGATTCATTGATAAATGCCCTGCTATGTTTAAAACTCTCAGTGAAGAAATATGAAAACAAGTGGCGTGCCTGACATCTTCTCACAGAAGCATCAACACTGCCCAATCTGGTTGCTGCACTCTGTAAAAAAACAAAAATCCCTCCTTGCTACTGTCAATGTCTGTCTCATTTTATGTCAGCCCTAAGAACATGACATTGAGGCTATGTACTTCCCCCAGTACATGCAGGAGAAAACTGTTAAGGACAATGACGAACACAGGCCAGTGCTCCCAGCTCAAAGTCAACCTGAGCATGACTGGCACATGGACACACACGAGACAAGTGGAAACAAGTTTTCATCTGTCACCGGTAGGAGGCACGCTAGCAGAAGATGGCTTACTTCTTGATCACAAAGCGGATCCTTTCCTTGGCCAGCAAGATCCTCTCCAGGCGAGGAATGCCGTATGTAGATGGCCTTCTAAAAGGAATTCCTTCGGGAAGCCCTTCTACATAGAGATCTTCAACATGGGACTGGAAAAGAGGGTATGGGATCGTCACAGGACCTTTGGCTTTTATAGCTTGAGCTTGAAGGATAAAAAGAGAAAGGGGTCGTCATTAAAAGGTAAGGCCTCTGGCACATTTTGCAGAGAACAATGCTCCTATGTCATCCTAATGGCAGCAGAAGAAGATCGTGCTCACCTACACCCACACTGAAACCACCCACTAACCTCAGCAGTGTAGACGGAAGCCACACTGAAACCTCTACTGAAATATGAACCATGTGTCGAAGCCTGAAGAGCACGACAGTTCCTATGTAGTGTGTACCAAACCCCACAGTACAGCTCTTTTACAGCACAGGCAGACATCCAGCGTAACCATCGCTGGACTTAGGAAAGGTTTCCCCAAATAACTTCAACTACACAGTACCTGCTGACAGTTTTGTGCCCAGGAGCACAACAGGACCCAGGAGTACAACAGGGCCCAGCTGCACTGTGCCCAAAGCCTGAGTGTGTGCACAGCAACACTGTCAGTGCCCCGGGCAAGAGCCCCGTTGGCCAGCTGGCAAAGTTCCACTTGTTAAGCATAAATGTGTGCATGAAGTGCAAGCATAGCCTATACACATCAGTGCCGCTCCTTCCTGAAACACTAAGTCGTGTACCACAGTGAAAATGTCTTCCCCTAAGGAGATTAAAAGTGCCTGGAAATTTTACAGTGTGAACACGCTTACTGTATTTTCTCAGTAGACGGCAAACATTTTCTTCTATGCAAAATAAGCCAATAGCCACAGTCCCAATAAAGCCCCCAAACCACCTTTGCTTGCACTTCACGGGAAGCAGAACAATGAAACTTACAACTCGGGATGCACTGAAATGAACAAGGCACTACCCGCTACCCTTGTGAGCACAGGCGCCTTGTTATGTAGGCACCAGGTGCGTGTCAGCACCTCGCTGAGCCTTCCCATCTTCAGGCTGGGCACTCTGCGCCGAGAGCCCAGGGCACTGTCAAGAGCTTCCACATACAGTGTGCTGTGCTTTTTCCTGACAGAGGCTCAAAGGTTCAAAAAGCAGGCAAAACACCAAGAGAACCTTAGGCGAATGAGGCCCTGGGTTCAATCCCTAGCACCAAGGAAAAAACCACATGCATGCATTTCAAATTTGTTGAGATAAATAATGCCAATGTAGTTTACCATGCTAAAAAAACTAAACACAGTGGTGCAGGGTCACACTATAATGATTAGATTTGGAAACTAAAAGTCTGTGTTTTGAGCCAAGCACAGTGACACACACTTGTACTCCCAGCTACTCCAGGAATGGAGAGGAAGATACATAAGCCCAGGGGTTTAAGGCCAGACATCTCAAAAGATAAAAAGTCTGTGTCACACAGAATGAGACAGCTTGCCAGGCCCTTGTAATGAGTCATCAAGTAAAAACAGGCAAAACGCGTGCTGTCCCTCAATGACTGTTGCGGTTTTTAGATGAGCGTCTGATGCCAGCGATAACAATTACTCATTTCTGTCACCAACATATGAAGGCAGGTACTGGACAGAACAGGAAAACCAAAGGGGAAACAATCTCAACTCTCAGCTGGGTGTGGTGGCTCACACCTATAATTCCAGCACTCGGGAGGCTGAGACAGGATATTGAGTTTGAGGCCAGGCTGGGCCAGGCTGGGATACAAATTGAGATCCGGTCTCAAAAAGTAACAACAGAAAGAATGTGACATGTGACTCAGGTATACAGCAAGAGTTTGGAAAACAAGGATCTGTCAAGGAATAACGAATTTAAAATAGCAGACTCAGAGAAACTACTAGTTATGAAGTTAATCTTTAAGATCTGGAACTTTGCAAAAAATGTGTAAACACAACCCCACACGTGCATGCTGGAAAGTTTGAAGGAAACGTGAATGGAAGCCTGGAAGCTGGGTGTGCTGGCTCAGGCCTGTGATCCTAAAGGTTTACTTGGAGGCTGAGGCAGGAGGATTCTGAGTTCAAGGCCAGGCTAGGTAAGAAGTTAGGAGACCCTCCTCTCAATCCATCATCCAGATTTCGTGGTGTCCATTTGTCATCCCAGCTACTCAGGAGGCTATTTGTAAAGAGAAGGATTGTGGTCCCCATTCCATACATAAGTAAAAAGGGCTGAGGGTGAGGCTCAGGTGGCAGAGCACCTGCCTAGCAAACAAGAGGCTCTGGGTAGGGAGGAGGAGATAGGAGGGAGGGAGGAGAGAGGGAGAGAGTGGGGGAGAGAGAGAGAGAGAGAGAGAGAGAGAGAGAGAGGAATAAAAGTAGAACTTTCTAGAACAAAGCAGTTTTTGATGTTTAGGTATTCTAGTGACCTGATAAGGAAGAGACGTACAAGAGAGGCTCATCTGCCTGCACACCTGCTAGCTGACCTTACCCTCCAATGGCACAGCAACCTCACTGCTTAAATGCTTATGAACAAACAATGAAAAGAATTATTCAGCTTAGACATACCGTATTTTCTTTCAAACAACTCTTCAACTTGTTTACGTAGGTCTGTAATTCGAGCATTCCACTTTTCTGGAAGTTGAGAGAAGTTCAGTGGTCAGTAAGAAGCCTCCATGAGTGCACCCTTCGCAGCCACACCCAATGACCTTCTAGCTACAGGGACATCCAGTCTACCACCCTACCCCCGGATGCATCACTTTTCCGGTTTCCTAAGGGCTTTTACCATTTTGTGGCTCTCAGAATTGTTTCTATGGGGGATGGAAACGGGTGCTTTGAAGTTAGTTCATACTGACTCCCTGTTTTAATTTCTGAGGGCCAGGTCAGAAAACAACAGGTATAAAATTAAGCACTTCGAAGAGCTGCGAAAAAGACAGAGGCCTCCGGGGCACAACACATGTCAGCTGTGAGCTGTGGGGAAAAAGCCTTTACAGACATGTAGCTAGACTTTGTGACAAAGCCACACCAGTAGTGTGACGGGAACCAGCAGGACAGCACACTGCAGCCTCAGGGCTCAAGCCCGAGCCCCATGCTCTCCTTAGGCACAGTGCAGCTCAACACAGAACTCGCCACAAAACAGTATTCGACAGTCCACTGTCACTGCGGGGATGGCAGAGTCACTGTGGGCAGTGACACAAAACGAAATGACAATTAGTGTGAGAAACAGTCCGTATGTAGAGAAGATTTTAGAAACGAAAGGAAAACCAAGGTAGTTTTTATTCCTAAGAGAGTGAACTGCTCACTGCAGTAGACATCAGCGTGCTCTCTCTGCACAAGTGACCTCAAGTCCTGCCCGCGCCAGCCACATCCCTGGGGTGCGGGTTCTGGGACTCACCAAAGTTGAACTCCCGCACTTTGCGCTTGCCTGCGTTGGCCGGCTCAGCCACTGGCGGCTGTGGAGGCTCGCTGCTCTTTGGTCTCTTGGTGGGTGGACAATAGTCGTCATCTTGAGAAAGAGAACTGTCATTACTGGAGGCCCAGGCTGGTGAGGGACAGCAGGTGCTGGAGCACCCGCAGTCCTTCCCTATCCCTCTGTGTCTGAGCCGTCACTACAATACCCCCTTCTCAAAAAACTGCCTGTAACTGTGCGCTAAGTTTTTCAAGAAAATGCTTTTTAGTAGGGATAGCAGCTAAAGTAACACAAACGTGTAAAGAAGAACGAGAAGATAAACCTTTTAAGGTAACATAAAATTCAAGTATACATAAACGAGGGAGGTCAGGTAACTCACAGCACACCAAGTACTTTTGTCTCTGCTTGTTCGGTCTGGGTTTGGTCTTGGTTTTTTTGCAGTGCTGAGGGTGGAGCCCTGGATCCTTGCATGTGCTGGGTGAGCGCTCTCCCACTGAGCTACACTGCCAACCACAGGTATGTTTTTTTGAGACATTTAAAACTGGCAGTGTAGAGCTTTTTTTTTGTTTGTTTTAGAACAGTCTTGCTATATAGCCCAGTCCAGGTTAACCTGGAACTTGCAGTCCTCCTGGCCTTTACCTCTCAAGTGCTGGGATTATAGGCGTGTTCAACTGCACCCAGCTTTTTTTCTTTTGGCAGTACTGGGGTTTGAACTCAGGGCCTCACACTTGCCAGGCAGGTACTCTACCACTTAAGTTGCTCCATCAGCCCCGTTTTCTGTTGTATATTTTCAAGATAGGGTCTTGCAAACTACTTGCCCCAGCTGGCTTCAAACTCTAATCCTCCTGATCTCTGCCTCCTGAGTAGCTGGGATTACAGGCGTGAGCCACTGGCACCCAGCAGGCCCGGCTTTTTAAATACTTTCAACACTACAAAATACATAGAAGGAAAGGAACAAGGGCTGCGTCATTTATAAAACAAATGTGATTTCCCTCAACACAGAAGTCAGTGAGCAGTGGGTACCCAACCAGAGAACACAGCCAGCCAACACATCTGTACACGGTGCACACAACCTTCTCTGTGGACAAGTCTGCAAGGCGACTCTGCTATGATCTTCCAATGTACCCACTCCAAAAATGAGGGACACCTAAGAAATGGGCTCGATAATGTCAGGTGATTTGACTGGGGCACATCACAGCTGAGACGTTCTCCACTACCATAAAGTCTAGAGGAGCACTTAATTTAACAGTTCATCAAGACTACAGAATATTAAAGGCATGCCCAAAGCCAGGCTTCGGGAGACAGGAAGACCTCCAGAGTTATAGAAACCCCATCTCAGAAACAAAATTCCAAACAAAAAGGCCTGAAGGGGCTTGGGGGAATGTGGCTTAAGTGGTACAACACTGGTTTAATCCCCAGTACAGCAAAAACAAAACCAAAAAAACCCTATAGTTGATTCACTTTCTTTTTGTGATAAATAATGCAGTCCTATCAACAAACACAAAGATGGAGTTAAGTGTTTCTGAAAAAATATCAGGCCACACAGTGGACAGCCCAATTTGTGGCTGGCTGGCTCTGAAGAGGTGGTCAGCTGTCATGAACCTCCGTCTCCTCCTCAAACTCAACACGTTCAAACACAAAGCTTGCGAACTTTCAAGTCCTGATGTGCAAGGCTGCCTGTGGGGAACTCCAGATGTGATGCTGCCACTCTTCACCTCTGAAAACCAAGTAGGCAGTTCTCACCCCAGTTCACAACTTGAATTTGGAAAAGAAAGCGAACCTGTTTCCCTCGTGCCCTGAGTTTACGCATGAGACACGGGCTTCAGAGCCTAGCTCGCTCGTGGCCACAGTCTGACCAGTGGGCACACTAACGTATAACAACGTTGTATAAGTCTTGTTTTCAACATAAATTGCAAAAACGCTTATTTTAATTTTGGTGCAGGGCTGGGGATCACTACTCAGGGCCTCCTGCACACTGCCTCCCCCATGGGTGAGGATTTAACAGACAAACTGACACCTGCTTAAGATTTAAAAACCAAAACTAGGAGTTCTGCCTCTTTTGAAGGGCAGTAATTACACCTTTACCTCAAACGGATCTCATTTTCACCTGTGGACTCAATGCCTAGCCCCGCCAAATTCCTCCTTGTCACAAAACATGGGTATTCATTACGTAACTGCCCAACGCTAGCCTCTTCCACCGCAGACTCCAGGCTGTGTGCTGCAGATGGCAAAGCCTGTGGGCTGCGTCTAAAAACACACCCAAAACAGCCCCACAGCCAACTATAGCTGCCCCTCCTCTGAAGCGCATCTCTCTACGCAGATGGCCACAAAAGCCTCCTAAGCTGACTTCCCCAAAAGAGCCGCCATGTTTCTTGGAAACTCTACTGGACTTCTCTAGGTCACTTAAGCTCTCAGCACCTAGTGAGTGCCTGGCACATACAAGGCTCTCAGTGATTGTGGAATGACTAAATGAACACAGGTCTACTTGTAACCTTTAGCTCTAAGCAATAGCTAACTATCTGCTAAAGTCCTAAGCATGGCTTCCACAGGACATCACCAGAGGGTGACACACCCCCCCCAGTCCATCAAAACCCCCATTATCATTTTTGAAACTCTAAAACAATGTTCTCCAAATTGTCGTAAGGTATGGTACAGAAATGGCTGAGAGTTCACTAAACGGCTATTTAGAAGTGGACACGGTGGTGGATGCCTATAATCCCAGCATTCGGGAGGCTAAGAGGAGCATCGTAAGTTCCAGACCAGCTGGGCTACATAGCTAGACCCTGTCTCAAAAAAAAAAAAAAAAAAAAAAAACAACTTATCAGGTGTAACAATTACGAGCAAATCCTTCAAATGCTAACCTACTCAACTGCCTACACTACAAACACTCCACAGTACAGTAATACAAACCACACGTATGTAGAAGACCTTTCAAATATGAGAAATAATTGTTTTTAATCCGGAAATAAATTTACTTAAAAGTGCTGTGAAGGAGACGATGAGGCTGGGATTGTGAACCCAAGATACACAAATGTGCTTCACCCACGTGAACGGGCACCGAAGGCTCTGTCCACGTGGGCCACACAGGACCTCAGCACCCAGCCCAGCCATGCCTGTGTGACCACCACACCAGTTTCAGCTAAGTGCACAGACCTCAGGTGAAGGTCCCGGCTAACACCAGAGGGAGATCTGACAGCTTACTTCCTAACAAAGTCCTTTCTTTCCTGGAACTCTTTGGGAAAAGGTGCAGAGATGCGAGCAGAGAAAATAGCCCTAGGCGAGAAGTATCTTCATTTATTCCTCTTAATCCACCTTCCTCAGAGCACAAGTGTGGTGTAGACACAAGTGTCCTTTTTGAAAGGGCCTCTCTGGGGCCTGGCGGAGTGGCTCTAGTGGTTGAGTGCCTGCTCTGCAGTGCGAAGGCCTGAGTTCAAATCCCAGTCCCACCAAAAAAAAAAAAAAAAAAAGAACAAAAGGGCCTCCCTCTTGAAAGGCAGGTGCTTCTTTTCACTGAACACAGAACATGAGGGATTTTTCCCTCATCGTTCCTTTAAGAAAAAAAATTCATCAGCATCTCAACACCTGTATTTTTCTGCATACTATAGTCTATTTTTCTACCTACAGATAGTGAATGGCTGGCCCACTAGGAATCACACTTTCCAGAAAGAGGAGACACAGATTCACCCAGCTGCATGCATTAAGGACTCATCTGCTCTTCCTCTGTGCGGGGAAAGCCCAGCAAGTGTGGTGGATGGCAGTGTGCCGTCTGCATGGCAGTACACATGTGCTGTGGCAAGACCTGGCACTCTCGGGTCTCCTGAGCATGAGTGAGCATCTACTCTCTCATCACCAATCCAGGTGGCAAATCCAACGCTCGGGCACTGTCGCAGCGTCAGAAGAAATCAAGACCTGTGCGTCCTCTGAGAAGATCGTGTGTAGTTCAGACCCAGGCGCCACTGTGCATTGTTCTTTTTGAAACATGGCTGGCAATGCTGCCAGCTGCATCTGGAGGTGCTGCCAGTCGAGGTGGAGCACATCACCACTCAGCAGATAAGGCAGGAGAACCTCGGGTGCCAGGCCAGCCTGGGCTGCACAGAGACCCTGTCTCAAACCTAAGTTTTACTTGCAAGAGCTTAACAATTACCTATTTTCCTTTCTTTTTTTGTTTATTTCGAGACATGATCTCACTATGCAGCTCAGGGTGGCCTCGAACTCACAATCCTCCTGCCTCAGCCAGTCAAGTGCTGGGATTATAGGCATGCACCACCAGCCTCAACTTAACCACCCATTTTTCTTATTTTCTAGAAAGGACAAAGGTCTAAGTGTTATACTGTTTATATGCTTTTACAGTTTTCTGTTCTGATTGTTATTGAGATCTTAAAGAAAAAATTTGATTAGTTAATGCTTGACTAAAAACAATTCAAAATTACATTTAGGTAGGTATAATTACTGTTAATGAGAAAAGAATGTGTGTGTTAATAATCACCAGATGAATTAGACATCAAGTATGAGGTGCTCCCTTATGTTAGGGGGCTGCAAGTCACCTTGTACTTTGTGAGCAGTGAGACACACATGTGGAAGACAGGTTATGGGGAGAGTGAGAGGAGAGAAGAGGCGGGAGACAGCACACAACCAAGCCCCCAAACCAAGAACGGTTATGCAGCAGTTAGAAACAGAATCAAGAACCAAAATGTGTGACAGCATCTGCACCTAACACCTGTGTGTGCACGTGACCAGTGCACAGCCTTCCCTCTGCCCACAGGCGGGGCACTGTGCAGGAAGGACAAGAGGCACTGGGAATCTTTCCCTCAGACAGCTCCGCCTGCACTTCTGCTTCCAAGCAATTTCAGCTACAGGCTCTTTCTAAATGCACTTATAATTATTGCTTTCAAATAGTTTGGAAGGACAAATTGTGACTTAGCCACTAAGCACTATGTTAGGGGAGAGCTGCCTTTAAAAGTTCCTAACTAGCCAGGCCTGGTGTCACACACCTGTAGTCCCAGCCGTTGGGAAGGCTGCGGCAGAAGGGTCACGTGAGCCCAGGGGTTTGAGGCCACCCAGCCTAGGCAACATAGCAAGAGCCCATCTGAAAAACAACTTCTGAATGAGCAAACTCAGCAGCAGTCCCTCCTGCACTCCACCTAATCAGAAGCTAGGGGCTCCCGCTCCAGGTGAGGCTCTGCTACCCAGGCCTCATGGTGCAATGCCACAGTGTCTGTTTTGGTGTGGCCCGGGAGGATCTGAGCACAGTTTTCTTTGATTCCCTCAGTTCCCACCGGCCTCCCTGTGGCCAGCAGCAATGTCCACAGCTGCACATGCTGTCTACAGACTGGATGCTGAGGGGCACTGCTCTGCCACACAGACACGCAGTCGGCGCTTCCGGCCACGCGAAGGGACACAGCGTGATGACCGCGAGTGACACTCGGAATCGAGGCTGTCCGAGAACTAACCTTCAATGGTCACCTCAACTTCAGGGTCCTCACTTGTTTCTGAAGGGGCATGCTGGGTAGAATCTTGAAAAAAATGAAAGTCTAGAATGACATTCATTATTCAGCACTTCCACATGATCCAACATTTCACCGATTGGCACTCCAAAAACAGCCTACAATTTTCATTTGTTTCATGTCGATTAAAAATATTTGACCCTCTGAATTATGAATAAGGGTAAAAATACAAGAAGTAACAAACCCCTGGAAAACTGTTGGCTGATACCAAGTTACGTGTATGAACTGACTTAAGAACGTACTCTACTCAGATGCTATGCCTCCTCTCTGCAGGGGTCCTCGGGTGGTGACACTGCAGGAAGACAGCTATCTGTAGTAAGAGCACCCTGTCACTGTCCTCTACCTCTGGACGCAGGGTGCTGTTCAAGCTCTTTCATTTGTATTGTGTTACTACACAGAACAAAGGCACATGGGAGTGTTAGTGCTCGAAGCTCAGCGAGAGAGGCTTCCATTCGCTCTCTTTCATTCGGCAAAGGCTGAGAGATTAATTGATTTGCCCAAGATTACATTGATTGTTAGTAAAGGAATAAAGACCAGAATTCACCCCCTATGCAACTATTATATGCAAATAAAAAACTGTTAAATAAATAAAAAGAAAAAAAGAAGACCAGAACCCACGCTTAATTCAACTGGTGATACTAGAACATGACAATAAAAATTTCCTCAAAGTCTGTCAACCCTGCGTGTCTGTGTATAGGTCACCTGTGGTTAAAACACCACCCATCTAGGACTGAAGAGTCTGCCACATCAAATTATCAAATTGCAAAACATAAGCGACTCACCCGTCACTATAAAAAGACCCAACAAGTGAATGAACAGTGTTTGAAATGAGCGAGTCGGTGTCCCTAAGAGAACTGCTCGAGCTGGAAGCCCTAATTCCACAACTGAGTTTGGGAAGATGAGGGAACGTCCTGAGGACATTAAAGAAGGTAAAAGGATAAACTACTGATTTAAAATAAATAAATAAAAGAGCAGATAGAAGGAACGTAACTTTGCAGCATGGATTCCCTTCTGGCTGTAGAAAAGAAAGGTCCACATGACCAGTTAGGAGAGAAATGTTAATCGGTAGGCAAGACTCGTCACTTCCTCATTTTCCTGTGGAGTGCCTTAACCTGCTGAGCAGGGAGCTGGCCCCTGCGTCCTGGTCAGCTGACACAGCAGCTCTCGGGACAGTGTGGGCACAAACAGGAGAGCAAACTTCTTCAGGAACTGGGACCGTAACCAAACGGGAGTGCAGCCAGCAATGAAGCCCACTCACTCTCCTTGGAAGGTTTTCCATGAGGCCCCAGAAAGGCAGGAAGCAAAGAAAACAAAAGCAACTCAGTGCCTTTGCATCCACTTCCTGCAGCCTGTGCCTGCTGCTCTCGCAGTCAGGACAGGCACAGGCGGACCACGGCCATCTTAGAGCCACGGCTCTACTTCCACATCCGGGGCCCTAGGGCCATCACCTAGGGAATGGAGCAAAACAAAACAGAGCTGGCACAACTGCAAGTCCCTTTGGGTCCTAACCTTCTGCGGGCACTTCCACTTCTGCTCCTTCGTTGCCCTCTGAAGAATGGTGGCTGCCTAAAAAGAGAACAAAGAACACATACTAAAGCAGTAGCAGGCTGGCTCACAGAAGAAAGAAACGCTAACTAGGTGACCATCCAAACAATGAAGATATCACAGACACATACAAAATCACTTTAACTCTTAATGCACGTTCAAACAGTGTTTTCTAATGCAGAAAAACATGTAGCACTTGCACTAGGAGGCTACAGATGTGGGGAGTGAAGCACCATGGGTCTGAGGGCTTGCACACGTCATTGTCAACACATCTGTAACTGCTGACCAACGCTGGGCTCTCTGAAAGCATGGTTACGCTCAGGTGCCATCTCACCTGCCAACACCTCTCACGACAACACACATCAAAAAATAAACTTTTGCTCTACCCAGAGACAACTAAGTCTAAACCCCCAAGGTCAGGGTCTACTGTGGAACGGCGCGCCGTTCTCCACTGTCACTATGGATAGAAATTCAACCCCTGCCACGGTCATCCACGTTGTACTCAAAGGAAAGTCCTAAGTGAAGGAATACCACCTTCAGCTGCAAAGGCGTTTTAATTCAGGAAACATAATCTACCTGCTCCTGAAGACTGCAACAAAGGTTAGGCTGCCACCAGGTAACAAGGTCGTCCTACCAGCAGGTTCATTCACAAGTAGGAAAGAGATAACCCAAAACACGAGCACACCATTTGGGATGAAGTGGACAAGGTGTCCCCAAGCAGAAGTCGTCCGTCTGTAACGTCTAGGCTAAGGCAAGGAAAAGGCCCCATTCCTCCCTCCTTTTCCTCCTTCCTTTCAGTCAGCATGAATCTACCCTGCCCTATGGCCAAGCTCTCATCACGAAACACAGAAGCTTACTAAAAGAAGTTACCAGTCTATGCGCCTTGGTTTTTAAGAGTATGGCCACAGTCATGAAGGGTCAGTACCGCGAGCTGAGGTCAAACCATCTGGGTTTCTGATGCTTCCCCTGCCCTGTATAATTACCTTGGAAGTCTTGCCATGTGCTCCGCACTGTAACCCTCACCTCAACTCAAAAGCACAAGTCAATCTGCATTCAGTCATCAATCTTTAGCTAACTTCCTCTACACACTCCTCCCTTTCATGTTTACCTTCCATTTGCCATTTATGGAGCTGAATTTCTTTGACTGTGAAGGCAAAGGGACAAAGGACAGTGGGGAGGAGGCCAGTGGTGGGAAGGGAGGGGGCGCTCATGTAAACGTTCTCTATGTCCTTTCTGTTCTATTAAAAGCTGAAAGTGACAATTACAGTTACAAGACAAAGTGAATCTAAAGAAAACGATCTGTGCGCTCAAAGCCAGAACAGCCATTGGAAGTAAAAGCCATCAGCAACTGCCTATGGAAATCAAGTCTGGGGACCCTGGACACAAATTCCAAACACTTAATCAACTAACAAATGTAGGTCACAGCCCTGGCGACGGATAAGCATTGTCATGACCTCGGCACCCTGTCCATCCTGACTAGGCAAGGCCTGGCTGCTGACTGCTGGGAAGGCCAAAGCCCACACTTTCCCTGAGACACCAGCGAGTGTAGTGCCCACTTCCACAGGCATTAAGATTCACAAAAGGCAAAACTGGGTTTGAAAAGTTTTGCTTATTTAGTTCATTTATGCTTAAGAAAAGAAAAAAGAGGCCAGTACGTTTTTCTGTTTCCATTGGAAAAGTGATAATGCAATTATAAGAGTTACAGGTCAGTCCAATATAAAGAGATGGTAAGACAGGACACGGGAGAACGGAAGCGAGGAGCTGTACCTTGCAGAGACTTGGCAAGGGGGAGTTTGTCATCGACCTCGTCGGTCTCAGAAGGGCCTGCTTTGAAATATAAAGGCAAGACTTCAAAAGGAATCCCTCCGACACACGGGGTGACATGTATGGAAGAATGGCCTTTTTATTCAAATAAAAAAAAAAGTCAGGAAAAAAACCAGGACCGACAGGATGAGTGATGATGGAAGGCATGTGCACAGGTCAGGTGACATAGGAACAGTGAAAGGGAACTGTAGAGGTGACTGACACAGACTGAGTGGAAATGGGGTGGCTGCTATGCAGCCACAAGGTTCCCCAGTGACATGGTCTACCACATCACACGATTACACACATGTCTGCCTCCTCCTTAACCAGCATTCCTCGACTTCCCATCACATTTAAGAAAGACACCTGCCTCAGAGCTGTCACAGGCTGACCCCATCTCCCCCAGAGATGACAAACTTCTCCCAATTGCTAGACCACTAGAGGTTCTGCCCGCACGGTCCCGTGCATCACACGCTACTCGGTGACTAGTCATTTTGAAGGGAAAACATGGTTTTCAATGGGCACTTGTCAACATAAAACACATTTAATCACACACAGGAACAAAGCCAGGTGCGGTGACTCATGCAGTAAGCACAGCACAGGCCAAGGTAGCAAGATCACAGTGAAGCCAACCTGGGTTACACAGCAAGACCCTGCGTCAAAATCAAAACCAAAAACAGAAACACAGACATGAACACTGAATATCCTATGACAGTTAAAGGACTTCGCTGAAACTGAGGAAGTTCACAGGAGCCCTGAACTACACTGCACAAGCAAGGACCCATTGTATGACAGAGGATGGTGGGGCTGAGAAGGTGGCCCAGTGGTTGAGAACCTGAGTGTTCGAGGCCTTGGGTGTGATTCCCAGCACCACAAAAATAACCATATGAAAACAATTTTAGCTGGTCACAGTAGCTCATGCCTGCAATTCACGTAAAGAGGTGGAGACTGGGAGGATCACGGTTCCAGGCCAGCCTGGGTAAATAGGTCTCACAGTGGGAAAAAGCTGGATATGGTGGTACACCTTGTCGTCCCAGTACCAGTGAGATCACGGTGCAGGCAGCCTGAGAAAAAGGTGAGACCCTGTCTCCAAAATAACCAGCTAAAAGGGCTGGAGGCCCTACACTCTAGTGGTGTAACAGCTGCCTGGCAAGTGCAAAGCCCCAAGTTCAAACCAGTACCAACCAAAAAAAAAAAAGACAGACAGAGACATATTTGGAACTGGGTGCAGCATAGTGATAGCTTTTGAGCATGGGCTGAGGCTGTGGGGAGAGCTGGGGAAAGGAAGGGAGGAAGGAGGGAGGGAGGATGGAGTGAGGGAGGATGGAGGGATGGAGGGATGGAAGGAGGGAGACACTAGCTGAAGCCTTAGCTGCTTCTCAAGAGGTTCCCCATGGATGAAACGCTGGGGGTGGTGCTCAGTGGCAGAGCCTTGGCGTTTCATGGGGTGCTCTTTAGTCACAACCATGTTTCTTAGGATCCCCATTGCATAACTTTTCTATTTTAGACACACTTGTTGATTTTCACCTAGTTAATTACATTACCTACAAATAAGAACATACTCATTTTTTCAAAGGGCTGCACTCTCTAAGCAGACATCTATCTGAGGGTCCAGAGCTCACACTGTATACACTAACTTGCCTACATTTACTGGCTGCAGTTAAAATAGTCTATTTGACGTCAGTGTAATCTATTAGTTACTGGCTGTCATTTGTTACAATCTCCCACATGATATAGATTGACTTATCGTAATTTTTTTTGATGGTGGTGGAGTTTGAACTCAGGGCCACAATCCTCGCCTGTTGCACAGAATCTTGTTAATCCCTTATTTCGACTGTGACTTAGAGATGACATTGTTAGGTACATATAAAGTAGAGTTCCCTCACAAAGAATGGAACTTTTTTCAGTTGCTAAACTACATTGCTGGCTGCTCCTTGCCCAGCACACCTCGGAGGCCCTGTACTTGCACATTTTCTGCTGCTTCGCGGCTCAGAGTTTACTCTTATCCACAATATAGGCAGCGTACTTCACCGTCACCCTAAAATGCTACAGATGTGAAAACAAAAACACCTCAAACACTCGCATCTGAGTGTGGCTATCTCACAAAACATAGCACGAGGACACACACCAAGATCTTTCTGGAACTACCAAAGGACTGGAAGGGAAATACATATCAAAAAATGGACAAATGAACTGTACAGAGTATTAATGGTATCTTTATGTCTACATGCAGGAAAATCCTGCAAGTTTATGTTAATGACAGATTGTAAATAACAAAATATAGCAATACCTTTGGTAAGTTTAAAAACTAAGCAAATACAATATATAAAACATATGTAACCGGGCACGGTGGTGCACTGCCTTAATTCCAGCACTCAGGAGACTGAGGCAGGACAATGGAGAGTTCAAGGCCAGCCTGGGCTACAATCTGAGAACCTAACTCAAATAGGCCATACACATAGACACTTGTGTAGAGATACACATGCAGCAGAAGTACCAGGCAGTACAGTCCTCAAGTTTTCTTTTGTTATTGTTGAGGACAGAAGCTCACTAAGCAGCCATAGTCTCTCAGGTCCTAATCCTCAAGTTTCAAGACCACGATCAACAAAAGGGAGGGAGAGGAAAGCGGGAAACTGGAGAGCCCATGGAAGAGGTTCAACTACAAACCAACATGTTATTTCATGGAGTCGGGCTGTGAGCAGAGAATGTTAATATCTGGTAGACCTGGGCAGGTGTACATTAGGCTTGTAGTTTTAAAATATTTCTTTTCTTTTTAAACAGCGGGGTTTGAACTCAGGGCTTCACGCGTGCTAAGCAGGCGCTCTACCACCTGAGCCACTCTGCCAGTCCAGGCAAACGCAAATTAAAACCCCACTAGGAATCCTAACACCGTGAACAAAGCAGCTACAATTAACAAAACCACAAAAGCCGGGAAGGATGTGGATGTGCTCAAGTCCCGCACACAGCTAACTGGCCCACACACAGCAAGAAGCTAGGATCCCATTTGCTTAAAACCACACGCCCCAGCTTGTCCGTGGCTAGGTATTTACTTAAGAGAAAGGAAGCCGTGGGTCCACACGAAAATTTCCACACAACATCCACAGGAGTCTTTCTGCACTAACCAACCCCATCGGCTGCCACGGACAGACACAACAGAATGACACTGAGCAGTCCAACAGGCTCACCACTGCCACCCACCAGGGGCCAGGAGAAGCCACACTGCTTCCCACACAAGAAAACAGTGCAGACTTCAACAATCCATGTGCACCAATTGCTGAAAAACACAAACTAAAATGACAGAGGACAAGTAGGGCTGTTGCAGGCCTGGGGAAGGAATGGGTCACAAAGGACACAAGGAATGTGTGGAGAGAATGGATCGATCATGATGAGGTGACAGGGAGGCTGGCTTCAGAGGTACACATGACAAACAAAGCAGACTCACATGTTCAAGTTGCAGTGCACTGCAAGTGCCAACTGCAAAAAGTAAGCTGACACCTTCTAACCAGAGCCCACCTCGAAGCGCACGTTTTTGTGGAAGAGTCTTTAATTCCTTTTTAGTAATCAAGAGAGACAATGGAACCGAATGCCAAGCCAGAGGTAAACTTCCTCGCTGCTTGTATCTCACAATTTGTAAGTTAGTGGTAACACTTAGGCAATAGCTCTTTTTGTTATTAAGGGTTCAGATAACACCAGAGTAACTGGAATTGAACTTTAAGCTGTGCATTTTAGTTCAAGAACATCCATCACAATCTCCCTTTCCTCTACATATTACTTTACGGTCCATTTTTGAAACATTCTCCCTTTGAGGGATCCACCAGTCAAAAACCAATCAGTAAAATATCCAAGAAACTCAGGGCAAAAATGAGTATGAATCTTGACCAGCAGTAACTTGTGGAAAGGTTACCTTGAATGTTGTACTGATAGTAATCGGGGTCTTCTGACTCTTCCTTTACAGTCACGGCTGCCATCTCCAGGGAAATGCCTGTAAACCAAGTAACATCTACACTTAGCCAAGGTACAGCTCCGGCATGCAGCTACCGTGAGAGAACACGCAAGGTTGTCAAGACTCTGAAAGAACAGAAGCTCAACAGACAGCAGCAGAAGAAAGTCACCCTAACCAAAGCAAGCCAAGCTTCTAGCAACTAATAATTTTCTGGAGACATATCTTGATAATTTCTTCCCACAAATTCTAGAAGAGAACTTTCCCTTAAAATTACAAAGTATCTGTTAGAGCTACAGCCTCACAGGAGGCAGTGGGTGGCAGTGTCTCTGCTTGCTGGCTGCTGAAGTGACCAGGGCAGTCCTATTGCACCCTTCTGCCATGCTGCTCTGCCTCACTGCAGCGAAAGGGCTACGTACGGCCTGTGAAACCCTGCCATAGCAATAAAAACCCAAGCAAGACAAAGGTGTTTCACACTCTCCTCACCATGCTGCCTTTGAAACGCAGGGTGGATGTTACACTTATACTGGGCCTCAGCTCAAACCCACCCTGATCAAGTACCCAACAGCTACACGTGGCCTGTATCACAGCACAGGAAGTAAGTGACCACACAGTCATGTCTGATGGTATGAAAACTGCAGAGCCCAAACCTTCAATTTATTTGGAATCACATCCAGATGATTAATAAAAACAAACAAAAGAACCACTGTCACACAAAACTTTCCATGAACTGACAGTTAACATTTTAAAGGCATTGCTACTGCCTTTCCCTACACTCAGTCCAGCTCATACCCAAGTCACGAATCTACATTTGTGAGAGCTGAATCAAAACAGTAAGAAGGATGACAGGTAACACTGGAGGACTTTAATATGTACCCAGTTGGCACTGATCAAAGCGCTTTTCATGACTTACCCCATCTAAGTAGACAGACAGGCAATTTGATTAAAAAAATTCAAGATCCCAGAATATTATCACATTACTTGACACACAACTGCCTTCTCTCTCTCTCTGCAATTATCAGTTATGTCCGTTTCATTTGTTTATGCAAACCACTACATCATTTCAAATTGTGTGCTCCTTCTCAACACCTGCAGCGTCCTGCACACTGCACCAGTGGGTGACCCTCAATTAAAACAGCCACCAGCTTTGCACACGTGCTCGTTACTGCCTTACTCATAGCAAAAATTAACACTTCTGCAGAGCTAAAACTCTGGCGTCCAGTCTCTCAGCTATCTCCTACACAGCAGTCGCACACTATGGGACACACAGCAGTTGCAGCCCCAAAGCGCCTGTGTCCTCCTTCTTCCTAAAGGAAGGGAACGCACCATTTGGTCCTAGAAGAGTAACTATGAAAAACTAACGAATGACCCTCTTAACTCTTCAGCGGGTTCCTGTTGGGAAAAGCCCACACATGGGACATCTGCCCTGACCAGTCGCTGTTTCTGGAGACACTGAGGAGGCTGTAGCAGTAAGAGTTCAGGGTGCTTTACCGGTTCACATTCAATTGTTGGAATAAGGTACAAGAGCTGTTGATGATTCCTTCTTCCATCAGAATGTAATCTTACTGACACCCAACTCATCCGGCAAGGCTAATAATTCATCTTACACTTAGCCTGATCTAATGGGAAAACTCATTCTCACGGGAACAGCTGCCCTGGGTCCGCAGCAGCTTTTGACTCGCTCTACTGCGAATCCAGCGCCTACCCCAGCAGTGTGACAACCCCTGGCTCCAGAGCTTGCCGAGGCCAGGAACCTACAAGCACTGAAAAACATTTCCAAGGAGCATTTTAATGACGATACTGCAAAACAGAAATGGCCAAGAAGGACGGATTTTTTTCTCATAACACATTCTTTTCATTGCCAAGTGCACAAAGCACACCTTTCTACACAAAGCTGTCTTCACCTAGGGTTAGGAATTTCAAGTGGGCTTTTGTGGTCAGGCACAAGAGTATGTAGTAAAGAATTCCACTTGTCTGAATGACCCAAAGAGGTGGCCAGCTTTGGGTCAGGGATGATGGGAAAGGGGCAGGGCAGGCAGCCAGCATTCCTGCAATGCTGTGGAGGGAGGCCTGCATCTTCATGTGCATGCTACCATACAGAGAGAAGTGAGGCGGTCACTCTAGGAGGACATAGGCACAGGGAGACCAGAAGGACCTATGTCACCACCCTGGGTTTTAATATAGCTTGACAGACTTTAGACATCCTGGGGGCCGCAATGGGAGTGCTCAGTCTGCACTTGGCTCCATGATGCCCAGGAGGGCTCTGCACCTGGGCCGCCCACACTGCTCCAGCCCACTCAAAACACCTGGCACAAACAGGCCTGGCGGAGTGGCTCAAGTGATAGGGCCCACCATGCAGGTGTGAGCCCGAGTTCACACGCAGGAAAAACAAAACAAAAAAAAAGCCAGGTACCAGTGGCTCCCACTACTCAAGAGGCAGAGGTCAGGAGAATCACTGTTCAAAGCCAGCCCTATCTCGAAAAGACCCATCACAAAAAAGGGCTGGTTAGAGGGGCTGAGTTCAAGAGCCCCAGTACTGCAAAAAAAAAAAAAAAAAGACAAAGGTACAAAAGTGAAAGTGATGTGATGACACTGAGGAGGCAGAGCAATGAACCAGGCTTCTACTTGGGACGACAGACAGCTGCTGAAATTAGATTCTGCGGATCAGTGCAAAACTCTGCACATTTAAGAAACATGAGTTTTAAAAGAAGTGAATTTTGTGATATATAAATTATATCTCAATAAAGTCATCCAAAAGAAAAACGTTCTCTATGAAACACTGCTTCCACTTAATGTGTACACTTAAGCATGATACTTAAACGCAAGCTAACAGCAAAACCATCTCAGCAGGAGAAAGTTTCTTCACCAAGCAGACACTGGGAGTGCAGGGGAAAATGGACAGTGAGAACACTGCAGTGGCTTTTGTGAACACACTGCAGAGCTAGCCTTTCTACCTTCTGCTCATGGAACTGGGAATCACACACACAAAATGAATTCTCTCTCTAGACATATAACACAAACCAATCTTTTGGGATAGTAAAATATGACACCACTGGAATAAATTTCCAGTGATAACCATGTCGCATCAACACAGTACAGTAAGATAAAATACAACCCTCAAGGAAGAATTCCTGTTTAACTTCGTACTTGGCTCTACAGTACTAGCACATACCAGAATCTTCTGCTGGTTCTGTCTTCACTTTGATGGGGCCACAACTGAAAGGAGGAGGAAACTGAGATCAGGCCATGCAAGAGTGAGCATCACTCAGAGTCAGTCACGGAGCTAAAGCTCATCAGTGTCACTAGGATACCCACCACCCACAGTCATTAAGCCACAGCAACACAATGCTGTGCGCCCAGCATGATAAGCGCCCTTGTTTACCTTCCGCCTGGAGACAGCATGGACCTGTCAGCATCTGTGCCAATCACACGACCACCTGTGAAAACAATGAAGACGTAGGTTCCTCATGCTGCAAATGACCCCTAATATTCCCAAAGCCTGCAAAGGGACCGAGTTAGTTATACAGCAGTGGTCTCTGTGCCCTTCTGAAGAGACAGGAATATGGATCAGGCATGCTGCTTCCACCTGTAATCCCAGCTATCCAGAAGATGGAGATCAGGAGGATCACAGTTCAAAGTCAGCACACGCAAAAAGTTAGCAAGACTCCACAGGTTACGGCACACCTATAACCCCAGGTAGGCAGGAGGCACAGGTAGGAGGATCCTGACCTGAGGCAGGCCAGAACAAAAAAGCAGGAGATGCTATCTGAAGTGTAACTGAAAAGCAGAAAGGGCTGGTGGTGAGGCTCAAGTGGTGGAACCCAGGGCTACGTCAAGTCCCTAAATTTAAACTCCAGCCCCACCAAAAAGGGAAAAAAAAAAAAGGTAAATAGGAATGACAACTGTCTAACAGCTTTTCAAGCCCTCACCCAAAACAAAATGGACAAGCCAGGCACTGGTGGCTCCTGCCTATAATCCCAGCTACTCAGGAAGCAAGAGATCAGGAGGATTGCAGTTTGAAGCCAGCCTGAGCAAATAGTTCCCAAGATCCTATCTCGAAAAACCCTTCACAAAAAAGGGCTGGGAGTGGCTCAAGGTGAAGGCCATGAGTTCAAGCCCCAGTACCACAAAAAAAAAAAAGGATGGCAGGTGTGGCTTAAATGGTAGAGCGCCTGCTTTGCAAGCATGAAGCCCTAAGTTCAAACCCCAGTTCAACAACAAAAAAAAGAAAAAAAAAAGACGTACAGAAGACCCCGCACTGCTAAATCCCTGCTTAGTAGTGAAAGACAAGGGTTCCCTCCAAGTAGGAATGAGGTGATGCCTACAATCCACACTGCTACTGCACAGGTACTAGCACCTGCAATTAGCAAGGATGGAAAGGTCAGTTGACTTTCAACAAGGCTTCCCAGGAGAAAGGGTACTCCTTTCATCCACTGTTCTAGAATAACTGGATATTCACATGCAAAAAAGATGAAATTACATCCTTACCTTGTATGACACACAACCATCAACTCAAAAACAGACCACACATCTGGGCTGGGGGTCCGTGCCCAGTATGAAGGAGGTGAAGGCAGAGAACAGACTGTGACCTACCTCCAAGTGCCATAACAGCTGAGCAGAGACCACACAGGCAGGCTGTGGGGCCATGTGCAGCACTGTTTGGGGTTGCCTGTTTTTCTAGTGCCAGGCATCAAACGAGGGCATCATGCATACTAGGTAAGTGCTCCACCATTGAACCACATCCCCAGGCACTAGGTGACAGTTTCTTAGATGTGACATCCAAAACACACGTGACAAAAGAATGTGACAGGTTCCATCAAAATTTAACAATTTGTTTGTTTGTTTATGGTACTAAGGTTTGAACTCAGGGCCTTCACCCTGAGCCACTCCACCAGACCTTTCTTGTAAAGTTTTTTTTTGTCGAGCTAGGTCTCACAAACTATTTGCCCAGGCTGGCTTCGAACCTGGATCCTACTGATCGCTGCCTCCTGAGTAGTTAGGATTACAGGCGTGAGCACTGGTGCCTGGGCAAAAATTTAACAATTTTGTACTAGGCTGGGGGCATGGCTCAAGTGGCAGAGCACCTGCTAGCAAGCTTGAAGTTGAATTCAAACCCCAGTGATGAAAAAAAACAAAAAAGAACAAACAAAAACAACATTCTGTACCTCAAAGAATATGATGAAGCAATTAAAAAGAAAATATTTGCAGTCATCTATCTAGTCAGGATTTGTATCAAGTATATATAAAGGGAACTAGGCACAGAGGTACACGTCTGTAATCCCAGCCCATGGGAGGCAAAGGCAGGAGGATCCTGTGTTCAAGGCCAACCTGGAGACTGAACCACGGGTATTATACATAGGATGCAAGCACTCTACACTGAGCTATATGTAACCTCGGCTCTGTTTTTCTAATTTTTTTTTTTTTTTTTTTGTGGTGGTACTGGAGTTTGAACTCAGGGACTCACGCTTGCTAGGCAGGCGCCCTACTACTTGAATCACCCTGCCAGCCCCGTTTCTCAACTTTTAAGGCTCTAAATTTACTAAAAATCAAAATGGGTGAATTTTTTTTGTGGTACTGGGATTTGAACTCAGGGCCTCATGCTTGCTAGGCAGACACACTCTACCATTTGAGCCACTCCAGCAGTCCTTTTTTGTGATGGGTATTTTCGAGATAGAGTCTTGCTAACTATTTGCCTGAGCCAGCTTTGAACTATAATCCTCCTGATTTCTGCTGAGTAGCTAGGATTAAAGACATGAGCCACTGGCATCCGCCTAAAGATGAGCAATTTTAACTTCCGTCAATTACACCTCTGTAAAATGGGGAAAAATTTTTTCATCATGGTGAAATTTGAGAGACAGAGACTGAGAATGAAGGGAGGGAGGTTATGTGTGCTCCACCTTGTACAGAAAAGAAAGAGGCTTCCAATGAACCTGGTTATTTGCATTCACGGCCTCAAACCAATCTCCCTCTGAAGGGCAGCGCCCTGTTATCTTTTCTCTTCAAATGGAATGGCCGATTTCCCCAAGAGTGCTGCTGGAGGCCCCCTCGTTCCTCAGGAGCGTCTCCTCACCTCCACAATGGTTCACACACTTTTCCCGGGCTCACGTAAGGTTCTTCTGTGTGTAAAGCTCTGCAGCTACACACAGTTGTGCCTGCCTCCCCATCCCATCCTGGACCTTCTCAGTGAGCGCCAGGTAGCGCCATCCTACTTGTGATTCCAGGCAAGGACAGAAGCCCGCTCTCTCAGGTCACAGCTAAAAACATACCAGCCTCCCCCTTCCACCTCTGAACCTCTCCTAGCCCGTCACTAACATGCAGCTCCAAAAAGGGCTCACACAGAGTCTGAAAGGAATTACAAGAGCAAGGCTGGGGTGCGCAGGCAGCTCTCAGGTACACAGCACTCACTCACCTGGGAGTTTCCTCGGCTCCAGGAAAGGTCTGCATCGAAAAGAAACAGAACAAAACTTGGTATGAGGGCTGGTGGAGTGGCTCAAGAGGTAGAGCACCTGCCTAGCAAGCGTGAGGCCCTGAGTTCAAACCCCAGTACTGCCAAAAAACAAAAGCCAGTCTGACAACACATGGGTTAAACCACAAAGACACATGGGGCTGCAATGAACAAGGGTGCTTAAAATCTATTACACAAGCTGAGGCTTCTACGGTGTCCAAGCAAACGGAGAGGGGTGAGGGGACGCACATCACCTCTTTATGATAAACGAGACCCCTGCTTTGTTCTCCAAAATCCACTTGAGGGTGGCAAGATCGTAATTCTCAGGGTGCCTGAAAGCCACGCCCTCAGGCAGGCCCTGCACCACCACGGCAGACTGGTCTCGCATCATCTTCTCGTAGGGGACAGGGACCACCGTGGACTTGCCCAGAGCTTTCCCTGCAAAAGGTAGAGGGGAGACATCAGCACATGGCTGAGACTACAACTAACCCAACAGCAAAAAGGTGGCTCGCAGCCGCCTACCATGCTGTTCTCACACTAGGTAACGTAAAATACTCAAAAATACTGCCAGATCTTATGCTCACATTAGCTAAAGCTGTATGCCTAACAAAGCCAAAGAGCCAAAATGTAAAGGACATGAGATACTTTAAAACCTACACAAAAGCAAAGGAAAAATGGCTAATTTCTAGCCTGGTGTGATAGTACACACCTATAATCTCAGCTACTTGGGAGTCAGAGGCAGGAGAATAGGGAGTTTGAGACCAGCCCAGGAAAAGTAAGTGAAACCCTATTTCAAAAACAAACTACTCACACAACAGTGGTAAAGTGCTTGCCTAGCATGCACAAGGTCCCGAGTTCAATCCCCAATAACACACACAAAAAAGCTACACGATTCTGCTTTTTTGCTAGGTTTATGTCTTGTGCCTTTGTTTCATGCTGTTTTGTGGTGCTGGGGGTCAAGCCCAGGGACTTCTGCACCACTGACACACCCCAAGCCACTCTATGTCATTAAGACGGGTATCGTAGCTGGCTGACTAGTTTAACACATCGTGCTTCTGGTACAACTACCTTCAGGATACAGATGCCTGACAAAGTCAGTTATGACCATAAGACACCGGAAATTCCTAAGCTAATAATCCCGCACACGCGCGCGATCAGCTGCTCTGTGCCTCTGTGACATAGAGCACAGAGACATAAAACGGCAATCTGCACGGCGCAATTTCCCCTTAGCCGCCCCACTGACTGTGTCCGCACCACTCCTGATCTCACCCCACATGGGGGATTTATCCGGTCTTTGTGAAACCATGCAGTTGTATCTGAGGATACGGTGGTGGGTGATGCAGCACGAGTGTCCAGGGGGCGCTCACTCACCGTAGCAGAAGCAGAAGTAGTCCTCCACCGTTTTTCTCAGTGTCTCGATTTCCACAGCATCCACACTCAGCCGGTTCGCCTGTGTTGTAGACTTCATCTTCTGCATCTCGGCAGCCTTTTCATCCTCCTCCACGCCTGTGGAGCAGTTAAGATGCAAAGGTTCCTCCCTGTGACCCTACTGTTTGACATCTGGTATTTTCTCAGACTGGCAAAGCAGCTCAAGTGGCAAGCAGTAGAGTGCCTGCCCAGCAAGTGTGAGGTCCTGAGTTCAAACCCCAGTACCACCAAAACAGTAAAAAAGATCAGCCTGGATACAGTGAGACCCGAAGAATGGGGGGGACCAGGAGAAGGACAGACTTAGGTTAAACACATAGAAAGCCAGCCGTGCTGTGAAAGACCACAGGCACCAGTACCCTCTAGTGCATTCCACAGTGCTGCTACCTCTATATCAAATAAGCTCACTGGTGCTCCTTATGGAGGGTTTAAAACCCACTGAGCACTGATAGTGAGTGATACTGAGTGCTAGGGAGGCCTATTTAATTTTGCAACACACTCAAACAAATCCAACTGCACAGGGAAAGGCTTGATAAAAATCAAGAAAGGAATTGAGTATGGAGGTTCCCCAAAAGACTAAAAAGAGAGCTGACCATGGTGGCACAGGTGGCACATGCCTGGCATCCCAGCTGTTTGGGAGGTGGTGGCAGGAGGATGCTAAGTCCGAGGCCAAATCAGGCAAAGATAGTAAGACCCTATCCCCAAAACCAAACACAAACAAACGCACCTGTCTAGCAAGAGTGAGGCCCCGAGCTGAAGGCCCAGTGCCACCAAAAAAGAAACAAATGAAGAGAAAAAAACTGCCCTATGTGAACAGAAACTTTCAGTCAACTGGACATGTGTACAGCAAACACTTCCATCCCTGAAGAGCCACAGAGCCACTTTGTGTCTTACCACCGTCTCAGTGGTTAGAGCACATGAAATGCTATCACAGACAGGCTGCGTGTCTTCTGCACATGCCTCGTCATGCTTTATAGAGAAAATACAGCATGCCTTACCTGTAAGTATTCAGGCTTAAAACTTACAAACTACAACTGCAGATAGAAATGCATGACTTACAGTACTTTACAAAATCCTTTTGAAAGTCCTTCCTGGTGTTGACAAAAGCCCGTCCTCTCTCGGTCCCCACGACGAACACGTCTGTCTCGTACACCGCAATGCAGGCCACTTCGGCCTTGGACTTGGCCAGCTCCTTGCACTGCGGTGAACAGCAGGCGTCAGGTTAGACACAGTCGCTTAAGAACACCACTTTGCCTGGATGACCACAGAATCTAACACTTGAAACAAATCTGGAGGCAGGCGGACTTCCAATCTTTAAACACTTACACAAGAACCTCCATTTTGCGCAGGTGGAGTGGCTCAAGCAGTAGAGTGCCGGCCTAGCAAGCATGAGGCCCTGAGTTCAAGCCCCAGTACCACCAAAAAAAGGTTTTAATTAAAAAAAAAAAAAAAAAAAAAAAGAGCCTCCATTTTAATGCACCCACCTTTCTAAAGTTTTTGTGGCTGGTTTTAAACAGAAGAAAACAGATTTATAAGCAAAACAGCAGAAACCCTTGTAATCTGTCATCAGTCAGATTCCTTAGGAAGCAGAGGCAGACGTGCACCTCCTGTGGCAACTGGGAGGCAGGAGGGAGGCAGGACGAGCTCAGAAGGCAGGGTGCCCTTCCTAGGGCAGGGCTAATTTGGGCTGGAGGAGGCAGTGGCATCATCCAGGGCGGGGGTATGGGCCCACGCCCACCCCCACCCCCATCTCCATTACAAGTCCACCAGCAGAACTATTCTCCTTCTAATACGAAACCAGATCACATCTCAGCGAGTGTGCGCATGGTCTTCACTGAGCGTACTTCACTAAAATGAAGGCTGCCTTATGAACTTAGGCTAGAGAGTGGCTCAGTGTAGAGTCACTACAGGTGTGAGGTTCTGGTCTGATGGCCAGCACTGGAAACACTGGAGAGGCGTGGTGGAGGCCAAGGCAGCAGGGCTTGCAGGGCAGCCAGGAAGCACTGTGGGCGAGACCCAGTCTCAAAGTCACATGGCTTCATTCAGCGCACGGCTCTTCACTCTAAGGGCAGCCCTTGCTCAGTGCCAACAGCTCAATGTTCTCTCTTAAGCCAAAATTACAGTAATAATCTGGAAAAAAATTCATGTGCATCTTAAATGACATGCTCAAAAAAACCCCAAAATCAGTGACAAGTGAAAAATATTAAACAAAACAAAAACCTTAGGAGAAAGGAGTGGTGGTGCGCCTATCGTCCCGGCACTGGCAAGGCTGAGGTGGAAGGAGTTTGAGGCCTGCCTGGGCTACATAAAGAGACTATGTCTCAAAAACAAAAACAGGACTCTGGGTGTGGCTCAAGCAGAAGAACTCCTGCCTGGCAAACAGAAGGCCCTGAGTTTAAATCCTAGTAACACAAAAAAAATTTCGAAAAATGAAAGCGATAAGAAAAATAAATTAAAAAACAAAAGGCCTGGGGAGGTAGGTCAGCGGCAGAGCACTTACCTAGCACACAAGAGGCCCTGGGTCCACCTCTAGCACTAAAAAAAAATTAATTTCAACTGATTAATAAAATGACTGACAAAGATAAGAAAAGGCAAAGAGTTTCTAAGGCCAGGCACCCAGTGGTTCACGCCTGTAATCCTAGCTAACCAGGAGGCAGAGAACAGGAGGATCGCAGTTCAAAAAAATCCATCACAACAGGGCTGGTGGAATGTCTCAAGGTGTAGGCCAAGTTCAAACCCCAGTACCACAAAAAAAACCAAAAAAACAGTTTCCAAGGAAGGAAAAGTCTTTTGTGACCCTATGTAGAGAACAATATTTACGAAAACTACTGAAGCCAGATGTGGTGCATGTGTATAATTCCAGCATGCAGGAGACAGAGGCAGGAGGATCCCAAGTTCCCAGCCAGCCCAGGCAACTTAGCAAGGGGGCTGGGGATGTAGCTCAGTAGTAGGTGCTTGCCTAGCACACACAAGGTCCTGGGTTCAATATCTACCACGCATAAATACATAAACAAAATTCGTGGCTTACAAAAACAAGTCAACCCCATCGGCAAGCCTAACCCTTTCCAAGTCTGGGCCATGTGGAAGAAGTCAGCTCACCATGGACTCCAGTGCAGACATGAGGAACGTCACCACCATCCTGCTCTCCGAGGACTCCTCATCTTCAACGGGCAGGGTGGACATCGCTACTTGGGCCATGGTCCCTACAAGAGAAGCAAGGAAGAAGTGAGCAGTGATCCCCTTTGCAGGCTCCTCTTTACAGTTTTGTCACATTAAGTACCACCCCCCACGTTTATCACGTAAGACGGAGAAAACACCACTTAACCATCCGTAACTTTAGCTCAGCATCGCAGGGCAACTAAACCCACAGGCACCCAGGACAAGCGAGGAAGACGATGGGTGCCCTTCCGGCTCCAGCGTCGCGTCCACTGCACACATGCATGGACACGGGCATGAGCACAGGCACAGGCAGACAGCTGGAGAGCTTCTGTGGTCTCAGAAGGAGAGGTCTGGGGGCAGCGAGGAACACTGCCATGCCTCTAGAAGAGAACAAATTGCTTTCTGTAAAAAATATTTGCGGTGCTTTGGAATCAGCAAGGAGCCTCAACAGAATGTCACCCACTGTAAAAACAGCACGTCAACAAAGTACGAACTTTTGGGGAGGACACAGAGAAGCTGGATCACGAGTGCACGGCCGCTGCAGGAACAGTGAAGTAGTCCCTAAAACGAAATAATTTTCCCAGTTCTGCAACCCAACCTCTGTGCACATCTGAGACACATGACAAAGGGCTTCAAACCAGTGTGTGTACAGCACCATTCACACCAGCCAAGAGGTGGAAACAGTCCTATCACTAGATAAACAAGACGTCAAATGTACACACGTGGGTTATTCAGCCTTTAAAAAGAAGGAAATTCTGGAACATGCTATAAAGTGGATGAACCTTGAAAATTCTATTGTAAATTAAATAAATCAAACACCAAAGGGCAAATACGGTACGATCCCACTCATGTTAGGTGCTGGGCAGTCAGACTCAGGGACGGAAAGTCCAAGGGAGGTCGCCGGGGCTGGGAGGAGGGAGCAAGGTAAAGGACAGGTTTGAATGAGCAGAGCAGGAGACAGCAGCAGGGACGCCTGAATGACAGCAGTGCACATTACACCAAGGAGCTGCACACTTCAAAACAGCTCAGATTCTAAATGCCATGTTATACATACTTTGCTAAAATAAAATTACAAACAAAAACAACCCTCATACAGGCACTCAGCTAGTACGCATGGGGGGTTGGGGGTGCCTTCACACCCTAAGACAAAACCTTAAGTGATTTTTAAATTAGTTTTCTATAAATGGTATGCAAGCTAGGTGTCCGTTAAAAAACATCCCTTGCAATTACGAATTCCATTTTTAGCAAGATCTTAAATAAGAGAATGAGCTTAACGCCACAGTGAGATTGGAAGCACGCGTAGAGTTCTAAAAGATCCACCCAGTATGCTCAGTGACAGCACCCGAGTCCAAGTGACCTCGCCTGAAGACATGCGTCCCTCCGTTAAAAAACTCTGATCCAGCCCTGCCCCACTCTCCCATCAACTAACTGCCACGCAGGACTTGGGCACTGACTAGTAATGAAGCAGTGTCCCACACCTGTGAACAGACACGAAGACTACGCGTCCCGGAACAAGGTTCCCACGCTGAAGTCTAAGTAAATCGGTATTAAAATGACACTGAAAACAGACAAAGGCCATCATTTTTCCATAATCAAAGACTCACTTAGAATATCCTGTCATTATTTCTGAAAGCTCAGAATATCTCTCCATCCTCTCACACTTCCTTTCATCTCTCAGCAAGAAAAACAAGAGCTGTGTTCTCGCTCTACAGGCCCAGTGGCTTCTCAAGGTCACACAGCCACTCTTGGGGGCAGAACAGGAAACTACAATTTTCGTTCTCCAACAGCTGCTTCCTCTTCTCACCTTAAATTGACAGGACCCTGCCTGCTGACACCACACTCAGTGTTAAGAACTGAGAGACAGGCTGGGGTGTAGCTTAGTGGTAGAGCACTTGCCTGTCATATGCAAGGCCCTGGGTTCGATTCCCAGCACTATAAGGAAACAAAACAAATAAGCAAAAAGCATGGTAAATTGTTGGGAGCTGGTGGCTCACGCCTGTGATCCTAGCAACTCAGGAGGCAGAGATCAGGAGGATCACAGTTCAAAGCCAGTCCGGGCAAAAGGTTCACAAGACCCTACCTCAAAAAAACCCTTCACAAAAAAATTGGGCTGGTGGAGTGGCTCAAGGTGAAGGACCTGAGTTCAAGCCCCAACACGGGGAAAAAAAAAAAAAAAAAAGAACTGAGAGACAAGTACCACACTCCACCAGCCCACAGTGCCACAGACATGAATGACCCGTTTCGGGGGCGTCAGCAGAGCCCTGGATGGAGCCCTAGGAAGGCTGGGGCCTGGTGGGAAGGGAGAGAGGCCGCCTTCTGTTGGTGGCTTGAGGCTGGCTTGCTGCTCACGGCTATCCCAAGAGGTTAGGACAATCTTATATTGAGGCCATTGGCAGAGTATCCCCCACCTGTCATCTGGTAACTGTTTCCTCCCTCTCCTCCCTTTCCCAGAAAGGCCCTGAGATGGTGGTATTCAGGCTGCCAGCAGAGGACACACCTGGCCAGGCCTGATATTCAGATCCTCCCAGAACCAAAACCAGGAGTGCAGGGCCTGGGATGTGGTGGGCTAGACGCCAACTACTGTGAAACCAGGGGCATGGGCAGTGCTCTTCTATGAACCAAGGTGCCACACCAGCACTTACTGGGAAGGTCCTTTCACCAGTGACCTCTGATGAACCCCTCAATTTAAAAGAAGAAAGGTTTAGCAAGGCGCTGGTGGCTCATGCCTGTAATCCCAGTTGCCACAAGGCAACAAAACTGGGCCGCCTTGTACATTCCCAGGAACAGATATGGGCGTGAGTTTATTTCTGAACTTCATCAGTAGTTAAGTAGAGACCTCAGAACAACAGAAATGACCAAAATGGCTCCTTAAATCCACAGGGGTGGATGCCTGGGGTTTGGCTCCACACACAACAAAGGGACAGCCTGAGCTGACCAGAGTAGGTGAACCCTCATCAGACAGGCTCCAGTATGAAGCCACGGCCTTGCTTCCCACTGTGCCTCACGCCTGACAAGGGGCAGTATGAGGTCAAGAACAAGGCCAGCACACAGGAAAACAGTGCAAAGGACCAAGCCACGGGTAGCGTTCTAGACACGCACTATTTCTACCAAGGGTCACTTCCACAGGCGAGGCTACAAGGCCAGCACCTCAAGCGCTAGCCTCACTTCTAGTACTCAGCAGCCCCTATACCTAGATATGGAAGTGTCACTGTCACACAAACTCATGAAGGACAGACTGAAATTCTCACAGTCCCCTGAGCCACCAAGGGGGCCTCTGCAGTAAAGAATGAGTTAACCAAGAGAAAAGAAAACAAGGGACACGCCAGTACCCAAGTCCACCAGCGCCACACCTACGTTCTCCGTTGCCAGCCTCTAACGATCCTCAGAGAAGGAGGGGGCCAGTTATTCCCTGAGAAGAGGAGCACAGGTACAGCTTTGGGGACAGTGCCCGAACGACACTAGGGACACGGGTCCTCAGAGCATCTCCTCAGAGGGCAGGGTCACTCAAATGTCTGCAGGACACTCCCACAACACGCCATCACACAGTTCTCTTAGCATCATAGTAAAGATACCATTTGACTTTTGTTTCTCAATCCATCCTCAGGGCTGAGACAGAAAGCAGCTTTCCACCTGCCATGAGAATACGGTGGGGCTGTGACCATCACTCTGAAAGCCTTGATTGGGGACACTCGCACAGCTGGCTTCCAAAGAGGAGTCTACATGATTTGCATAAACTGTCAAACTTCCAACCCTTTTAATCCTGGTAATTATAGCAATCTAATTCTTAATTACTCAGTTTTTGTATGTGTTTGAGTTCTGTATTTTAATGCAACATTAGTCTTAAATAATTTAATTTTCATGAAAGCACCAACCACGTGTGCATGACATTTATACTTGTCCTCTCTTGCCCCTCGGACATTCCTCCTGCCTGAAGTTAATCCTTCAGAATTGCCTTCTGGTAAACAAACTGACTCCTTTGCTAAAACTTCCTTTTCCTGAAAAACACTGTCCTATTCCGATGAAACCTATGAACCCAGGTGGCAACTGCCCCTCAGCACACTGCAGTTACTTCCTTAGATTGTGCCTTCCACCTCTGCTCCCGAGCTGTCGCCCACGGTCACTTTAGAAGGCAGTCCCCACCCCCACTCCTGTTTATTTTCAAGGTGTCTTCCACAGTCTCATTGTGTATCTGGGGAATTTCTTTTGATTCAGTGCATCTGTCACTCACTGAGACTCACACCTGCAGGTGGGCATCCTTCAGTGGCAAACTCTCAGCTACATCTCTTGTCCCTTTCCATCGCCTACCTACGGGGACTAAGGAGTGACTGCATGTGACTTCTGGCTTTGTCCCCTGAACTCTCTCTACGCACTGTCTGAGTCATTTCTCATATCTTCTTCTCTGTAACCCACTGTGTTTCTTCTGACTTACCTTCCATTTCCCTAATTCTTTCTTTACCTGCATCACTCTGTCGTTAAAACCATCCATCAAACTTTTGTAATTGTCATTTCTAGAATTTCTGTCTGCTGCTCTGCCATGTTTTATGGTTTCCAACTCCCTGAAGACTTTCAAGCCTGTCATATCTCTTTAAACATAAAGAGCTGTAATCTGAAAGGCTCAAATCTTTGCAGGTCTATTTGCTGTTGTTGTAGGGATTCTTGCTCACACTTCTGGTACTTAGACCTTGTCTGCCTAAGAATTCTAACTTTGGGTGCACTGTCACTTTGAACTTCTGTGAGCTACTGTAATTTGAGCTCTATAATGAAGCTGACTGTTGTGGGTGTCTGGAAACATCGTGGAATCCCCAAAGCTGAAAGACCTGGCCCTCGAAGGAGTTGTGCACCAGACCACAGTGAGGATGTAGGCTGGTTTGCTCCTCAGCGGCCCATACCCCACTTGGGGTTCCCCCTATTGAGAAACAGTCTTCTATTTCACCTGAAGATTTTTATTTTTGCATAGACCTGGAGCCTCTCAGTGCACAAGGCTTTCACAAAAGTTCATATAGCAAAGGTGCCTGCCTTCCTATCATCTGAGTTCTCACCCTCTGTCTCGTTTGGCTGGGTTTTCTGTGCTGCACGGGCTAAGCATGCCTTGCCCTGAGCTGCCATCCCCAGTCCCCAGTTTCCTTTCAGTGCTCCCTTTTGCTACAAAATCCCTCTATCTGGGGGCAATTTCCTCAAGTTTTCACAAAAGGTTTTATAATTTTACCTTTCATAAGAATGACTGGTCCCAGCACACCCTCCCTACACATGCTTCACCTCAAAATTCTTTTTATTATTTTTTGTTGGTTTTTTGGAAGTACTGGGGTTTGAACTCAGGGCTTCACACTTGCTAGGCAGGCACTCTACCATTTGAGCCACTCCATCAGCCCTCACATATTCTTTATTCTCTAGAACAATGTGCATTCCACAGAAATACCTTAGACTGTGAGGTCATGAATGCCCAAATCAAGCAACAAGTGAAAAAGGGAATTTTTATTGCTTTGTTTAATTAAACATCGAGGTGGTGCTGACTCCATGAACAGCTAGATACAAGAACACAAAACATGTTACCAGTCCTCTCTCCTCCCTCCTTGCAGGGTCTCTCCTGAGCAGAGAAGCTTCTTCCCCCTAAGACAGACACGACAGAGACAGGCACAGGCATCTGTAAGTGTGAAGCACTCCTCCCTGTGCAAAAGAGAGTCAGGTCTTCCCGCCACTTTTCTATGAGCTCTGGGTGTCACCATGGCCAGAGCAAGACTTTCCAGGACATGCTTTGACTAAGAGTCTAGCCAGAGCCGAGGGGACAAGAGGCAGGCACTGCTATTAGGAGGAAGGGGTGGGAAAGCATGTCACACAAAAAATCCAGCAGTCCCTTGTCAGCAGGGGACATGTCCAGGACCCTGGAGCCACCTGAAACCACCAGTGGAACCAAGGCCTATGCACTGTTTCTCCTACTCACATACCTGTGATGGCTCACTGAAGTAGGCATGGAAGACAGTGACAATAACTAATAATAAAGTTGCCCAGTTATAACAGGAACTGTAATAAAGCTATGTGAATGTGCTCTTGCTTGCTCTCGCTCGAGTACGCGTGCGCGCGCGCTCTCTCTCTCTCTCTCTCTCTCTCTCTCTGACATAACTGATTGGGCTGTACTCACCCTTCTGCCTGCTCTCAGCACAGCGGAAGCCTGGCTTTGACTGGCGTTCTTTCTCTTTAACCAACTTTGTCCACTCTGCTGCCAAAAGGTCAGTGGCTTCTTCCTGGACAGACGAGGCATCTTCTGTCCCTTTTGTGTGTTTCAACCCAAACCTGTGTCTGAACCTGTGCAGCCAGCCCTTACTCGCCGTGAAGGGCTTCCTCTCGGGAAAGCTGTCGCTCCTTTCTGGGGACGCCTTGCTGAAGTCCTCGTACAAGCTCAGGGCTTTCTGGCGCAGAAGACTGCCATCAATGGGGACACATTTCCTGTTCATGTCCTCCACCCACAAACTCAAGGCCTTCTCCATCCTCACCAGGCACTTGTCGCGCACAGTGGCCGTGACCTTGGCATTCTGAGGGGCCACAGCAAAGCTGGAACGTATTTCCTTCTCCTTCTTCACAATCTCTCGGATTGAGGACTCATTCTTACCATAGATCTTAGCGACCTCCGCGTATGACTTCTGCTCTTTCCTTACCAAGTCGAGAATTTTCACCTTTTCACTGAGAGGAAGCACCTTCCGGCTTCTCCTTGGCCTCTCCAGATGGCCAGCATGGGGACTCTTGAGCTTTGGCGCCATGGTCAAGCAGTAAGCAAGCCGATGTGATAACCAGGGCTCCCAGGGCCATGCATCCGCCAGCATGTACAGGACAAAGAGATGATCCACGTCCCACCCTCAATGGCGGGCCACTGCAACCCGCTACTCACAACTGTCCACAGTGTAAAACTTAGAGACTGGTTATTTCTGGAATTTTCCATGTAGTACTCAGAGTACAGCCACTGGCAGGTAACAAGACTGTGGCAGGAAGGCTGGGGTGGGAGGCCCACCGTGCGCGTCCTCACTCTGCTGCCTGGTATCCACTAGTTCTTCACGGCAGCTTTTTGTCCCCTGCTCTGATTTCAGTTCTCCCTGATGAGTTTCAAAGATGAACTGAATCTGCCTGCTGCTGCTTCATTCCCCTTCATTCTGGCCGGCCACTGTCTAACAGATGTGACATGGCTTTGCCTCTGCAAGCAGACTCCAGCCGCACTTTACAATCTTCCTGCGTTTCTCGTTGGAGATCCACTGCAGGGTTAGGTTTATCTGAGTCCTTGCTGTTCTGACCTGCTGTACCTCAAAACAAGCCAATAATTAATTCCACAGCAATGCTCTCTCACTATACTGCTTTTAATGTATTGATCTTTGCTGTTAATACTGAACAGCTGGAAAAGAAAACAATTAGTTTACAGCGAGTCAAAAGAAAAGCAGTCTTGAAGCTGGGGGGTCCTGATATTTGACTGACTACACTGTTTTCTGAAAGACAGCTCATTTTTCCATGCATTTCTGCTTCAAAACAAAGCTTCAGGGGAGACTGGTAAGTGGAGGGGTAACCACAGTACTGATCTTTTACTTATTTCACATTTGCACCCTCTTTCTCATCAGCTACCTCTCCACCTGAGCCGCACCCCAGCCTTCATGGTATGGCATTCCATTTCAAGCCTGTAACAACAGTCACAGATCAAGAAGAAAACTCGGGACATTTTACTTCAAGGTTTGTGCCACTGCACAGGTGAGCTCGCCCAGTGCACGAAGTTACCATGTTCATTTCACAACAAGGAGCTAGAATCGACACCTCCAGTTCCAAAGCACCCATTCCCCGCGCAACAATAACCAAAGGCAGGTTTAAAGACAGCAGCAAGCTAAATTACCAGACGGCAATTGCAAGGTGAAACAGGCACTCCAAGCAAGAAGTGGAACATTGGGAACTGCAGCAGGATGCCCCCTCTGCGCCTGAGGCAGGTTCCGGGGGCGCTCAGGCCGTTACGCACCCACACCTGAAGTGTTCTAATAACAGGGGACTGGGCCAGGGAGCAATGGTACCAACAGGAGGAGCGCAGTACTACATCAAACACAGCCTCAGCTGTTACCAGGCAACCGTATGTCCAATGAGCAGCAGTTTTTTGCAGTACTGGGGCTTGAACTTAAGGCTGTCACCTTGAGCCCCTCCACAAGCCCTTCTTTTGTGATGTTTTTTTTAAGAGATAGGGTCTCTCTTGAACTGTTCGCTCAGACTGGCTAGGATAACAGGCATGAGCCCCAGCGCTTGGCAAGTAACAACTTCAATCAGGACAATCCTGTTCTTAACACCAGAGAACTAAGACCCACGATCAAGTAAGAAGAAATAAACTAAACTGTTCAGAAAACATCATCATTTTGTCTGTTTTTGCACAAATCGATGACGGCAAAGGCTTTCTGTTATTTTTACCTGCCAACTATCATCTACCCAGCATGCGCTTCAGGATGGTAAGATAAACTTCAAAGCCCAGGGGCCTCCTAGCTACTACTTCAGCGTTTTACACTACAGCGACAGCCACTGAGAGAACCTCCAGCACCAGCCAGAACGCCAGCCATGGAAGACTGCAGACTATTTAGGGCAGGCAATGACACTCAATTCTGTACTTAACAGACTTCAGGGTTTAAAATCTGGGGTCAGAGGGTGTGTACCAGAGGAGCCTCCCACCCAACCTCAAGTGTGGCCTCGACTCCAAAAGCTGCAGAGACTGGTGAGCTGTGCGGACCAGGACCCTCTCCCGGGCCACACAGCATAAGCCACCAGTTCCTGGCTTTACTGGCATCTTCCCACTATCTCCAGGTGTTGACATCCAGTCTCTGGTTTTTTTTTAATATAAAACTATAAAACTCAAGTTTTACCAATGCATTTTATTAAGTCACTAGAACCAGGTTTCAACAAAAATGAAAGACTAAAAGTCTTGATCATATTCTTGAATATATACACTAACAGAAACATCTTCAGTGACAATAACAAAATTTCAAATTATCACTTTTTTTTTGAGATAGGGTCTTGCTGTGTAGCACAGGGTGGCCTGGAACTCTCCATCCTCCTGCCTCAGCCTCCGCAGTGCCAGGATCACAGGCGTGCACCACCACACCCGGCCAGCGTCTTCTAAGTTGGACTGCAAATGTGTCAGCTGGGGAGACAATGGGGGACCCCTCACGCCAGCACCCGCAGCACCCTGCACATTCTCCATGAGTGCTGTCAGCCAGGGCATGGGCTGAACTGGGAACCCTTCAGTTTCCCCACATACTTCCATCTGGCAGCCCTGGTGTCAATACTGAGCAGTAAGGAAGGTGACTGGAGACAAAGCCCTCTCCTCCAGTTGGACAGCTAGCACTATTTTGAGTACACTATACTTACAGCATTAGCCATGGTCAGTTATGGCACAACTGTCCCTAGCACAAGCACCGTGGTAAAGCAGGGCCCTCGGAGCAGTCAAGGAGGAAGTTCTTACTGTCACCGGTACCCCTACCCTACCTTCCGTCCCTCAGGTTCGCATAATCCTCCTACAGAGCTTGCTGCTTTTAAGGTAATCATTTTCTATTATGAGCCCAGTTTAAAATTAGTCCTCTGAATGCATTACAATCTGTCGCTTCTGCTCCTAGAAAGGCGGCTCCTAAAAACAGCCCTGAAATGCACTGCGCCTCCTCCACACTGGCACCTCCACCTGCGGCCCGGAGCCTTCCCAGCCCCGTCCTCCACACTGTCTAGTCTGTCCTGGCAAACTCCCAGGACTGGGCAGAACACGTGGGTAAAACTGGTTCACCAGACACCACGACAGGTGCTAGAACCCCCTGAAGTTCATATTCCTTGCTTAGTACTCCAAAGAATATTTTAATTTGCATTTTTGAGTCAGGGTCTCATTCTGCAGTCCAGGTTGGCTTTGAATTTGAGATCCTCCTGCCTCCCAAGTGCTGGGATTACAGAGTGCAGCACTGCACCTGGCTTCTTCAACTCACATTTTGAAGAGCTTACTGCACTGGTTTAGTAGGGGCTTGCCAAAGGGAAATAAATGAGCTTGGTATTTCATCCAGAGGTTCTGTTTCACAAATATCTAGTGAGGTAAAACAATTTACCTTATAGTAACATGCACACTTCAGCACACAAAAACTAGACCAAGAAAATCCACTGTACTAACTGACTTTATTTTGAGAAGATAGACAGACAGATAAAATAGCAAGTATCTGGAGATAAAATTCGAAATCCCTAAGTCAAAATCTTCTGATCAAGATAGATTTTGTGTGCTCGTTCGTGTTGCGGTGCCTGGCGACCCCTCTCCACTGAACACCCTCAGCCCCCAAGACAGACGTTTTAAAACCAGGCATGGCAAACATGTAGCAGGTTGTACAGACCTTTTACAGGGCGGGAGTAGGGGGGGATTTCAACAGGGTCTCTACTATGCAGACAGGCTGGCCTCAAGCTCTCCATCCTCCCAAGTCCTGGGATCACAAGCACAGGCCATCATGCCCAGCTATACAAATATTTCAAAAGGTACTAAATTCTTCTTTTCTATTGGCTGCAATACAGCTGGTGATCACATCGGCATACATCAAATGACCCCTCAAAAAGAAGCAAGATGAAACCACAGGGCTTAGACTTGCAATGACCTGCAAACGTACTGCATTCTTACTTAAACTCTACCCTATGGACCCTACTTCATTAAAAACATACAGTCAACAAAATCTAAATTTTATTTCTTTCAAATGTCAGGTGGCTGGCTGAGGGACCACAAACCTATACTCCCAGCAAATTTGGAAGCTGAGGCAGATGGATCACTTCAACCTAGGTGTTCAAACTGCCCGGACAACACTGAAGACCTCATCTCAAGTCAGATAACTAGCTAGAGGGCGTGGCTCAATGCTGAGAACCTGCCCACAAGCTTGAGGCCCTGAGTTCAAACCCAGTACAGGGATGGATGGGTGAGTGGGTGGGTAGATGGATGGATGGATGGACAGACAGACAGATAGGTGAATGTCATCCACTGAATGGTCCACGTGAGACGGTTGAAACAGGGAAGATACAGCTCTTGGCAGGGCGCTTTGCCTCGCAAGCATGACGCCCTGAGCACCCCAGCACTGCAAAAATAAACAAACAGTAGGCAGCAAGCTCAGGAAGGAAGAGAGAAAAGAAGGGGGGGGTGGTGCGTGCGAAGGAATGAAGGTGGCGGATTTCCTGGACTCAATTTCTCACGAGGCAGCTCCTTCACCAAATCGTCACTTCATGGCTGGGGGCGAGGCTCAACTGGCACAGGGCTTGCAACCAGTGAATAGGAAAACTCACGATTTCACGACGAGACAGAGCAATGCAAGCCCAGGCTGGAGATGCAGCACCTGCATGCCATGTGGAGGCCCTGGACTTGAACCCCAGCACCACAAAGCAAGCAGGAAAGCCGAAGACCAGCACAGTTGCTCACTTTGGGTCAGTTCCCACACCTCTTCTCATGTGTGGGTTTTTATTACCAGCATAGCACAGCTGTACAGGGGATACACTGTGACATTTACCTAAGTGCGGACAATGGATCTTAGTTACATTCGCCCTTCATCTTTCTCCTTTATGCCCCCTCCCCACCTTCTTACAACAGTTTCAACAGGTTTCACTCTTCTATTTTCTTTTTGGGGCAGCACTGGGGTTTGAACTCAGAGCCTACCCCTTGAGCCACTCCACCAGCCCTTTTTTTGTAATGGGCTTTTTTGAAATATGGTCTCACAAACTATTTGCCCAGGATGGCTTTGAACCTCGATCCTTCTGATCTCTGCCTGGAGTGGCTGGAATTACAGCAGAAGTCACTGGCACGCGGCTATACAAGGGGTTTCACTGTGACATTGCCAAATACAGATATGTTATTATATCCCAAACTGTTCATCCCCGAAATTGTTCTCCCTCCTATGCCATTTCCCTTCTTATGGTGACATCAGCAGGTTTCAGGGTTCCAGTTCAGACGTGTACAGAAAGTGCACAAACCGTGTTCACTCCCTGCTCTCTTCATTTCCCCCCTCCCCTTCCCCATCTTTCATTGTTTAGTGTCTGCTCACTGTTCAGTGGGGATTTTGCCTTGGTTTTTGCGTGTAAATATACTGTGCTTAAGTGAGTCTAACCTCTCCACTGTTTCCCTCAACCTTTCCCCTCACCCTGTGTTGTTTAACAGTGTTTGTGTTTCCTTCTATCTTGTTCCTACACAGACAGGATGCATTTCAATGTTATTCACTATCATCTCCTCCCTTAGTCTCCTGTAGCAGTGCCACTCTTGGAAAGATGTCCTGTATATATTTGTATGTAGACATGACAATACTTGTATTTGTACTGCAGCTATCTTCCACATATATCTCATTTTTTGAAATCAACTTTTGTTCTGAAAGCCACCTAGATAAAACTCTACTCACATTTGTTAGTCAAGAGTAAGGTGTGCATCTAGATATAACCACCCTCTTCTCTCTCTCCTCTCTCTATATATAAAGCAAAGTTTTCTCAAGTTTCCTGATTAAACTGCCAAATAGCTACTAAAAGCCACTTAAGTGGCTGGGGCCTGGCCACAAATGACACAGGTCAACTTTTTTCCTGTAAGCAGGAAAAGAAGGCTGCAATTACCCCCAAGCGCTCAATCCCAGCTTCTATCGCAAATAGCATCAGCGTCCCCACTGGAGCAAGAAGGTACTACCCAAGCTTGTGACAGCTTAGGACACAAGACGCATGAGTGAACACAGGTTTCAGCTGCCAGCTTCAGAAAGGATTTTTCAGTTACAAATTCACAATTTGCAAAACAGGTATCGGTGTCCACCACACAAAAACACTTGGGCTCTGTCCACTAGCCAGGGCTCACTGCAGCCAGTCACTGGAACAGGACCAAACTTTTCACTCCCTGTGCTCCTCCAATTGTACCAAAATACAATCAAGCACAGCATCTCTAAAAGTAATTATTTCCAGGCTGGCAGAGGGGTTCAAGTGGCAGAGGGCCTGCCTAGCAACCTCAAGGCCCCGCGTTCAAACCCCAGTACCACCAAAAAAAAAAAAAATTGTCGTAATAATTTCCTCTGCCACATTACAAAAACAATGTTAACAGTTCCTAGGGAAAACCCCATGATGAGTGACCACTGGTCACTAACTACTACTTCCTCAGAAAATTCATCTCCCACAGTACTGAGCACAGTCTTCTCATGGCTAATACTTACTGAGTGCTGGCTAGATGCCTGGGAAGTCCCAAGCACCCTAACTCACTGAATCCTCACAACTAGCAGGGGAGGCTCTGGGCTCCAAAGAGAAACGACTCAGAAATATTTAAAAACAAAATACAAAAATAAAAACAGGACAGATCATAGCGGTCACAAAGGTCGTTTTTCTTAAGTGAAGAAACTCAGACACACACGTGTGAAGTGAAGGCACAGGATAGCAGCCAGGAGATGTCGAGGGCTGTGACTTCAGAGCCTGTGTCCCCACCCAACACAAATGTGCTTTGCCTCTAGCAACACAAGGGCAAGTGAACGCTTACACGTCCTCCACGGGGCTGGGGGAGCTCAGTATCGTTTGCTTAGAATGCATCAGGGCTGCTCTGGTTCCCAGCGACACTCAGCAACGCATGTGTGCGTGACGTATAGATGTGTGCGTGACGTATAGATGTGTGCACCCACGTACAAGGGGTTCCAGAGACGTTTTACAAACCGTCTGTACTCATTTATTGAGTCAAGGTCTTGTAATGTAGCCCAGGCTGACCAAGAGCTGTGTGTCCTCCATACCCAGCCCTGTGTTCTCCCCCCAGTGCGGGGCTGGAGCCAGGCCTTACATCCCCAGCCCGGCAGCCT